TTTCTCAACGCCAATATTTGAAAAGTTTATATGAACATTGTACTGACCTTTTAATTTCGCCGGCAGTAAACTATAACTTAAATTCGGGCTCGGACTCCACTGTTAAGTCCTAATAAAACATTTCCTTTACTTTCACTGTGAAAAACTGTCAATTTTCAATACATTTCGATTTATAACCTTTATAATTGTGTTTATAAAATGTAAAAATGTGACATTTGACAGTTTCCCCTGTTGTTTCATAGATGGCGCTCTATACAAATTTTTGATTTAAATCATTTTAAGATAATAAAAAGTATTTGTCGTAGAAAAAGTATAGTATGCACCTCGTTTATAAACTTTTGTATACACTCATTAACTTAAGCACTCGCTCGCAAGCTCGCTCGTGCCTAAATTAAATTCGTGTATAAAATGACGTTTATCAAACTTGATACATAATATACTATTTTCTACTCCCACCTTTAAAACGCCCTTTATCGTACATGTTTCCATGACACTAAGTGACCTTTTAAAAACACTTTGACAAGTTGTGGCTTTATGGCGCTTTAGTCACGGGCTGAAGTTAGCAACAGGTTTTTAGTCACGAGCTGAAGTTAGTTTTAAGTTAGTGGACAGTTGTCAAATGACATACAATCGTTAAAATAAAGTGCCTTTCTTGTAAAATAATACGAAATGTGAAAATTATTTTATTATCTCAATACAAAAATACAAAAGTATTAAATAGTTTCTCAACGCCAATATTTGAAAAGTTTATATGAAGATAGTACCGACCTTTTAATTTCGCCGGCAGTAAACTATAACTTAAATTCGGGCTCGGACTCCACTGTAAAGTGCTCATAAAAATTTTCTTTACTTTCACTGTGAAAAACTGTAAATTTTCAAAAAATTCATTTCGATTTATAACCTTTATATTCTGTGTTTATAAAATGTAAAAATTTGATATTTGACGGTGACACACAGATTCCCTATTGTTGCATAGATGGCGCTCTATAGATTTTTTTTATTTAAATCATTTTAAGATAATAAGTATTTGTCGTAGAAAAAGTATAGTATGCACCTCGATTATAACCTTTTCTATACACTCATTAATTTAAGCACTCGCTCGCAAGCTCGCTATTGCTTAAATTAAATTCGTGTATAAAATGTCGTTTATCAAACTTGATACATAATATACTATTTATTCAAGAAAACAATTAATTTAACTTTTATTATTATGTTAATACTAACATTAGAGCTAGAAAAAATAATGTATGCAACTCTAATATAAAGACACTTAATTTCATGTATAGCGTCGCTTTACATTTTTTTGCATAAATTCCTATTGTTTTAAATTAAAAATATATATATTGTATTATTTTCAGAAAATAAGACAAAATTAGCGTTAAACTGACAGATATTTGTATTCAAATATTAAAGTGGGACTTTTTTATGGGAAGCCTACTATCATAGCAATCAAAGAAATGGAAAGTTTAATTCTATTGATTTGTGGTGTCAATGCATTATTTAAACACATGTAGGTACATGCATTGCCCTAAATGTAACGTGATAAAACGTGTAAATATATATAAAAGTGATGTTTTGCAGAAAGATTTTATTATTGAAATATCGCAAAATTGGCTTTGGGGTATGCCCTAAAGGTTTCATTATAAACAAAAATAAAAATAATTTTTTATCATAACTTAATAAATTATCTTTAATAATAATTATTATAAGAAATTCAAAATCGTAAAAAACATGTTTACTTTCAGAAAATAAAAATTATAATTATTATACCTAATAATAATTATTATAAGAAATTCAAAATCGCAAAAAACATGTTTACAGAAAATAAAAAACAGAAGATATTTTTCCTATTTGTTTTTTTATCTATCGCATTTAGCTCGAAATCAGTGCAGAAGTAAAATTACCATCACTATACATTAAATTCATTCACATAACCTATAATATTACATATCCCAAACGTCAAACCTATGAGAAAATGTAGCAAAATTTCTATGCGGAGAATGGTATATTCTGTAACAAGTTTGGAATACGGCATATTCCGCTCGAGTGAAAAGTTTGTCACACGAGCCGAAGGCGAGTTTGACGGTTTCACGAGAGGGGAATACGCAATTCCAAACGTGTTTTAGACTATACTTTTTCTACGTTTCCAAAAAATACCATAGAAAAATAATTTAATTGGAAGAACGTGAGGTGGGATCGGTCTAAAATTTGTTAGATATTAAAAACAGAGATGTCGCCACGAGTGTTTATTCTGTCATCAGATGAAAGAATATTTAATTCTGTAACACTTCACGGAATATATGTCATTCCATAAATAAAAGTGATATTAGAAGGGTCAAATTCCGTAATAGGAGTAGAAAAACATTTATAAACTATTGTATCTATTGTACACCCAGATTTAGTGATAAATATATAACGATCTTTATTCATTTTAAGTTAAATTCACGGTTGTGCTTTCTTTGGAGAAAAATTAAAATTGAAATCTCGACTTAAGATACTGGGCAGTTGAAAAATCTCTTGATTAATAAATCATATATTAATAAATTAAGTTCTTGCCACGGTTAGTTCGCAAAATGCATTAAAAGCACGTCAATGCATTTTAATATTTTTATAGATGAATACATTTTTCTTCATGGTAATTTTTTTTATTTTATCAGCGTTGCCGCGATTCGTAACGTCACATCAAACAACGTTTCATCGCATGAAATGATTTTGCCCCACCGTGCATAAAAAAATTTCACTTTAATTTTTTAGAGCTTTATATTTAAATATTTAATACTTATTCTTGTAAATTTTTATATTTTTATTATTACCACAAACCCATAACATTATATTTTAATAATTTTGTTGTATCTTATTCTTTTAGGTATAACTTAACCAAGAAGCTTCACATTATCTTACTAATGACTAAAAGTTAAAACGTGTAGAAACATTGATTGATTTTAAAATATTTTTTCAGAAAGCCTTGATTTAAGAATGCAACATTTTTACTTTTTGTCATAATAATAAACAGGGACGTAGCTAGGGGGTGCACAACTCTTCTGGAGTCGGCATTTTCCGGGGTTCCGATAATATATTCCAATATTTCCAATTAATGAAAACGAAATGTCGGTAATTTAAAACAAAAATAGGCATTTTCCGAGTGTAAGCAATTTTGAATGGATTTTATTGAAACCTATGGATAATTTCCTAGCCTGTTGCGCGTAAAATCTATACCGAGACCGGTATGAAAACATAAATAAAAACTGATCTTGTGTTTTTTAAAACCGCAACGCGCCGCCGCCAACCAATGCTTTTCCTCCATGCCAGCGGGAACATTGTCATATTGACGATTTGACACGATAATTCGAATCGTGGCGATACAAACGGATTAACAAGAACAAAGTCTGTGGGAGCCTTAATATTATCCTACTTTTAGTCAAACATACAATGTGTTATGTAATTAATGTTATATATTAAAGTACTGAATACCTTTTGACATAATGAGTAAGGGAAAAATATTTAAAAAAATATTTTTCCAAAGATTAAGAAAAAATATGCATTAGAAGTTTTTTATATTTTTTGTGATACGCCACTGGTTATACACTTGGTTTATCTCTGCACACTTGTGTTCTGTGAGTACATAGATACCAACCAACAAAGTAGCTGCGCGTTGCCAGATGTAAACAATTTTTACTAAAAATTTTTCTTGCAAAAAATAAATAAAAAGTCAATAAATACAAAAGTTTTATGCCATTAAAGCTCTAATATCCTGTATTTATTTACTCATCCAGCTATTAGCTTAAGCAATTATTAGAAAATTTAGTACCTATTTTAAAAAATCCATAACCACAAAATTAATTTTTTTCTTTCTGTTTCCTCAGATGAAATTGGGACCAGTTCACAGGTTAAACTTTAAACATTTAATTTGTGTAAATAAATCCAAAAGCACTTCCCTTAGTTAAGATTTTTACAATTTGAGCACATAACCTAAAATTTGAAAGAAATGCACTAGATTCTGTCATAAAAGTTGTCAGATTTTGTTTGAATTTACCTTCAGTACAAAAATGACATGATCAACAATTAATAAAAACGCCAAATTGACAATTTGCATTGTTGATTTTGTCATTTTTGTAATTAAGCTAAATTTAAACAATGCTTGGCAACTTTTTTGACAGAATTTGGAAACGCTGTTGTTACCAACCATAACATAATAAATTAAATTAGGCAACCAGATTAGCCCAAAGTTCCTAGTCGATCAGTGGCGTACTTTTTGGTAGGATAAAGGTTATTATAAATTATTTTTAGTCTTTGGAATTAAAAAAAAAAGTTTCAGGTGCTTTTTATGGACCCTAAGGAACAACCCATTTTAATATATAACATTAATTACATAACACCCTGTATTTATAAATTTAATTAAAGCTGTATTTTTTTCATCAATACAGGTTTACATGGTTTTGGACTAGAGCATCCAAAAGGTTTTAAAGTAATTTCTATCGCCGCAGTTTTCGCTATTCGGTCAGGTTTTAATTGAAATATATTTGAAATAATTTAGGATTTTTTTTTCAATATTGGACAAAAAAAAATAACCTAAATAAAAACGAAATGAGGTGTGTATTGTATTTCTTTCGTTCTGTTCACGTATGAAAGACCAATAAAATAATCACGCAGCATTCCCAAATCCCAAAAACCGTTATATTTTTTTTAAAATTATTTGCTCTCCTGGCTCCTCATTCTTATAGCGCTTGGAAGTTATTTTGAAATATTTTTGAATTTTATTAGCGTACATATAGACATTTTGTGTTGGAATGGACCTTTGGGCAAAGCTACCATGGGAAATCTCAAAAATCTAACTTGATGGCGGAAAATGGATGACGGATTTGAATACAGTAACGAAAATACATAATTAACACTTTTCTCTCCTTAGGTCCCAAAATTGACCGATATTTTTCAACCTGTGTAATAATTAATAATCGATTTGCAAATTAAAATAGAATCTAGTTTTTTTTTTCTTTTCTTACCAGCAGCTTGGAGAAGTGCTTCAAGTCGCGCCTGGGTCTCTGGGTCGACGGTCCGGTCCTCTTCCGGATTCAATAGGTATTTTTCTGCTTCCACTTGCGGATCCTCCTCGAACTCCTGATCAATCATAAATGACTCCACCTAAATAATTTTTTTCTATTTTCATACTAGCATACTTTCGTAAAACGTTCACGCCAAAAATTCATTCAAAACACATACGCAACTCCAAAATACTTCTACGTCTAAGAAAGATACGAACAAGCCAAAAATTATTTATGTGATGAAACGATTTTTTAGAGGTAGCGATATTATCGATAGTCTATCGATAGTTTCGATATTTTAAAAACTATCGAATTATCGATTCTATCGATAGTTACAAACTATCGTCTAGCGATAGTAGACAAAAATTATTATAACTATCGTTGTTTTTTTATTCGGAATTTGACGTCATTAAAAATTTGGGGTTTTAGTTGGCAAAATCTAGGGACCCTAGATTTACCAACGGTAAACTGTCTCAAATATATGCTGTCAATTATTTTATTGTTGATGTTCTAAAACTCGATAGTTTTTGATAAGGGTTTAATAACTAAGGTAGATATTTATATTGAAATACTATACCATGGAGCCTACACAAGGAGCCCGAACTTAATAGTGGAAATTGACAAAACCTGCCCTCTAAATTGCACAAATTAAGTCTTTTCACCACCAGCGGCGCTGATTGTCGATGCGTACCGACGTCTGCTCTTTTGGTAGCGTTTCGGTACAAATTAGTCAATTGTTTCAGAATAAACGGAACACCAGCGCCCTCTTATCTTAGGAAGATTCTTGTTTACATAAAGTTCGGACTCCTTGTGCTATACTATATTTTTTACTCTCCTGTATTTGGTAGGTTGAAAAAGTGCCTACTAGGTATAAAAATAAACCCCTTATTTTTTAAATAAAATATACTATACGGTTTTGAAATTTTAGTAAACTATCGATAGGTAATCGATAGTCGCTTTTCTCACCATCGATGCTCTCGATAGTCTACTTTTTACCACTATCGCTACCTCTACGATTTTTGATCTGTTATAATTAGCAAGGAGAAAACTTTTTTGCATATTTAAAATTTTTGGCTTATTATAATAAATAATTATTTATGGTAAATTGTGGTCATCGCCGTTTTTAAAAGATCCTAATAAGATAGGTAGGTATTAAATATTAATGTGCAATTCCACAAAAAGGACCAACTTATAATGTGGTTGGGACAGGTAATTTTTTTATCGCATATTTGAAATCTACGCATACGAGTTTGTCATTAAAATTTTTGAGAAAGCTACAGCGTTTTGAAAAACGCAAGATTAAAATACAAATTAATAATTTTCGTTTTAACGATGTCTCGAAAACTAAAATTTAAATTTCTTTTGAGATCATTGATCGGCATAAAAATGTGCAATATATGCGAAATACCCATGTTTAGCCTCGAAAAACGGACACCCTGTATATAAGACCGAGGTTTCTAAGTTATGTTCAATATTCTTGATGTGTTTAAATCGTTTTAAAATCTTCTTATAACAGAAAAGTATGAATTTGATTATGTTCAGAATATTTATTTTTGCATAATCTTCATTCGTAAATCTTGACACCTATTATAACTATTACTACCTTGTAACGACACGCTACTGGTTTTATCGGTTTTTAATAAAAATGAATAGCAACATTTATTTAACTGTTTTTTAATTAAATTGTATTATTTTTTGAATGGAAAATATTTTTTTATAAATTAACAGGGCTATCAAAATAAGTTAAAGCATTAACACAAAACAACTTTGCTTGCCTGTTATTGTCAAAATATTTATGAACAAAAATAATTATTATTTAAGTAAAACGCGTTTTGTTCAGTATTTTTTGAATTGGACTTGAAACAAGTTGTACTTAAGTAAGGGAAATAATGCTAAGGAGATGGTACATATAATAAAGGTCATTGCACCTAATATTTTTATTGTACTGGTAAATAAATTTGGTTGTTTTAGAATGGCCCGACTTATCTCGACATACACGGAAAAACAAAAACATCAATTTTAAAATAAAATAAAAAATATGCATGATTTTTTTGTTAGGCATTAAGACAAAAAACAATAAAAAACTCCTCAAAAAAGTTGGGCAAAATCTTACTTTGTAAATAAGTAACTAAAAATATTTTTAAAACCATTTTACGGTTTAGCATTTCATTAAGTTATGCGCCATTAAGTTTAAGAAAAAATAACACCTAATTTTTGTTGACGAACAATAATTTATAAATTCCTATTAAAACCTAGGTAAGTATTTCTTAAATTATGAAACAGATAGATTCGTCAAAAATAGGTGAAAAAAACAAGTATTCGGCAAGAATAGCCCAACAAAAATATTAAATATTAAGTAGGTACATTATCGATGTATTTTTATCACGCGGTCATTTAAAAATGTATACCTATTTCTCTTTGAGTGGCATTGAGAGTTGTGTACCTGCTGTAAGAAATGCTTTTGCAGTTAATAGACTATAAAATGAATTCTTTGTTTTCGCAATCGCGTATTCCAAAGTAGGAAACAATTGTTGTTGTTCATCACTGAACGTGCCTTAATTTAATGAATCATTATTAATTTTGATATCACAGGGCTCATTTTTTTAATTTTATGTTTGACAAACACCTAATTAGGCTTTAAAGTTAATTAATTAAACGTTGAAATCTTCTTTTAGCACGAGATGACCACAAGGTTTTAATTAAAAATAATAATAATAAAATTAGTACGTAATTGTGCCGTGAAGCTCCAATTCTCGTTTCAGGGTATGATTCCTCAGGTCATTTTGTGAAGAAAACTTTATTTGAACATATCGATACATGCATTAAATAACTTTGTAAGTGACATTTACACACAAAAAGGCTTTTTTACGGGGTTTTAAAACTAATATTTAATAATATCATGCAAACATGTCCTCCAATATTATTTAGAAAAAAGTGGTACGCCACTGAAGTTTCTCTATGTGGATATTTTTTTGTTTAGCCTAGGAATGTGTACTCCAGGAATAGGTTAAAGAGTGTGCAATTCAATAAGAAATAAAACTGGCCATTTCCAACAATTTTTATAAAATAAAATCTGTTTTTTTTAACTAACATTAACAATAAATAAATAAACAGGTCTTTTATTTTATGATAGGTACTACAAAATATAATTTAATTGTTTAATTGCCTGGCTAAAATAACGCAAGATACCATTTTCATAAACAATTAACTAGGCTAATCAGAATAAATATCCACATGGAAAAAAGTGGCACCTACCCCTTTTTTGAATTATCAGATGATATATTTGCAGGAATGTCACTGGTGGAGCAATGGAATAACTTTTCTTACTAAAATATGTTGTTTTATATCCACATCAGAATTGAAAATAATATAAAGTTCTTCAGAGATAAAATAAAACTTTAAACATACTTTTTAAATCCCTGCAGCAAAAAATGTAAGCCGTTTAAGACATATGTCTTAAACAGCTTACATTTTTTATATTAAATATTATAAAAGGTATTATAATAGAAATAATATATATAATATATATATATAATATAATAATAATAGAAAAGTTCATATGAACATATATGTTCATATGAACTTTTCTTCACAAAATTACTAGAGGATTACACCCTAAACTATTAGCACATCATTAAGAAGCGCCCTGTAAAATTTACAGTGCATACTTTGACATTAATGAATTAAAAATAAAAATAGCAACTTTGCAAGTAATTGTTCAACTGGAATCGTTTAAAACGAATACAATGGAGAAAGTCATTGTTGTTATGAAAGGATTTTTAGTAAACACATAATTTGCGAATAGAGTTGAGAATTTATTTATTTATTTAATTGTTTATCGAATCGAAAATTTGCCAGCGCGCGATGTGTCGTTAAAAAACACACACAAAATGAAAATATCGGGTCAGCTTAATTTTCCACGCTTGAAATTGACGCAAAATCGTTAATTAACAAAGAAAACATAGAGTGTATGCAGAAAATAACAAATGCACTTTGTAAATATACCTACTGTCCTATAGTTAAAGGTGTAAAACAGCCAAAATTGAATGTTCTGTTTGCACGTATTTGGAGTGAACTATGACATATGACAATTAAACATGCAAATGACGAATAATGGAGCGGACGTGAAATTTAAGGGACCCACATCGTCGGATTATGTTTGAATTGGTTTGCTTATTTAAAAAACAAAAGAATGGGCCGTGTACGACGTGTACTGTAGACGAACCAGTGGTCATATTGTACTGGTAAATTGCAGTAAGCAATGGAGGGCGAACGGAATGGAGAAATCCGCTGCTTACTTATATAATTCTCGTTTATGAAAAAGGCTTGATAATTAAGTCGAATCGTTGTTAAAACTATTGAAATTCAGTTTAATTTGGGAAGAAAGGGCGAGTTTAGTAGTTGCGAACGGCGAACGATAAAGACAAGACTGCCACAAGATGTCTCTCATCAGTGAAGTTCATTGATACTTGAGCCTCGAGGCAAAATTGATGGAAAACAAGGGACGATCGCTTAAAACAAAATCATACCTCAGAAACACTGTCTTCCTCACTTTCCGATGAATCTGACATATATCGACGATGTTCCGAATATGTTTCTGTTTCCGACTTTGCTGGACTTGAGTTAGAGGTTGATTGGGGAGTCGACGGCAAATTCCCTATATCGTGCTGAACGTTCACTTTATCTATTTTCGGATTATCTGTAGGACACTCTTGTGATACATTCTGCATGTTGGCATTTCATTCAAACTTAATACAATCGAACTGTTTCGGATAATTAAAAAACCTCACTACGCGCACTATTCAAAGTACATTCGTTACATTAAAATCATCACGTCGCCATTTTTAACTATGGCGAGTTCCGTATGCGCCGTCGTAGCCTACTGCCCTCTCTCCCAGGAATTTTGAACCGGATCAACAAGTATCGCCCTCTATCAGACAACACCTTCCACTCCGCACTTTGCGCCAAGAAACCTTGGATCAGACAAAATTTCACCTCCCTACAATCAATTTCGTCATAAAAAATGAATAATTTTAAATGGCCTCTGCGTGCGTTTCATGTCTAAAATAAAAATAAAAAAAATCCACGGTCGACTTAAATTTTTTGCCCGTCTAGCCAAACTCAATTTCGCAAAACTTAACTAGGCAGACCTTTTCAAAACAAATTTTCTCGGTCAACACAGCTTTACTTAGTTATGTTATATTTAAAAAACGTTTTCTTTTATCTTTTACAAATTCTTCAAAGATAAAAAATGTGATTGCAAATATGCTAATAAAAAAGTTTATGCCAAAAAAAATTGCTTGTTTTTGGAAATACCTTTCTTAGTTATAAATTCGTACCCAAATTATTCGATATATCAAGTTGTGGTCAATTTGATATTATAATATCAAATTGACCACAACTTGTGATTCACAAGTACGGGGGTCGTTCAAAAAGTTATCGGCCTGAAGCAGTGGCGGCGCCAGGGGTGGGCGCAGTTGGGCGAGCGCCCAACCCAAATTGTTCCCGCCCAACCGCTCGCCCAACCTGCTAAACTAAACATTTGAGCAAAAAATAGATATAGAGAAAAGTAGTTTTTTTAGATTGCTTTCAATATTATATCTAACTAACCGTTCCAATTAATGATTCAATCAACGTCCAAAAACGCACGCCTCTGAGACCGACGCGGCCTCTGTGGGGAATAACCTATCTCAGCTTGTGAAATACGTTTGGCCAAGATACATACACCTTAAGATAGGATGGTGCGCATGTTGGGCGGGGCTTAAATACGTCACTTGATGAGTGTTTTTTAATTATCTACTGCTAAAATTCTTGTTTTTGCGATGCTTTTGGATGTTAACTTGCTCTATTTTTTGTTTAACTTGTTGTTTTTGTGTTCGGCTCCAGCTCTCGAGAAGACGAGTCGCGTCACGCGGGCGAGCTCTTGAAACGTAAAAGTTTAAAGATGAAACCAACAATAATTTAAAAAAAGGGGTGCGAACTGATAAGTGAAACAAACATTTTCATGGAGTTCAAGCTAAATGGTGTAACGGTCATTGAGGAGTGGAGTGTTGGGTAATATGAATGACTTGGGTGCCACCTGTCATTGGAGGCTTTTCACTGGACGGACGGGGGAGGTCGGAGAAGAGGGGAGGTGGCCATACGCAAAGGGAAAAATCTGATAAGTTTTACTTTAAGAGTATGCATGACCTGATACAAATCTGCAATATAAATACGGCAAGCATTTTCCGTTATTTGTCACCATTAACATTGCCCGTATTCATTTCATTAAACATAACATTTATTTTACTTGAAAATGTTAAAATAACTTTAAAATATGATTATGTTAAGAACTTTAAACAATTGTTTTGTTTTTAATTACTATCATTGCAAAATTGTATTAAAAAGTGTTAAAAATTCTTACACGGGCAATGTTAATGGTGTTAGGTATCGTTAAAGTGTTTATTGGGATATCTTTAAAACCCATGAAGGGCACGCGGCGTGGGGCAATAAGTCTGTCAACAGCAAATGCGTAAGGCGGTCCCAATCGAGACCGAAATAAACACTGGACTGACAGAGTAAACTAACATTGAACACATAATTCTAACACATTAAAAAAAGGGCCTAATAGCCAAACTCGAGATTTGTAAACATTAGACAACAGAATAATCGCGCTTGTGATTTGTTTGACTAGTGAGTAAATGCAAGCTTTGGAATTTGATAAACAAAGACGGAACTCTACCACAAAATGTGCTTGGGACAAAAATATTAAAAACAACTGACACACTTTACCAAGGGCAGGAACTATCTGACCAGAACACGGACAATGACAATAACGAACAAGACAAAGACCTTGACTAGGAAACTACACCCCTGCAGCGAAATGACAACTCCCCAACTCCAAATAGTAATCCCAAATGTTTGGAGTATTACTAATCGACTGGTCTAGGGGGATTCCGCGTCGTACTTAGTTTTAAGTCGGCGTAATTGTCCCCCAAAAACCAACTCCCTCCCGTCCCTCATCCATACCCCACCGAGCGTATAGCATAGGCTCGGCGAACCCGGGAATGGCTATTATAACTATTCGCCTCTCGCTCTCGAGCCCCAAATAGGGGACAGTACGGAACGCAATGGACATTCGCACCCAGCAAACACGGGTGAAGCCGTGCAGTTGCTGGGGAAGAACAAAAATCGGCGTAAGTAAACATAGGCCTGTACGGGGTTCGAGAGTCAAGAGGAAATGGGGCTGGTTATACGTCTCTTATACTCATACTCATACTTGTTGTTTTTGTGTTCGGTAAGGTTCGAATTACTTTTCACTGAAAAGTTTTAAGTGTTCAAATTATTGTTATTGCGTTGTGTTAACCTGTTCTGTTTGTTTATTATTGTTTTTGTGTTGCGTTAACTTGTTTTGTTTGTGTTTTAGTTTGTGTCGTGCCATTTGCGTTTATTAAAATGCGGTGTGGCATATTTGAATGCAATTCGGACAACCAGTCCAAGAAAAACCCTTTAAATAAAAACATTAAGTTGTATCGATTCCCGAAAAAGTTTGATTTGTGGAAACAGTGTTATATAATTATGCGTTTCCGTGTAAAATAAATTTCGAAATAATTTGTGTTTTTTTTTTTCGTTTTAGTTTGTATTTCACATTTATTCACAAATCCGCAAAATATCTATAATTAGTGGGTACATTATACAATTTATACCTATTATCTGAAACATTACCTATATGTTTTAGGTGTCTATAGATACCTAAAACATATTTTTGCTGCCCACAATTCAAATTTTTCTGCCGGGTGTCGCCCAACTGGAAAGAAAAAGCTGGCGCCGCCACTGGCCTGAAGCAAAGATGTCGCTTGTGTGACTATAATCCACATACTTCCACACTAAGTACTTCCAATGTGTGGAACAGGGATGTTGCGGATGCCGATTTTTTCACATCCGCGGATGCCGATTTTTTCACATCCGCGGATGCCGATTTTTTCACATCCGCGGATGTAAATGCGGATGCGGATTTTTGAAGGCTCACATCCGCGGATGCGGATTCACATGTCAAAATTTATGCAGAAGCTCCGCATTTGCGGATGCGGATGCGAATATTCGCAACATCTCTGTAGTATACGATAAGTAATCCACAGCGAAAACAAACACGTAATGATTTATTTACAAGAAACAAATGATGCACCACAACAAATGCTCCCATTGGTCATGATCACGTGCGCACTGCGAACGGCATGTGCTATTCGCCGGCCATGCCCAATTTCTTTCTTGTGGCCTTGTACCTATAACATTTGCATTTGCGGATGCGGATGCGAATATTCGCAACATCACTGGTGTGGAAGTATGAGCTTTAATCAATGTAAAAACTATGCTATATATATATAACATGTTATCCATAAAATAATAGTATTATTTCTATGATATCATTAAAGTAAAGACACTCTACAATAGTGGTCGAGAACTAACGATCAGACAGTTTTCGATAGTTAAAAAAGAAAAAATTACAATAAGTATACTTATACAATATATTGTTGATTATTTTACCCATAATATTAGATTAATATTAATAATAATATTAATAATTATTAATAATAATAAATTTTATTGTCATTTTCCTTTTTTCACGTTTAAAAAATAAAATAAAAAAAGAGGCCGATTAACGAAAAAAGTGTATGTAAAAAGTTTAACATACATCACAATCCATTGTGTGGATTGTGACATACATTAGATTCGTGATCGCCTTTCATTTATTATTTGTCCACACCGAGAAAAATAATTTAAGACCATCTTTAAGATTCTTAATAACCTTATTTAAGATATCGCAGTAAAATAGGGGACATTAAGACCGTTTAAATACCATTAATAGATTCAATTTAATAACTATACTTTGTGACCATCAATAGGCAAACTTAACACAATTATCATAAGACCATCAAAAGTTTTTATATCGGCCATTAATATATATCTTATAAGGGTTAATATATTATTTTAGGATCATCTTAATATCACTTAAATATCTTCTTATGACATCTTAATATGATCCCAAATTGGTACATATATGGCAAATAAATAATCTTATAATGGTAAATATATTATTTTATGATCATCTTAATTCCATCCTAATATCCTCTTATGCTATCTTAATATGATCCTAAATATATTTATTTGCCATAATAATATGCTATAGCTATCATATTAAGATGGCCTATTTACGGCAATAGTTTAATTTTATTATAAATGGAGCTGCACCATGGTATAAAAAAACGAAAATAAATCTTAAAAGCATTATTTCTACTAAAAGTAAAGTCTTGAAAATAAAATAAAGCCCCAACGCGAAAAAATGCATTAAAAGGTTGGATTTTCATTTTAGTCTTCGAGTACTTGAACATAATTTTGGCATTCATTTTTATTTTATTTAAAAAAATCATTAACACCATTATTTTCATCAACTGGAGCACTCTAACCAAAATGTTTATAAAAAAATCAGAAAAACATATCGCAATTAGCATAAATTAATGCTTTCCTTATTTTTTTAGGAAATAAAATAGAGATAAATACCGAAATTATTTTTACTAGACGACCTTATTAGTGCATTTTCTGCATTAGGACTTTCATTTCAAGACTTTACCCAGGTAGCACACTGACGTTTATATGACGTTGAAATGACTTTGGTAACGTCATTTTAACGTCAGCATACGTCAGTGTGCTACCTGGGTACTTTTAGTAGAAATATTAGTTAATAATACTTTTAAGGATTATTTCCATTTAGTTAACTCCATAATTTTCTGAACATTTTTAGCCAGTCTACCCTAAAAAAAAAGATAACAATTGAGCTTTAAAAAAATTAAACTATTTCAGCAGATAGGCCATCTTAAAATTATAACTTTATACATGTAGGTACCTATAATAAATTAAGGAATCAAAGCCAATATTCTGACCTATTAAAAATCTTGGTAATCTTTCTCAAGCTGTTTTATTTATAAATATGGTACCTAATAATAATAAATTGTAAACATTTTACCAAAAATATATTTCAGATTTTACCAATATCCTATAAAATAAACTTCAAAGCATACATTTATAAAAGTATCATCAACATATTAAATACAGCATGAATTTTTTAAATGTTTAATGCAGGGACCCCGGAAACTAGAAAGAAATTGAACCTACCTTCAAATCCTTTAACAAAATCACTGAGCCCCCATTCAAGCAGAGTAACTTTGAAAACCATTACTATGTTCTGTAAAATTACCGCAAAACAATTTTGAAGAAACGCCCTTTTTCTTCTATAAACGATTCAATATTATCCTCAATTTCCCGTTAACAAGTGAGAAATAATAAATGACGCTTCCACAGAGGACGCTGTTCTGTGCTATGGACGCTAATTAAACGATTGGTCGATTCGAGTATAGTCGGAAAGCCGAATCTGTTAGTTTGGTAGATGAGTTTGTTAAGGCCATTATACAACTTCTTAAGGTCTTTAGATAATTTAAGGTGGTTCACAATCTTATGTTATGTGTTCACAATTGACTAGTAATGGTTATTAAGACAAGTTTTAATAAGGTCGTCTATTAACCATATTTAGTTATTTATCACTGGAATTAAAATAATTTAAAGAACAGCGACATAATAATCCGAGTTTATGGTGGTATTTAGATATTTTATGATTGTTAAAATATAAATATAGATGATCTATATTTTTTGTTTTGACACTTTATTAAAACGTATCTATTAGTCACCTTAATTCGTCTTCATGTCACAGATAGATAATTTGTACTGGTTATTAGATATATTTTGAACACTATGTAGATAATTTCATTAAGATAATTTAAGATTGGAATTTTCTCAGTGCAGTTGTACTGAAACACCTTTCTACAAAAATGGCTGGTTAGTAAAAATATTTTAAGCATTTCTACAGTTTTTACGTTGTAAACACATATAATGGTTATTTTTGTTACAATTCTTTCAAAATTTGTGTTTTCTCGCTCAATGAGCCTTTTCTTTCTTTGAGTAAACTTATAAGTTATATAGGCTAAAATAACAAAATTCAATGCATGCATATGCATATACATATGTATACCAATGTTATAATTAAAACAAACATACATACTTACATGTAAGTATGTATGTTTGTTTTAATTATAACATTGGTATGCATATATACATATTATGCATAAGTATGTTAACAAATGTTACATATATTATATACCATATATATGTAAAACATCAGGGTATTTTACCATGAATAAAACTAATTATTGTACATGGAAATCACTATCCCACTTCTGATGTAAGCACACGTGCCTTTATTGGGATTACCCTAACATATATATATATATATATATATAGGTAGATATATATATATATATATATATATATATATATATATATATATATATATATATATATATATATGTAATAGGTGTATACCTACAAAAAAAAACAAAAGTGCCCTTTTAGTTCCACCCTTACTTCTTAAGAAGTCCCATAAGCCAACTGAATGGCTTGTGCGGGTTAGGGGTAGGAACGGACCGCGGGCTTAAAGTCCCCTCCGAAGGACTAATACACAATAGGACAAACACAAATAAACAGCCATACCCCTGGTGGGATTCGAACCCACGACCTCCGGCTTGTAGTCAGCAGCACTATAGTGCTACATACATACATACATATGTATGTATGTATGTAGCACTATAGTGCTGCTGACTACATATGTATCTTGTGTTAACATGCCTATATACATTTAGGTATATGTTAAAATATACATGCATTGAATTTTGTTATTTTAGATACCTACCTATGTAAACCATTTTACTATATTACGATAAAATCTAGCGAAACCGTAACCCTTAAATTCTTTAAAAATTAGTTTAATTTACTTAATTTACTTACTCGATGTATTCTAACTTGCAAACTTGACTAACTTTGGTATTTTTTGAGTTCATTGTAATATTTTAGGCTCAAAACAGCTGTCTTAACTTTTTTAGTATTTGACACTGTCAAAAATTGTAATTTATAACCGTCAAAATAAAACAAATGTCAAAAACAGTGCTGCCGTATGAATTTAATGAAAATGGTTATACCTATTTATAAATTTTCTAGCGCATTTGCCCTATTTTAATTAAATTTAATAATTAAATTTTAAAGAATGGATAGGGGATACAATAACATAATTACGTATATTTAGGAAATTTACAATATTATTAACTGAAAAATTCTTTAGTTAGTGATTTGGTCGAAATTTGCTAAAATCCCCGCAAGAATGAAAGGTAAAAAATCAAAATTGTCATGCGCAATCGTGCTTTATCGTCCAATCAAATTTAATCCGGCTCTTCATCTATGATCCGGTCCTGTCCGAATCGTAACCTAGGCAACCGTAACTAAATGTAAATAAACGAATAATCTGTTGTTTAAAAAATGGAAACCACGGTGGCATTGTTGTTTTAAAAAAATTATTGGAGTTAATTAACTGGACACCTTGTAATTAATAATTGTGCCATGCGTACGTTGCCGAAATGGGTGGACAAACTGCAAGACAGCGAAAAAATAAGCCAGAGCATCTACGACCTGTGTTTTAACCCGGATGGTACTCAACTTATTGCGGCAGGTGGTAACCGGGTTTTGGTTTACGACACGAATGATGGAAGACTTATACAACCCCTGAAAGGCCATAAGGACAAGGTACATTGCGTTAGCTATGCAAGAAACGGGGAAAAATTCGCCAGTGGTAGTGCAGACAAGACAGTAATCATCTGGTCCAACAAACTTGAAGGTTTACTGAAGTACAGCCATGGAGATTCAGTGCAATGCATTGCTTTTAATCCTTTGTCTCACCAGTTGGCTTCTTGTGCACTTTCTGATTTTGCTTTTTGGAGTACGGAGCAAAAGGCAGTACAAAAACATAAAATATCCGCAAGGATTAATGCTTGTTCTTGGACCAATGATGGGCAGTACATTGCATTGGCGCTTAATAATGGGATTATTTCGATTAGGAATAAAATGGGTGAGGAGAAAAGTAAAATTGAGAGGCCCAATGGTATTGCTATATGGGCCATATCGTGGAGTACTTCAAAAGATCCAGAACAGGTATTTGTTTATAATATTCCTTCATCTTATAATATTAATTTTATTAGCCTCAACTTAGGCCTGATAAGTTATTTATTATTGCATTAGTACAATCATAACTTTATTTTTCTAGTATAATAGTGAGATACATGAGAGTAGACAATGATTTGATACATTTTTGTTTACCCTATTTCATTCATATTATCTCGGCTTATGCCTTTGGAGAAAGCATCTGTCATTGACAAACTGCCATTCATATTAATGTTTTTTAGTTTTTAGTTTGCGTAAAATTAAAAAAGCTAGAACGATTTTAGCTTTTTTGATTTGACGCTGTTGATATGACATAATTATGTCATATCAACAGTCATACAATTGTGATAAATTTAGGTTATTTAAAAACAATTATTATTATTATTATACGCTGTACGTTATGATAAAACTAAAACAAACCAAACAAACCAACCCAACCCAACACTTTTTAATAAAGGAAAAACCAATTTATAAAATAAAATAATAAAAAAAGTTCGCAACTTCTAGTAGTATCGAACCCGGTACCTCTCGCATGCCGCCCTACCATCTGAGCCATCCAGCTTAACATTAATTTTATAACGCTCGGGGAATAAAAACGGATTTACAGTGTGTGACGTCAGTCGGGATCGAAGTTAAGTCCCGTCTCGGGACGGGAGCCACTATATAATGAGTATAACATGAATACAATATTAAAACTTTATTACACTATTAAACAAATTTGTTTAGTTAATGTTATTAATACTAATTTAATGAATGATTTCTTCAAAGAATTCTTTGGATTTCTTAAAATAATGTATTTTTTAAGGATTTTGCAAGATTCATTGATATGTAAAATATATTGCTAAAAACAATATTAACTAATTAATTAAATTTATTAAATTAGTATTGAAAATATGAAAATGGATTTAAATATTGTCAATACTAATTACATGAACTTGATAAGTTCCATTATTATGGTATACCATAGTAATGTAAGTACCAGTGTTGCCAACTCGATAATAACAAATAACGCTAAAACAATATAAAAATTCCACTACTCTCCGCTCTCCGCCGATAATCTATAAGGCTACTGCGGCTTGCAAATGGTATATCTAGGAAAGGAAAGGAAATCTATAAATGAAGCTTAGAAAAAAAGATTTTAAATAATTCTAATCCGAATCAGACGTGTCGGCGTTAGATTCAAAAACTGTAACGTTTTCTTTGGTAACTAGACTGTCGGTTGCCTTATTTTTGTTTTTAAATGTGTACATAAATTAATTAAACTTGTTATTCTATAGATGTCGCTAGCTTTTTAAATTAAAATATGATAAGCATTTTATTTAAGATGGTTTCCTAATACTTATTTAAAAAAAAATCAGCTACGGTTTGCTATCATTTTGTTCCATCGCAGCTACGGCTCTTGGGGGTAAATCCTGCTATGCGTAGCGGAGTTCCGCTATGGTTGGCAACACTGGTAAGCACTTTGTTTATTACCATAATATTGTATTAATTTTATATTAAATAAATTTCACATTAATAAATTGTTTTTTTAATTATGTTTAGTAAGCGTGATAAAATGAATGTATAATATAATATGAATGTATACATTATATATAATATACATTGTATATGTATGTATGTATAATATATATTGTATATGTATATGTATAATATGGGCATTCCACGCCAAATCGGATGGTTTAAAAAAATTTTTTTATTCATCAAATTTTTTATATTTTTTAGTACTACTTGAAAGAGCTTTTTCAGTAAATTTTGAGATTTTTTTGATCACGGGTTCAAAAGATATTAAATTTTCAAAAAACTGCTTTTTTTTTCGCTCATAACTTCTTAAAAAATGGTCCAAATCAAAATTTTCATTCTATATATAATTTTTGTTTTTAAATGTACTTTTCGAAAAAAAATATATTGAAAATTTTTGAAGCGTTTTAAGTCAAGGTTTTTGAGTTTTAAAGTTTAAATCGTGTTTCTTCGTGTCTTCTTCGATTTTCGCGAAATTTATTTTCAACTTCTATCTATTGAACAACTATTCAGCCTGGTCCGGTAGTGGGCCTTCCATAATTACTATTATTTGTTCAATTTTTCAAAATTAAAAAAAAAATTCTCCAAAAATTATTATAAGTTTCGAAAAAAAATAGTAATTATGGAAGGCAAATTTTTCGCGAAAATCGAAGAAGACACACATTTTTAAAAACACGATTTAAACTTTAAAGCTCAAAAATCTTGACTTAAACGCTTCAAATATTTATTTTCAATATATTTTTTTTCGAAAAGTACATTACCAATAAAAATTTTATAACTTAATTAATTTCTTTCCAGGCAGACACATTATGTGTTGCAGACTGGAATAAAACCCTCTCATTCTACGGTCTAGGCGGAAAAATATCCGGTAAAGAACGTTACATAGGCTACGAGGCTTTAAAAATGCGATATTTCCACAATGGAGACTACATTCTCATTGGAGGCCTCAATAAGGCCTGTTCTATGTACACAAGAGATGGTATAAAGTTGGGCATGATCGGTGAGCAGCAAAGCGCCTGGATTTGGTGCTGCGAAGCTCACCCTAGCGGCAACTTTGTAGCTATGGGGTGCGAGGACGGTACCATAGCCTACTACCAGCTGGTTTTTAATACGGTGCATGGTTTGTACAAGGAGAGATACGCGTTCAGAGAGAACATGACTGATGTTATAATACAACATTTGATTACCGAGCAAAAGGTTCGGATTAAATGTAGAGATTTAATTAAAAAGATAGCGATATATAAAAGCAGGTTGGCAGTTCAGTTGCCTGAAAGGGTGGTGATATACGAATTGTACTCGAACGATTCTAACGATATGCACTACAGAGCCAAAGAGAAAATAACACAGAAGTTAGATTGTAGTCTTTTGGTGGTTTGCAGTGAACATTTGGTTATTTGTCAGGAAAAAACTTTACAAAGTATGTTTTTTAATGGGGAAAAAGAGAAAACGTGGGACTTTGAGAGTCCTATTCGTTATATCAAAATTATAGGGGGCCCGCCAGGGCAAGAAGGTTTAATACTCGGCCTGAAAAGTGGACAAGTATGGGAGGTATACTTAAATAATATTCATCCTTTATTAAAAGTTACGGTCAATGAAGGGATACGTTGTTTGGATGTGAGCCAAAGAAAAGAAAAACTTGCAGTAGTAGATGAAACCGGTTTATGCCAGGTTTTTAACTCTAAAACGGGGAATTTATATTTTCAAGAACCTGGCACAAATAGTGTCGCCTTCAATACTCTCTACGAAGACATGTTGGCATTTAGCGGAAATAATTCGCTAGCCATTAAAATCGTGGATTTTCCTGCATACCGGCAAAAATTAAACGGTTTTGTCGTTGGATTCTCCGGATCAAAGGTATTCTGTCTCAATGGTGCCAACATGAATTCCTTGGAATGCCCCTTAAGCGCCTCTATGTATCAGTATATGGAGAAAACAATGTTTGAGGAAGCCTATAAAGTTGCTTGTTTGGGAGTTACAGATGGGGATTGGGAGAATTTAGCCCACTCTGCATTGGAATCCTTAGAACTAAATGTTGCCAGATTGGCTTTTATAAAACTGCAGGATTTTACTTATTTAGAGTTGATTCAAGATTTGCAAGAGATGCAGAACAAAGGGGATTATAATCGGGAAGTTTTCATAGGTAAGTTGTTAGTAAAAGCAATCGTTTTTATGACTTTTTGAAATACCGATTTAATAATAATGGTCTTAAAAGTATTAAACATAAATTTACAGATATACACTGTGTTCAAAGTTATCTGCTCAATAATTTAACTTCGTTATTATTGGAGCTACAAAGTCGATTAAATTAGCGAATTGGTGGAACTTTGTCTTCTAATTTAAATGGTGAAAACAGAATAACAATTCCAAAATTTTAACAAACTGTTTATAAAGTTATATTTATACATATTTTAAGACAATTTAATTTGGAACCAAAAACTAGTATTGCATAACTACTCGAGTATAGATCTATACTTAAAAATATACTATTATACCCACGATTATATATAATAGGCACTTGAATTTTACCAAATTGTTACCTTGTATTGTAATAATTTTTTGTTCCAAATTAAATGGTCTTTAAAAATATGAAAACATATACAGTGTTTTATTTAAAAAAAATTATTTTTTAACATTTTGGAATCCCGACGTTGATTTGTTTTTTTTTGTTTTTACCATTTTAATAAGAAGATAAAATGCCACCGACTTTGTAGCTCCAATAATAACGAAGTTATCAATTGATAACTTAATGTAAGCAGACACCATGTATAACGTACAGTGCTTGCAAATCCAAGTCCGACCGGTTTGGGAAGGACGCGTGTAAATAACAAGGATAGAACGCCAAACAGAAGGCGCTTACAATACGCACGCCTGACGCTCTGACCAATCAAATTCTGTTTGGCATTCTATCCTTATTCTTTTCACGCGGGTATTGAACAAGCATCCTTTCCAACGCGGTCGGACTTGGATTTGCAAGCACTGTATATAATATATATGTATTATATACTATACTATACCATGGCACCAGTGGTGGACTAAGGGGTGGTCCGCCCCGGGCCCCCGGTCCAGAAGGGCCCCCAAATCTTAAGTAGTCTTTCTCAGTCCAACAAAAAACTATCTAAAATTTAGGGTTTTAAAATTTCCGGAAAAATAGAGCCGGCGGAAAAAAAACGGTTTTTTTCCGGGAAAAAAAATTTGGAAATTTTCAGAAAAATTGACTTGTATTTTTCTCATTTTATTCAAAGAGTAATACGAAAAAGGACCCAGCTTTACATACAATATAAACTGATTAAAAAAAATACCCCGGAGATTTCAAGTTTCTAAAGAATAACATGCGATGAAAAAAAAACATAAATCAAAACCAAAAAAGATTTTTAATATTTTGGTCTCGGGAGCCCCTAGCTGCAATCCATCAGGAATTAGAAAAAAGGTTATAATTAAATTAAATATTGGTTAATCTTAGACTGCCATGAGTAAACCCCTTGATTTTTAAAATTTAAATTATTAACAAGTTCAAATATAAGTATACTTATAAGTTTGCTGGAAAAAGCTTGTAATCAATTTTTATATCCCTGATTACATTAAGAGTGTTGCAAAGGACTTGCTAAGAGAATCTACTAACAAATTTAAAATAAGAAAACATTAATATTTACAAAACAATCACATTATTTCATAAGCAGACTAGGGTCCCCATTTTATTTTACCTTCCCGGGCCCCCGACGGGTTTAGTCCGCCACTGCATGGTACTATATATATATAAAGTATATAAAGTATAGTATACAGGGTGCACCAGGTATCTTTTTTTTTAAGAGCTACAAGTTCGGTTAAATTAGAGAAAAGTTGCGTAATTACAAGTCTATTAAAATGGCATTTAAAAATTGAACAAAAAATCAGCGCTTCTAAATTTGAAAAAAACTGAAAACCTGTCGAAACCAAAAACTGTTATAACTTCGTTATTCCGGAAAATTTTGAAAAAAATAAGTTTTTTACTTAAACACATTTATCTGTAGACATTTTGATTTGTGATTTTTTCGCCTACTAGGTTTTGAATTACCATCTCAATCTTTTGTTTTTCCTATGGCCGCCATATTAAAAAAAATCAAGAAATCCAACACCCAACATAAGTTTTGGCGGTCATTATAAAAGTTAAACATGGTGATTGTAACGTAAGATATATGTAGAATAAAACTTATTTTTTTTTTAAATTCTCAGGAATAAAGATTTTTGGTTTTGGAAGGTTTTTAGCACAGAATATTTTGAGAACCGCGGGCTTTTTTTTTCAATTTATAAATTTCAATTCAATTACGTAACTATTCTCCAACCGACCTTCAAATAAAATATATACCTAAAGAAGTATACACTCAGAAGTATACTAAGTATACTATAGTATAACATATGCTAAAGTATATATGAGTTGAGAAATAATGAAATGGTGGATACCTTTCTAAAAAATAATACGTTTTTTCTTATAAAGTTATGTAAATAACTCAAAAGTCACAATTTTATTCAGCGTTTTCTAAAAATCTCAAAAACTTTTCATACTTTTTCTTATGCATATGTTTAAAACATTGTTTGTTTTATTTACTTTAGGTGACGTCTACGCCCACAAAGGCAAACTCAAAGAAGCCGCGAAAATGTACGTCAAGGGCGGCCAAGAACACAAAGCCCTCACGATGTACACGGACGTGCGAATGTTCGACGAGGCGCAGGAATTCCTCGGCTCTAGCGACAACAGCGCCCTGATACGACAAAAGGCGGACTGGGCGCGCAACATCAACGAACACAAGGCGGCGGCGGAAATGTATCTTTCGGTGGGCGACGCCCAGGCTGCCATCGATATTTACGGGGGAAAAGGATGGAACGACCAGTTGGTAGATTTAGGTAAATATCGGCATTTTTATGTCTTTTTTTAAATATAAGATTCAGGCTTTTTGAGCAGAATTTTTTGGTTGGCTCAGCGGCTTTCAGAACCTCTTAAAAATATTTTATGAAAACTATATTTAAAATTGATCTATCGCAAAACAATGGCAAATATTATTAATGTCTAATAACATTGTCTCATTTTACTTTTGTCAAAAAAATGTAAACTATGGTACAAATTTTTTTCAATTCAATATTTGATATGATATATAACACCTTCCTTAGATTGTATAATAAGCCTTTCAGTTTAAAGAATGGTTGTAAAATCTCAAAATGCATGAAAATTTTATATTCAGTATTTTCTGTCTCTTCGCAAAACTTATTTAGTAAAAGGTCAAACAATAGACAAATAACTACTAATTTGACACTTATATTCTTCACTGACGCTATTTGCCGCTTGTCTGTAGCACCACAGAAACGGTACAGAAGGGACAAAATGTTGGGGAAAGCTTACCTTTTAATATAAATTATTTAAGATTTAACTTTTTAATTTGCGTAATGGTAAATATGGAAAAAATAGGTCTTGAAAAGAATAATACCATTGAATACCATTGATGACAATGATTACCTACATTTTAACATAAACTTGGCATTGTTAAATTACAGAAACAGTTACTGGGGAAAATATAAAGTTTAGGAGATTATAATATATAACTTAGTTATACAACTAAGTTTCACCAAATCTACTATAATAATAATTATTTTTAAGTTCTGCCACGCGAGCAAATGACTTAAAAATTTCTGCCACCAGCTCCCTAACTATTCGAACCATTTGTTTTTCATGGCAACTACGATTTGGTAAATGAAAGCATTTTATATTTTTGAATTCAGGGAAAAGTTCTATTCTTTTGTTAAAATATACATATGTTTATTTTAACAAAAGTTGATAGAACTTTTTCCCTGAATTTAAAAATATAAAATGCTTACATTTACCAAATCGTAGTTGCCATGAAAAAACACACAGCGTGATTCACCTAACTTATTCATTCACCTAACTCATTCATTTATGGAGAACGGAAAATATATCAATTTGAAATTTCTATAGCAATGTAAAATATTTTTTAAATTTATTTTCCATGCGTTATCACTTCCGGTTAAACCGGAAGTGATATCAACTTTGGTTTTTCAAAAGGTACCATATAAATGGATAGCGTTTAACGAAAAGGAACCAAGCGCTAAAAACTTTTTGTGGGGTAAACAAAATTATTTGCAAAATAACTTATTTTAATGATTTGTTAACCTTCTCAATCCTTTTGAGAAAAGTTCCAAATGACGATTGAGCATTAATTTCGGAAAAAGTTTTGGGCGCTTGGTTCCTTTTCGATAAGCGTTATCGAAATATTATTGCATTTTTGAATTCTGAGTAAAATTCTAGAAATACCAAATTTTTTTTTAAATTTTAACAGTTTTTGAGATATTTAATTTTTTCAAAAATTTTGAAGGATGGGTGGTCCTACTAATATATCTGTTTTACCACTAATTGTAATGTTAAAAAGTTAATTATCGAATGCCATTAATAGTATTTGAAAATTTTATACAGGGTGTCTGGTATTTACGTTGACTTTTTTGTCAATTTAAATACCAATAACTTTTTTAATTTAAACGAAACCATACCATACAATTCATTCACATCATTCGACACAAAATTATGTTTTCTATTGAAATGCTGCAGCATTCCCTATACCTAAAATGGATATTTACAGAGATATTACAAAAAATGCGAAAAAAACCGCTTATTTTTTTATTTGTAATATCAGTAGTGTGCGTTGGATTGTATTTTATTTATTATTTATGAAGTAATGTCAATATTAACGTCTCTGACTTTCGCATCTTGTAATGTAAATAACTTTTATCTACTCCTATTGCACAATATTGGGTATTTTGCGTATATGATGATAAACATTTAAAATTCCCTGCATAACAACGGGAATATTAAACTCATTATTCACGTTGTTAGGCATCAGTGATTGGCCAACTTTAATATTCAATGTGATTGACTCTTGTTGAAAAATGTTAAAGAATTGACATGGAATCCAAAAATTCCACCGCCATATCCGCAAACCTAATAACAAAAAAGTTATAGGCTATTTATTATGGACGCGCATTTGTCAAATTTTAACACTTTAGGTATAGGACATGGTATAGTATTTTTACTCAGAATTTTGAACAGAATTTAAAAATGTAAAAATATATTTGGTGTTCTATTTGAATAACAAAATTCATGTCCCTGCCGGTTAAACCCGAAGTAACATTTTGTTTAAAATATTTAAGAAAATAGACTAACATGCTTTTAAAATTTGAAATCGATATCTTTTTTCGTTCCACGAATGTGAATAACCCTGTATATCATCTACAAAAATTTGAGGAAAATCTGAATCGTTGTGGTAAACTGCACTGTTTAATCTAAGGTGAAATGACCCCGCTTTGTTTCAAAAAAATATTTTAAAATAAATTTGTACAGGTCGAAGATTGGAAAAAAGTGACAGATCGTCTCTTTTACTCATCGCGCAGCATTTAAAACGTCTAGGGCAGCCAGACGCAGCTGCAGAAATGTACCGGAAGTTGGGCGATTCCGAAGCTGTCTTGCAGCTGCACGTCGAAGCTATGGACTGGGCGCAGGCGTTCGCTTTGGTACAAAATTTACCGCAATACAAAGCCCTTGTCTACGTGCCCTACGCCCATTGGCTGGCGGAAAGCGACCGGTTTGTCGAGGCGCAAAAGGCTTTTCATTGGGCCGGCAAACCGGACGAGGCTTTTAAGGTTTTGAGCCGGTTGACTGAGAACGCAGTGGTCGAAAATAGGTTTGAGGATGCTGGGTATTATTATTGGATACTATCGAGGCAGTGTTTGGATTTGTTAAATGATGACGAGCAAAATAAGCAGGAATTGTTGAAGAATTTTGTGGAGAATGAGCGTTTAGCTGGGATTTATCATGCGTATCATGCACTGTATAGATATTTGGAGGAGCCGTTTACTTCTTTTATGCCCGAAGCTTTGTTTAATATTGCCAGGTTTTTGCTGGCGGAAACACACCAGGAAAGACCAAGAGGTAACTACTAGTCTATAATATCGATTTACATACAAAGGGTGTCCCAAAAGTCATGGATAGCAGAAAAGGGATGGATATGGAATGACTTTCTAAGACGAGAAGTCCTTTGAAGTTTTTCGATCTGACGCTCCTTTAATTAGTTATTAATTAATTAATCAGACGCGCTTTGGCAGAATAAGGTAGAACTGCTGGTAAGGACGAGTTATTTTTACACATATTTCTTTTAATTTTTAATTTAATCAGATTAAAAAACGCCAAAGGACTTTTCATCTTAGAATTTCATCGCCTATGGTATATGGCTTTTATACTATAAGAATTTATTTGATCCATTATGTTTTATGACTGATCTATTTTTTTTTAATTTTCGCCCTTTAAAAGATATTAGAAAATTATTAAATGTCTTCAAAAATTAATAAATATGTTCGTAAATATTGTCCAAACCGCGCGGCGCTCATTGTGCGATGGATAAATAAGTGTCCAAAATGAAAAGTAGCAAATAACTTTTTCATTGTAAAAATCCAGAGCTGGCCAAGTACTCGAGTAGTTTTACGCTTATTTCAATTAGGAGTACTTTTTTAATCATAAGTATTTTTCATTTAAAATACTTATTACTCATACTTACTAACCAAATTTAATGTACTTGTAAAAATACTCGTATACACGAGTAATATGTAAGAGTATTTCCGTTTATTATATCGAAAATTTTGCTTTGAAGATTTTTTTAAATTTTATAATGTATTTATTCAGTACTTTATTAATTTATTTTACACTATGTTATATAGCTAGTTCTTAAAACTGGTACTTAGTATATATAATATAGACTATATATATATATATATTATATAGTATCCCTTGCGGCCTTGAGTTTACGGTGAATTCACCGTTTGCGTGAATTCACCGTGAATACACCGTTTATGTGCAGTGAATATACCGTCCATTTGTGACATTTGTAGACGGTAATTAAACGGTGAACAAACGCTGTTTTTGCGATAAATTCACGGTGATTTCACGGTTAATTCACGGTGAACTCAAGTTTGCAAAATCACCGCAAATTCACTGTCAAAGTACCGTAAATTTATCGTGAAATCACCGTGAATTCACCGTAAAAGCGCTGTGAGTTTACTGTGAAAACATCGTAAATTACTGTACAGTACCACGTGGTAATGTAAATAATAAATTATTTTAATTGTTTGTAAATGGTTGTTTACTTTTTAATAAATAGTAATTTTGTTGCTAATAGACGGTATTAATAATTAAATAAAAAATTAATAATAAATATTAAGATTTTTTTATTTATAAACATTATTAAATAAATAATTTGTTTATACTTAAATATTGATGAAGCGCATTTATTTTACAAAAACTAAATTCACAAGTTCAACAGTAAAATTTAAAGGGTTTATAAATTTACCTGCCTACTTAAACATTATAAGTTATTCTGGAAGTTATAAACTACCAGTACATATTTAATAAACGACGACATTGAAAAGTCAAGTCCGTCTGTGAAAAGTGCGTGAATTCACCGTCTAACTACCGTTTACAAATGTCACAAACAGACGGTTTATTCACGGTGAATAAGCCGTGAACTCAAGGCCGCAAGGGATAATATAATATATTATAGCCTATAGCTTTTATAACAATTAAATAGCTAAAATTATAAACTATTTACTTGTTGTAAAACCTAAAGGCTATAAATAGTTTAAATCAGACTTAAAACAAGACATGTTTTCAGTTCTCGGTTCTCAAAAATCTATTTTTAAGTCGGTAGGCACGATTTCTCAAAAAACTAATGCACCGATCTTGTTGATATTTTGCACACTTCTAGATACAATTTACTATAAATACTGAACAAAGGATGTTTTTCTTCTATCCTATTTTATTTTAATATTTTACAATTTTTTTTAAATCCTTTCTTTACTTACCACTGGTAAGTTACCAGCCATACTCACCTACTAACAGAAAATATTTGTTTTTTTATTTCGGATAAGACCTACCGCGAGAATAATTTTTTCTTATGAGTCTTTAAAACCAGCCATGGCTAATTTTTAAAAATTATAAAAATATATATATATATGTATATATAATATATATATTATATATTATATATGTATGAGGCGCCGTTTGTCCGTAAATTATTTTTGTATATAAGAATATTTTTTATATATAAACTTTAAATTTCCTATATATATATAGAAACTTTTTAGTTCAGATAATGCCGCTTGAGAATGAGGGCGCTTTGTGGTAATCAACTAAAAAGCACTGTTGGCAGAGTGTGCCAATGCAAAGTTTTGGTCAGTGTTTCCAACATAACGTTTCGCCAGATCTGGCAGATTTTAATAAAGGTCGAGGGAAAAAAGATACTCTTACGGCTGACGAATTTTTTAACGGAAACTTGAACATAATATCGAATGGTATTTGTCATAAGATTTGTACCTATATAATTTAATTTGTAAGAGTCCAAGTTAAAAAAAAATTATTTTTTTTTAATTGACAAGAGAAGCAAAACGTAAGAAATTTTAGTTTTTTTAAATACCTATTAGTAAAAACGAAGCCGTGTTTATTTGGAGAAATAGAGACGGCCAAAGAAGAGAAATGTTTTCTTCAATAAAAATAGACCAACCGACCAATATATTACCTTTAAGTATTTAAAAAAACTAAAATCCTATACTTTTTGCTATCATTTTGTTCCGCTAGATCTGGCCGAAGATCCGTTATGTTGGAAGCACTGACCAAAACTTTGCATTGGCACACTCTGGCAACAGTGCTTTTTAGTTGAATACCACAAAGCGCCCTCATTCTCAAGCGGCATTATCTGAACTAAAAAGTTTCTATATATATAGGAAATTTAAAGTTTATATATAAAAAAAATATTCTTATATATAGCAAAAATAATTTACGGACAAACGGCACCTCATACTAAATAACAATTTTATTATATTGAAAAAATAGAGAAAATATGCAATGTAACCTCTTAAGACTAATTTTATTTTAGGTGTTTCTCAATTTGCCATTATGTACAGCTTGGCCAAACAAGCGCGAAAACTTGGGGCCAACAAGTTAGCAAAGCAACTTTTTGACAAAATCCAAACTTTGCAGATACCGCAAAAATTCCAAGAGCAAATAGAAATAGCGAGCATAGCTTCGCGAGCAAGGACTTTCAGCGACCCTGAGGAACTGCTACCAATGTGCTACAGATGTTCCACGTATAACCCCTTGATAGCTGCTAGTAACGAATGCACGAATTGCGGTCAAAAATTCGTTCATTCTTATGTAAGTTTTGAAATTCTCCCCTTAGTAGAGTTTGTGCTCGAAGAAGGCATAGGCGATATTGAAGCTGTGCAGCTGATAGAAACCCCAGTGGGTGATGCTAATAATTCTGAGAGTTGGAAACAAAATATTTACGACGAAAATCATCAAACCCTACAAATTAGTGATGAGGTGGAAGATGGCGATCCTTTCTCTAAATCCAAAAACGCTTTCTTACATGTTATTGTTGATAGAAAACACTTGCTTGCAATGGAGAGTACTTCTGTAATGATTTGCAAGTATAAATCTCCGTTGAGGTTTAAATTTTTTAAGAATTTATTGCCTGATTTACCCATAACAATGTGCAATTATTGCTTTAAAGCTTTTCATATGGACGACTTTGAATTACACACACTACAAAAAGGATATTGCCCTTTCTGTCGCACCCCACTGGACGGCAATACTCACACAAACGATCAACCAATGTTTATTATACAATAATATGTTGTTATTTTTAAATTAAAATCGTTTTAAATGAAACATGAAAATAGTATTTATTAATAAATATATTTATAAAAAGCGTTTACATTATATTAAATGCATTTATTACCCAACCATAAATTTAAACAAAAGGTTCAATGGTGATTTCAAGAGCAGAACAAGGGTTACTGAGTTCAAATTTTGAAATTGTGTTTGGATGGAGTACACCAATCTTACCAATAACTTTGCCATTGCAGATTATCTCAGCACATCTTCCAGGGAAATATGTTGGATCTATATAAAAATATGGTTAATTAAAATTAATTATTTTTATTTTATTAAATTACCTTCCAAAGCCTTTAAGTAGTATCCAGCATTTGTTTTATTTTGAGACCATGGTACTTCAAGCAAAAGCATAATTTTGTCCAATAGGCCATGAACAACTTCGAATCCAGCGTTTTTATTGCAATTTACAGCGCAGATTCTCCTTTCATTTTTGGCGCCCACCTCTAAAACAATTAAAATAAAAAAAAATTAAACCTTTTCAACTTTTACACATTTTTGTACCTGTATTGGGATCCCTTAGTACAACATCGGAAATTTCGAAAATTTTCAAAGGCAGAGGCATTTTTTTGTTGGCTGCAATAGTTTTTAAAATTCCTGGCAACAAAGTGGTACGGCAAACTTGAAATTCCAACGTTTTTGGGTTGGAAATATGAACAGCTGGAACGTTGTCAATATTTTCAATGCCCAGTTTTGTTGAAATATCTTCTCTAGAGCACTTAAATCAGAATTAAAACAGTTAACTACAGTTACACCATCCCTGAGTTTAAATTTTCTTAGTTTACCTCATGATTTCTCATACATTTTGCTCATTTGTGTATCACTTGAGCTTATGGCGTGAGTTAATTTGAAATTAAGTGACGCGGGTATGTGCGCAGAGCATTATGCGCGCGTTCATAAATAAGTCCATGCACAGAGTAGTGGGTCCAAGTTAGATAATAATTGGAGGGGTGTTAACTAAAACATCTTCACGTTAAGCAAAAATGTGGTAACCTGTATTATTTATTTACTTAGTTACCACCTTTTTGCATAGCGCAAGTATGTTAATTAACACCTTTGTCCAGCAACCCCTTCAATTTTAACCTCAATATTACGTGCGTAATCAAAATTTTGCTTTTAGATCTCACATTCTGTGCTCATTTGATCGCATATAAATATTCAAGCTTTGAACTCTTAACGCGTTATTTTGAGTTATGAACTTGGGAATGATGTGCGCGTTAAAATAGTCCGCGATAATTTGTGCTTTCTCCGTAAATTGTACTATTATCCTTGGTTTAGGACTATTATTAACAAAGAACACAAGTGTTATTTGATTATTAACAAATTTTAAACGACATACAGCATTGCTATATGTCTTAAGATTTAGTCATTTACTAAAAAGTTTTGAATGCACAGTACGCTAAAGAAGTATCGGGTTTTCGCAACGGGCGCGCCATCTGGTGGACTTCGGTAGCATTACGTGAATTTAAGAATTGTCAACAATACATTTAGAGCACATATTATACATCATTTTTAAATAAATAGATAGTTTTTTCACAAAAGAGAGGAAGGCAGAAGTCTTACTCGACAAATTTTGTTCAATTGCACAGCTAAATCGCGCACGTTATTTGTGTTTTACGTTGCAAGGAAAAAATTAAAAAACTTTTTTAGTACCCGATTTCGATTGATTATTATACATATTATTATATCATTGATTAAGATACTCCACGCTTAAATGCTTATATAGTTACGTTAGTATGTGCATTTTATCTAAGGGATCATGGTGAATTATTGTGTTTTTAATTGTAAATAAAATTCAAGAACTAAATCGTTGCATTTTCATGTTTTGCCAAAGGATCCAATTCGGTAAGTACATTTGTTGGTGCAGAATTAACTAATGATAACTTTACCTAATATAATTTATATTTAAGTTTGGACATTTTTAAGAAATTAGTAAAAAATAATTTTTGCACAAACATATCCTCAAAATCAACCATTTTTATATTTGAGATCTCTAAAAAACGCTGACAACTGCATTTTAAACAACAAAATATACCTAGGAATTGAAACATTTCAAACACAACAAATCGAGCCACGGTTTTTTTTCGATATTTTTTAACATTATTCGGCTTTATTCTCAAAAATACTCGTTTGTAACATAAGCGTTGACAGCTGATTATTAAAAGTCGTACTTTTGTTACGATGATAAAAGCCGAGTGGTGGCGCTACTAGCGATACTTCTTTAGCGTATAATTATATTAAAATTGTTATTTGATTACTTATTATATAATTTTTTATTCAAAAATAGTGACAATCGAATTTGACACGAATTTTACTTATTTACGGTATGGTTTTGGAAATAATACAATACATTTTTTAAATTACTTACCAAAGTGAATGTCAAAGCTTCAGTAAAACCAGCTTGTGCAATAGGACTTCTAAGCAAGTCAGACAACTTATTAACTGGTAGTTGTTGTCCGATAGTATTGGTTTTTGGTACAGTCCTTATGATGTTGTTATAGCCATAAGCTATGGCTACATCTTCATAAATATCACAATCATGCAAAATGTCATGTCTTGTAGGCGGAATTACCACCTTAATGTCATCCCCATTTGATGTCAACTTTGGTGCCAAACTCATTTTGCCAAGAAGTTTTTCAATCACTTCACCATCGGCGTCAATTCCGATTTTCTTCTGGATTTTCGATATCGACACAACTCTGTTGGAATATTTGAGTTCAGGAGTTTTTTGTACGGATTTGTCTGGGTATATTACGTCGCAATATTCAACTTCGTATTTGTTGACACAATAAGTGCTGAACATACAGACTATTGTGTCCAAAACTACTTTTGCCTGTAAAATCATTTTAAGAAGAATCCGAGTAAGAATCTTAACACTATTGTTATAAAAACAAAATATACAACGCATATACAGCGACTTGTAGTTAACATGGTTGACAGATATATGTTCTGTCAGTTTGTGTCTGAAAATGTAAACTTTATAGAGTCATTCCAAATAAAAACACCAAATGGGGTGCGCTGCGTGATTTTTTATTTTGATGAAAAAATTTGAGGATGATCTTTTAGGTGTCAAATATGAAAATCCGTTGCCGTTTTAATTTTTTGTTGCTTTACTTTTATTTGGCACCCCTTAGAAGTCTGAAATAATGTCAATTTCTTACTCTCTTATAGTGGGCCAGAACTTTTTTTCTGTGACAAATATTGAAATAATTTTAATTTTGTTATACTGTCCAGTAAGTGTGTTTTCGATATAAATTATTTTTATCCAATTAGTTAATCTCATAAAAGAATGGTAAACCACTAAAGATTCATGATAATTTGCCAATTTTTGTGATTTTTGTCTGGCTCCTGTGCCTATTCTACTGAATTTAGAAGGTTCATTTTTTTTCAGGTATAAAGTACGTATACAATAGAAAACGTAACTATTATTTTAAGTTTCTAGACTATCAATTTCTTTATTAAAAAAATTATTGAAAATTGATAATTCTCAAAATTAGCCAATTTTGCCCTCAGAAATCATTATGTTGAGGAAAAAATAAAAATCTGAAACTTTCAGGAAATGTAGTCCCCACCTTCATCTTTTCAGTCCAGTTAGTCTTGTTTTGTTATTTTTATTCCTTTAAAAGATATCTTAATTTTTTTAATGGCCGTTTAGTAGCGATTGATTATAATTTAAAATTTAGATGGCTTTCATGTTTGATGGAGAAGTGTCAGAACTGTCAAAAATATTTCATAAATATTATTTGTGCGTATTTCTTTGGTAAATTTTGTATATAACATAATATGTAATATTATGTTATATATAAAACTTTTTAAAATGACCAAAGGAATACCACAAATAATAATTATGAAATATTTTTCAGAGTTCTGATATTTATATATATATATATATATATATATATATATATAATTATATATTATATACATTATAATGAAGTATTTAATTGGCTAATTGGTGTTTAAAGAAGAAGAATGTAAAAAATATATTTAAGATCCTTATGGTTTATAATATCGTTAAGTATAATAAGTGAAATTAATAAAGATTTAATTTAAACGTATAAAAAATGCGTTAAGCAGTTTTTTGTCGGTTTCTTTCACAATTTAAACCAAGTTAGTCTTGTTCTATTATTTTGATCTCTTTAGTAAGGCACTAAATAGTTAAAAGTTAAATGTATGTATTTTAAATGTTAGTTTTGGAAAAAATTTACACAATCTGTAAATACTTCTTTAAATTTTAGTTTTTAGGTAACTGGTTAAAATAAAACATGTTATGTTATATAGAATATTTTTTTGTTTTTTGCTTATTTTTAACAATTTAAAACTTCTCAGAAATATTTTCCATAAGAAAGAGGTACAAAATTATGATATGTTCTTGCATTTTTAATTGCGATTAAATTCATGAATCTCGAACACTCCGTCATTTATTACACTTGTAAACTTGTAAACTTTTTGAAATCACAATTTAAATACACACAAATAAAATTTATGAAATATTTTTGACAGCTCTGACATTTCTCTACCAAACATGAATTGACAAAGTCAAAGCCATCTAAATTTTAAGTTATAAATAAAACTAACAATATCGCTACTAAACGGGCATTAAAAAAATTAATATATCTTTTAAAGGAATAAAAATAACAAAACAAAACTAACTGGACTGAAAAGATGAAGGTGGGGACTACATTTCCTGAAAGTTTCAGATTTTTATTTTTTCCTCAACATAATGATTTTTGAGGGCAAAATTGGCTAATTTTGAGAATTATCATTTTTCAATAATTTTTTTAATAAAGAAATTGATAGTCTAGAAACTTAAAATAATAGTTACGTTTTCTATTGTATAAGTACTTTATACATAAAAAAATGAACCTTCTAAATTCAGTAGAATAGGCACAGGGGCCAGACAAAAATCACAAAAATTGGCAAATTATCATGAATCTTTAGTGGTTTACCATTCTTTTATGAGATTAACTAATTGGATAATAATAATTTATATCGAAAACACACTTACTGAACAGTAAAACAAAATTAAAATTATTTCAATATTTGTCACAGAAAAAAAGTTCTGGCCCACTATAAGAGAGTAAGAAATTGACACTATTTCAGACTTCTAAGGGGTGCCAAATAAAATTAAAGCAACAAAAAATTAAAACGGCAACGGATTTTTATATTTGACACCTAACAGATCATCCTCAAATTTTTTCATTAAAATAAAAAATCATGCAGCGCACTTTTAAATTCATTTTTGGTGTTTTCATTTGGATTGACTCTATATCATCATAACTTTGTTATTGATAACAAATTATGACTTATTTTTTAAACGTGTTTAGAAATTTGTTTTTTATGAATAAATAGTCATACATTAAATTAACAAAAATAAAATAAAATTTTAAACCCTTAAAAGTTAAAAAACTTTTTTCGGAAAAATTGTTTTGTATTTTGTTTGTACTTAAAATAACCACTCCTACATTATGTTATACCATCGGTGCGCATTTGGGGTTGACTTTCTATTAAGGAATAGAATAAATTTCTATTTCTAAACAAAATATTTTTTTACTTTAAAAAAGACCAAAAGTTAAGCTAAGAGAAATAAGGAAAAAAATGTGTTTTTGTTACCCAAATTTAGCTCATGACTCATGAATCATATCATAAAATGTTTACGGCCCCCTGATAATTTAGACAATAACTTGATTGCAATAACATTTATATTTATGTATTATCAAAAAAATAAAAAAAACACTAATAACTCATATCAGACGATGGCCTGTTATACCGATTATCGCTTGTTTCGCTGTCTTTTAATGTAGTCTCAAAACAGTTTCTTTGCGACCTAGATACCATGCGCGAACGCGACATAATGCAGTAAAATGGTAAAACATCCTGACCGCGCAAATTCAAATATTGAATGCTTTATATTTATATTTTAGCATGAAATATCTTTTACAATCTTTGTTAATCTATATTTTTTTATTTAGAAGTAGAATTTTTTGTGCTCTCACGCCCCCCTTAACATTACTTCACGCCCCCCAGTTTGGGAACCACTGATCTTGACAGGATAAGTTAAAAGTGTTACTTTGTATTTTCTCCTACTCAAATTGTTTTGCCTGTTCCTTAAATTTAGATTTGAGTCAGAGAAGTTTCAGTGTATACAAAATAAATTGTAAAATTAAAAAGTACACAAACAGTGTGTCCACGGATGGACTTAACTATACTTGTAAAAATATTTATTTTCAATTTTTCGAGGAAAAGTCATTTTTCATAATTTCTTTTGCTTGTTATATAAATTCAATTCGCGTTGAGAAACATCCATTTTGAGTCATAATCACAAAATGAGATAGCAGTCAATTTCTACAAAATAATAGGACCACTTAAGTTAGGACCTGAATTGATTTTATTTTTAATAACAAATATCCTAGTAACAACAACTCGCATGAAAAAACTTTATTTGGCTTTTTGGTTTCTCCTTACAAGCTCTTCATAAGGGGCTCAAAAAAATATATTTAACAATTTTTAATTTTACAAGTCTACAATTGTATTTTTTGTGCGCACCCTGTATAACAAAATATAAGTTTCTCATCGTGAATGGTATTTAAATTATAACAAGCACAAGAAATTATGAGTGACTTTTCTTTCAAAAATTGAAAATAAATATTTTTACAAGTATGGTTAAGTCAATCCATGAACACCCTGTATATCTGTATATCTAATATATTTTTATCTGTATATCTAATATATTTTTATTATCAAAATTTAGCTCATGACTTTAGGATTGACAAAAAGTTGAGAGAATAAAATAGTTAAAGGAATAAAATTGGTAAAATAATATTTCATTAAATAATCCACAAATTTTGTGAATTTGATTGTGGAAAAATGTATTTAAGGTTTTTTACTCTATAAACATGTATGTACAGTGGCCGACACGGAATTTTGAACGACTATCATCCCGTTGACATCAAAATCTAAACTTTCTTTATGGACAACTAACCTTACTTTCGGTTATCAATAGTATTGTAATTTTGACAGCGAAAGCAAAAATGCTTAATATTGTATCTTTGCTATTTACAGATGTATACATTGACAACCAAGTTATGTCGTTCAAAATTCCGTGTCGGCCACTGTACCTATTAAAAATAATGTTTTACATAATTACAGTGTGAAAGTAATAATGTTAAAACTTGTATTATGCTCCATACCCAAAAGCATAGAAAAATTGATGTTGACATTTGAATACAAATAATTAAGGTTCCTATTATCTTAATTCAGAACACAAAATATACATAAATTGTATTACTTTCAGAAAATAAGACGAAATTAGCGTTAAACTGACAAATGGATAACGTCAATTATTTGTATTCATATGTCCAAATGGGACTTTTGGGTGTAGAGTACCTAAAAAAATGTAGTTACCTTTGTTAGATCAGTAGCAGTACACTCAATAAAAACATTCTTGGTATCCAAGGTTATTTTAGAATGATCTCCATTAATAATAGGAGGCAAGGACAAAACAACCCCTTTACTATCAGTAATAACAGGATACACAGGACTGTCCTTGATGATATGCAAATATTGCTTCAACTGTGCATGAGTAGAATATAATTCCATTAACTCCTCAGCTGAATGTTCCTCAGTTTTATTTAGAGGCACAAAACGAATGTCTGATGGTTTTTGGGCATCATAATAAAATGGAGGTTGCAAAGTGTCCAAGTCATGGGTGCCTATGGCAACCAAAGACCTTTTGCGACAAATATTCTGGTGTAGTTTATCTTGAAGATCAATGAAGCTGTTGTAAGAATCTGGTGAGAATGTTAAGTTCCTCAAAATTGCAGCCACTGCATATGGACGTATTTGAGCAGTATTTGGTTTAATGGTTAGTGTTACTTTCTTCTTGGGTTTTACACCTTTGTATAGGGGTGGATCGATTCTTAAATTAATTTATTATAAAAAAAGACAATATTAATATAAACTACTTACTTTCCCATAAATACAAGTAATCCTGTTACTAGACCTTCCAAGCAAAGTAAATCATATCTGTTAGCTGGAATATCAATACGATATATTATATCTTCTGAAGCTCCATGAGACAATTGAGAATCTTCCCCTTGTTCTTTTGAAATCATTTGTTTTTCGGTTGTCTGAAATTATTGCTTACAAAACACCTATTAACTTAAAAAAGATTTACTTACAACTTCATCAAGTTCCAATCCGAACTCAAAACAAAGTTTCTGAAACTCATCGTCGGCTGCAAATAAAAAAATATTTCTACTAAAATATGGTTGGTTAGATAATGTTACCTTACTGTATTTTTTTCCTAGAGCTTCGAATAAAACGTCACGCTTAACACCAATGGTCGGCATTTTAATTTGTTTGCTATATTAATGTATTAGGGCTTAAATTACTTGAAAAACGTGTATCAACCACAAAACTAGAAGGTATCAACTAAGAACACACGGTATTGCCTCAGCCGTCAATTTTGACAACGATTCTAACCTAAAAAAAAATTCTTGCTCCTTTTTAGTTTTTAGCCCTTTTTATAATTTATAATCCTATAAATCGTTTAATAAGTTTTTCGATAATTTTGCTTTAATTTTAACTTTAATATTTAACTTAAATAAAATAAAATTAAAAATAGTTTTAAAATACCAAAAAGTAGTTCAACTTTATATAATAGGAAGCTAGGAAGAAGAAGACACAGGCTTCAAATATTTTCTGCACCTCAAAATTTTCTTAGTATTTGGGTATGGAAATACCTTAAATTACCTATTACAAAACAATAAAAAGAAGGGTGGAAAAACCTCACTCAACGGAAAAACAGTAAATATGAATCCTCAAATTAGTACCAAGGAGAAACTTCTCTATATTATTGATGATATGGAACTTATATCAAAGTAAGTTTTTTGTTTAATTAGTTTAAGAAACAAAGATTAACTTATAGTATTTTAGAGAAATAATTGAGAATGCTATAGCTCCTAAAACCAATAAACTATCTGGCCCTGAATATGCCCAACTTACAGATCTTTTGGTGGCAAAAGATAATGAATTAAAAGAAACTCTTAAACTTGCCTCAGAGCAAGCAATGATTAACAAAAAGATGGACATGCTAAAATCAGAAGTGGAGAGACAGGATCAAGACATAAACCAACTGCAAAAACAACTCAAAGAGGCAGAACAAATATTATCCACAGCTATCTATCAAGCCAATCAAAAGTTGCAATCTATTGCCAGAGCTAATAAAAGGCCAGTATCTTCAGAGGAGTTAATAAAGTTTGCACATAGAATTAGTGCTTCAAATGCCATTTGTGCTCCACTAACTTGGCAACAGGGGGATCCTCGTAGACCTTATCCCACTGATATAGAAATGAGGTTAGGGTTCTTGGGGAGGATATCTGATACATCAAATGGGCATTTACTGCAACAGCAGAATAGTATGTCAGATCTGCATAAGTTGGGACACCCTGGAGGTAAGACTTTTACATTTAAGAAGATCCATTATAAATTACTCTAAATAGAACTTATAAATACTATTTTTATGCACATCATGCTTTGTGGGCATGCCCGCTCTACTTAATTTCTAATTAACTCACAACATTATTTCTTTCTTACTGAGGATCGTAGAAAAATCTGAACTAGGGATGCTGTACAAGAACTATAGTTTAATTTGATCAAATTTTTACACAATAGGCATAAAAGTTGATTGTTTTTAAAAATACCTTGTGTAATTTAAAATCTTTGCTAAAATGTCAGTAAAAACTATAATTTGCAGCAAAACAAAATATTTTATTTAATTATGGCTAGATTTTTTAATAATGAAGTTAATTTATCTTATTACTTATTTTAGAAATTCCTGCATCACAGCAAAACCAATTTGCGTGGCATCCATCAGGAGAAATGCATATTAGCGTTGGACAGGGGACTGTTCCAATGGACACAAGAAATCATAAGCAAGAAACAGAAGATGTTGAAGTTATGTCAACTGATTCGAGCAGCTCTTCTTCCAGTGATTCCCAATAAGGTTGAAGTTTTTAATTAATTTTACTTTATTTTTTTTAATTGATTATTTTTATTTAAAAATATACATACTTAGATTAAGGTCAATATTTCCTAAAATAAAACAATTTAATACTCAAATATTTATTGTGTTTGCAATGGAAAATCTGTTTGACAAATTATTCACTAACACAGGGGACTTGGGTGGAACTCTTGGAATTGGTGGAGTTTCTGGTAAAGGTGGAACTTTTGGGGCTTTGTCTGGTATGGGTACATTTTGTAAATCCAGTAAACTTAACCTTACATCCATATCCACTAAAGTTTTGAGTTCTTCTTTAAATAAATCAGTTTCCTTATCTGAGTCTAAAATAATTGGGGAATTATAATTTTTTTAAAAATTCTAAAATAGTTTTATACTTGTTAAAATAGATAAGCCATCTATCCAATATGAAGCATCTCTTTTATTGTTTGCAATTAGTAGAATTTTTGTGTAATCCTCCATTATTAAACTAAAAGCTTTTAGTGCATCTGATGAACATCTAAAAAATTACAAATATAATGAATTGAGTCAAAACAACAACACTCAAAAGTCAAAACAACAACAGTTTTTATAAGTATTCACAGTTTTTTTTATTATATTTAACTTACTCAACAGATTGCTCACAATTTTTACCATGAGCAAGATTTGCGACATCTTTAATGTTTATTGTTGTAACCGTTTTACATTTTATTTCTTTTTTTCCTGGAGTGACATCACTAATGTGTATTTCTTTGTTGTTGTCCGATAGGTATACAATAACATGGGATAATTTAAAAAATGGCCTCCTTGTTCCACTCAATACTCGTTGCATTCTAGTTTTTTTGTGCATAAAGATAAATCTTTGCCTTAAAACGTATTTCCTGTTATTTTTGGAAAATTTCTCCCTTAGTTCTTGAATGCAAGGATGATAGTTTATAAGATTGGCTAGATGTTTATTTTCTTTATTCTGAAATAATACAAGTTATTAATTTATTAATTGCTTACCATCAATATTACCTCCCAATGTTTAAAAACTTGAATAACGGAGCTGTTGGTAACTGCGTTATGCAATTCCTTAAAATTCATTGGCTTTGTCTCCAAGACCATTCGAATTTGTTCATTAACGACCCTCATAACCTTAAAATTATTAGTAGTTTATTTTTAATTTAAAATATTTTTTCGTTTTTATACTTTTGTATAATCTGCAAGACTTGTGGCTTTCATTTCTCTTCTTGTTCTTGATAACAAACTCAAAGTTCTGCAAAAAAGTTCCATAAAAAATGGACTTTTGTTGCTGCAGTAAACTAAAGGTTGGTAAGTCGTTTCGGATTTGTCAGGATTTTTACCAACGTGGAGTAAGTGGCACAGCATTTTTACTATTCTAAAATTATAATATATATTATATGTGAAGTTGTAAAAAACATTTTCTTTAGTTTTGAACAAAAATTTGTGACGAGAATTGATAGAAAAATGAGGTTTTTTAAGTTAAAAAAAAAAGTATATAGGTAGTTACTAGGGATGTAACCAATATTCACATTTGAGAATATTAGCATGATTTTTGAGATTTGCATACGCAAAAATTCATCCGAATATTGTTAGGACAAAAATGCAACAGTTTTTTTTATGTTTTTTGTTGAGATCAATTCCGACATAAACCATAAATCAGTTTCAATATTTTTTTATACAAGACAAAACCTGATAGAACGAAAATATCAAATAGCGTTTAGTTGCCTAGCAAGGGCGCAAAAAAAGTTCGAAAAGTTGACGTTCGCATTCGCGAATGTGTGAAAACCGACCTTCGTTACACCACTAATAGGCAGAGCTGGGCACGAGTACTAAAAAAAGTATTCGTACGAGTACTTAAAATATTTACTCGTAAGTACATTTGAGACCTGTCATAGCAAAACCGTCAATCTCCACTTTTGGTCAAAAATTAGATGTTTGGCGGAGACTGTACTTCAACTAATTATCTATAAGATGATAAAGTTTATGTGCTGCAAAAGGAGCTAAATCCTGCTTAAAATCCTATTTTAAAAATTACATTTAGTGCAAAGTCGACAATCTCCACTGATAGATTTGCAGCAAAGTATACAATCTCCAATTCCCCCGTTAGAAATTAGTAATTTGTGTCACCTGATATCCTAACATTTGAAGTTATAACGTATTTTAGAGATTTAATTTTGTGTTTTTTTACTGGTACTTAAAAAATATATTTAAAATAGGTAAATCTACGTTTTATTGTTTTAAGAATTATAAAAAAAGTTATCTTGTTTATTTTGTGCTATTATACCATAATAAGACGAAAAGGTAAAGCAAGAAAAGGCTGATAATGTCAAAACATTGCAAGTAAAACATTACGGGGCAAAGTGGGAAGGAGATGATGAGTTGTTGTAATTTTTTTGCACGAGGCAACCTGGTCCCAGTTTTAGAAGAAACTCCAGATTTATGTGGTCCAGTTGAGAATTTTCTCACATTGATTGTATAGTTAAATTTTATATATAACCATTAAAAGGAGAAAAATACAATTATTTTTTTGTTTATTTTTCTAAATCTCCTTAAACGTTTACAACAAAATGAGCAATCTTCAGCAATTCATTTCAAAGTCAGCAATCTCCAATTTATAATTATAGATTCCACCTATACTATGAATCCTGTAGTTGGCTACTAGACTAACAATATAATATATAAAAAAATTACAAATCTAGAATTTAAAATACCAAAATCAATTATCTCAATTTACTCAGGTTTAGTCTGACAGGAGATTGTTGACTTTGCTCTGACAGGCCTCATCTGTAAAGAGAGGTTACGGTTACGAGTAGTAATCGTAAAAACACGAGTAAAAAATACGAGTACTTTTGAAAAAAAAATGTTAGTTAATATAATTGTCAATTCCACTCCTGTCAATTTAAACCTATTATTATTATTATTATTAAAAAACTGTCAAAAATACGGTTTGCTGACAATAATACATATGTACTTCTTTACTCGGGGTCTTTAACCAAAATTTCAAAAGCTCATAGCACATCCTCTAGGCTTTTAAATCCAAAAAAAGATCAATGCTTGGGTATAACACATCTAAATTTAAACCAAATCTGACAATTTGCCAGCTTGGCCTGAAATGCCCTACTTATTAAAACTATGCTTGGTGGCACTACTTAATATTAAGGATTTAAAATTTGGAAGAATTAGTATCAATCGATGATAAAGCTCTCTAGCGGCAAAACAAAGCAACTTGAGATAAGTTGTTTTTTTTTTAATAATAATATTTGTTTATTTTAATAACAATTTTTAACCACAGAACAGTCCCTAAGCCCTATGGGCTTGTGTGGACTATTTACAAATGTTACTATTTACAATGTAAATAATATTTATAAATTTATAAAATGTAAAATAAAATCAGGTACAGTGCACAATTACACCTCAAGCAATGTTATCTTGGAGCAAATATCGGCAAAAAATTTCTATGTCCACTATGTCCATTGTTTTATATTTTTACAAAACCTTAAATAATTGCAGTGTTTTACTTCAGAAGGTAGTAGATTAAATAATTTTGAGCCTGGATAACAGAAATGTAGAGTAAAATTTGGGTATCCCAATGATCCCCATTGATCTGTTGTTATGACAGATGTTGGTATTACACATAGAAGGAGACTTATGAATATACTTTAATGCTGAGTTTATATATAATTCCTTGATTCCTAAATTTTCCTTTCTTTAAATATTTCAACAGTTGGTGTCATTCTAGTTTTTCCGAGCAGTACTTTAATGGCATATTTTTGAGTTATATTGAGGGGTTCAAGCAGAGTTTTACATGCAGATCCCCAGGCTATAATACCATAATTTAGGATTGACTGTACAATTGCGTTATATAAGTACCATTATTAACATTTTTCTACAACCGAGAAAAAAGTAAAAATTTGCGCTTCCAAAAGAAAGCGCAAAGTTGCACTTTTCTGAGGAGCAAGCGTTTCTTTACTTTATCGCTCACCGAGCGACAAAGTAACCAAAACGCTCGCTTAGTTACCATGGAAACCATAATGACACAAAGTCAAATTTGAGCTTATCAATAATTATTGACGGCGGCTATCTCGCGAAATCGGCAATGTTACTTTGCTCTCGAATTACACACAGGATTTTTCTACAACCGGTTTTTTATAAAAAAAAGTTTGGTAATAATTAATAATTATAATTAGCCGTCAAACTTCTTGCTCAGAGCGACAATATATCACTCTGCGCTCTTAATACACAAATAGCTATTTTGTTTCCAAAATATTTCTTAATGAGTAAAATTTATTAATCGTTTTTTGAATTTTACTTATGTTGCTTTTAATGTGCTCATCCCATCTTAGCATGTTGTCCATATGGATGCCCAGATATTTTGTAACTTTTTTTTGGAGAAATAACACGTTCGCATTGACTGTATAGGCTATGATCTTTTAAAGTAGTTAAATTTACTTTATTATTATATACCAAGGAAGCTGGTATTTTGTTTTACACATATTTATCGGACATCGACATGATATCATGTATAATTAATTTTCAACTACTTACATGTCACTGGAGGTGAATATACCAGGTTTGTATTTGTTTTCTTCAGCGCATGATTGTTTAAATAAAGAATAACATTTTGATTTACAATAGCCTAAAAGTAATACAAATTATATTTAATGTTAACAACTGTTTTTTTTTTAAATTACTCAAACACTCAAAAGTCAAAATAGTTATTTGAACAATGTCAGTTTCTAGGTTTTCAATGTTGCAAATGTATGATGAATTTCTTGAACTTTCAGATAGAACTGAGGTAATAGAATATCTACAAAATCATTAATGTTATTTATTTTTTATTTTTTTAAATTATATTTTACCTGGAAATTTTATTGCCACTCAAACTCAATGTATCCATTTGAAACCCAGAATTATTTTCTTCAGTATATTCATTTACAAAACTTGTTCTAATTATGTCATCATCAACTTTTTCTGATTCATCTAATAAACCATTTGGTTTTACTACTCCATTTAAAGCATCCGAGTATAAACTTAATAGATAGGTCTGACAAACATATAATTCATGCTCTGTATCAGAATCGAGCTTCCCATCTTTAATAAAACGATTAAAAATAAATTCTCTATTTTTCTTCTGGTTTATTTCTTTGATTAACGTTAATTTTTTGTACACTTTTAAAAATGTATTAATCATTCTTAAGGCGTCAAATTTCACAACATCATACGATTCATCATTAATATATCTCAAGAACAAACTGAAACTTAGTTCATTGATGATCTAAAATTTAATATGGTATTTATTATAGTATGAGTATGTATTAACAAAATTGTACATACCCTTTGCTTCCAATCATTGAAAACACCGTTTCTATTAATTAAAATATTCCTTAGAACCATCAAGGAATATTTTATACAGGCATTGCTGTATCTGTCCTCGCCAATACTGTAATCTTCATTTTTGGCAATTTTTAACATTTTATCCAAAATGTTCGGTTCCACAGTATCAATAAAACCCATTTTGAATAAATGGGCAAAGTTTAAGAGACATGCCTCAATTTCGTTATTTTTCATATCGTTATCTTTGATGAACATTTCCATTAATTCAATGTGTTTATTGTATAGAACTTAAATACGAATAAATTAGTATTATTATGGCATTTAAAAAAAAAACAAAAATAGTATATTATGTATCAAGTTTGATAAACGCCATTTTATACACGAATTTAATTTAGGCACGAGCGAGTGCTTAAATTAATGAGTGTATATAAAAGTTTATAAACGAGGTGCATACTATACTTTTTCTACGACAAATACTTATTATTATGTTAAAATGATTTAAATCAAAAAATTCTATAGATCGCTATCTATGAAACAATAGGGGAATCTGTGTGTCACCGTCAAATGTTAATTTTTTTTACTTTATAAACAGATTATAAAGGTTATAAATCGAAATGTATTTCTTGAAAATTGACAGTTTTTCACAATGAAAGTAAAGAAAATGTTTTATGAGCACTTTACAGTGGAGTCCGTGCCCGAATTTAAGTAATAGTTTATTGCCGGCGAAATTAAAAGGTCAGTACAATGTTCATATAAACTTTTCAAATATTGGCGTTGAGAAACTATTTAATACTTTTGTATTTTTGTATTGGGATAATAAAATAATTTTTACATTTAGTATTATTTTACAAGAAAGGCACTTTATTTTAACGATTGTATGACATTTGACAACTGTCATCTAACTTAAAACTAACTTCAGCCCGTGACTAAAAACCTGTTGCTTACTTCAGCCCGTGACTAAAGCGCCATAAAGCCACAACTTGTCAATGTATATTTAAAAGGTCACTTAGTGTCATGGAAACATGTACGATAAAGGGCGTTTTAAAGGTGGGAGTAGAAAATAGTAAATTATGTATCAAGTTTGATAAACGCGAATTTAATTTAGGCACGAGCGAGCTTGCGAGCGGGTGCTTAAGTTAATGAGTGTATAGAAAAGTTTATAAACGAGGTGCATACTATACTTTTTCTACGACAAATACTTATTATTATCTTAAAATAAGTTAAATCAAGAATTTGTATAGAGCGCCATCTATGAAGCAACAGGGGAAACTGTCAAATGTCACATTTTTACATTTTATAAACACAATTATAAAGGTTATAAATCGAAATATATCTTGAAAATTGACAGTTTTTCCACAGTGAAAGTAAAGGAAATGCTTTATGAGGACTTTACAGTATGTGCCCGAATTTAAGTTATAGTTTACTGCCGGCGAAATTAAAAGGTCAGTACAATGTTCATATAAACTTTTCAAATATTGGCGTTGAGAAACTATTTAATATTTTTGTATTTTTGTATTGAGATAATAAAATAATTTTTACATTTAGTGTTATTTTACAAGAAAGGCACTTTATTTTAACGATTGTATGACATTTGACAACTGTCAACTAACTTAAAACTAAATTCAGCCCGTGATTAAAAACCTGTTGCCAACTTCAGCCCGTGACTAAAGCGCCGTAAAGCCACAATTTGTCAATGTGTATTAAAAAGTCACTTAGTGTCATGGAAACATGTACGATAAAGGGCGTTTTAAAGGTGGGAGTAGAAAAAATATGTTAAATTGTTCATAGTTTTTATGTTATTTTGTCTTTTATTACTATTATTTAGAGCTTCTCTTAAACTTCTTCGGTACCTTTTAGAACAATTTTAAAATATATATAATCCCACACAGCAACCCGAGTTCAGATTTTTCTCAGTTTACCTCATGCATTTTGCTCTTTTGTGTATAACCTGCGCTCATGTCGTGAAAAAGAAATCATTTCGTGAGTTAATTTATTATTAAGTGGCGCGGGCATGCGCACAGAGCATTATGCGCGCGTAATTATACCTGTGCGAGCACATTATACGCATGCGCAATTAAGCCTTTGCTTTCAGACCTCACACTGTTTTTTGATCACGTATTCAGCGGCACAACGTAAGGTAAAGTTCATAAAAAATACTTACACATATCTCTAATAAATGCATCGTAATTATACCTGTGCGAGCACATTATACGCATGCGCAATTAAGCCTTTGCTTTCAGACCTCACACTGTTTTTTGATCACGTATGCAGCGGCACAACGTAAGGTAAAGTTCATAAAAAATACTTACACATATCTCTAATAAATGCATCATCTGTACTGAGCTCCAATAGATCTCTAAATGCCATATTTCTAGCTTCATTTTCCTGACTTAAAAATGTAAAAATCGTGGTTAAGCGGTGTTCAGTGGTAAAAACAACTTTAAATTCGTCCAAGTTTTCGATAGAGTGCAAATTGTCTTGATTTAAGTAATACGTTAATTTGCTGTTTGATTTCTGTTTTATTAATTTTAAAGTATACACTGATGACTCTGACGGCTAAAAAAAGGACATATTATTTATAATTTATAATCAAGTTAACTATAAATCATTTTTATGGTTTTATGTCCGTGATAATAATATTATTTAATGTTAATTAAATTAATGTTAATTGTATATTATGTTACATTATGTTACACGGGCTAAAGTTATAGCTTACTTATAAATTGGTAAAAGTGAGGTTAAATCCATTGAGAGTTAACAGATGTCATATTTTACAACTAAAATTGGCTTTAAATTCTTCTTTTTCTTCGTCGTAGAGAAAGTTTTAGTGTTTAATTCGTTTTATAAACTTCTATAGACATAAATTATGTGTCATGTTTTATAAACGCCATTTTATTTACAACTTTTATTAGGCACGAGCGAAGCTTGCGAGCGAGAGTCTATGGAAGTTGCATACTATATTTTTCTACGACGAATACAAAGAAGAATTGAAAGCCAATTTTATTTGTAAAAATATTAAATCTGTCAATTTTTAACGGATTTAACCTCACTTTTTCCCAATTTATAATAAAGCTTACCTTAACCTGTGACTAAAATGACCAAAAGCCACAGTTGCTAAATTCTGCCCGTGACTAAACGAAGTCACAACTTGGGGAGTGGATAAAAATAATAATATTAATACAAGTTTAATATGTTATTTAATAATAATAATAATAATATTTATTGGTCTAAAGATCATACAATGATATGAGACAAGTCAATTCACTATTATGTTATTTAAGTATATATAAATTAAATATCTACAACAAATTCCAATACCACTTAATTTAAAAATTCTTCGACTGAATAAAAAGCTTTTTCAAGAAGAATCAATTTTAAGTTATGTTTGAAAGAATTTAAAGTTTGAATTTTAAGAGAAGTATCTAGATTATTGTATAATAATGTACCTATTAATTCTAAATTAGAACAATGTCTTGTGTTATATATGTATGATGTTCATTAAGACTAAAACATTTTGAAAGGTTCTTTTTAACATAAATAAGTGACTATAGAATAAACAAACATGGGAGGGTTAGTATTTTTTTTAGAATAGATGGTACTATTACTATAAGTTTAATTTTATTTCAATGTTTTTTCATGGATAACTTGACAAAATAAATTTTTGTAGTTGTTATTATGCATTTTTTTTCTTAAATTTTTTTAATAAAATTTAGTATAGGGACGTTTTGAGGGGTGTTGAATCCAGTGCCGTGCTTAGATTTTATTTTAAAAAATCGCTAATATGAATTCTTAAAAATTTACTCTTAAAAACTGACATAGTCGGCCTTGTATTTTATAAAAATATGGCATTTTTTGCTTCAAAAATACAGTTTATCAAGATCTACACTTTAAAACAAATCCGGTTAAAATCGCACAATAAATAAAGATTTTACAGGGGTGAGTCGCAAACAATTGGGTCACACTATATATATATATATATATATATATATATATATACAGGGTGTTTCATAATATATGCGCAGGTCTTCAGGATGGGATAGCTCATCCAAAAAGATGAAAAAAGTCGCTATTAACTTACCCTCTAAAATGCACAATTTTCGAGATACAGGGTGTTGAAATTTTAGAAAAAAAATCGTTTTTTTAGATTATCTCTGGAACCGTTTATCGTACAAAAAACAGCTTTTGTAAGCATTTTCTACTCATAATAAGCTAGGTATTGTGCCAGAAAAAAATTTTTTTACTCATAATTGGTGGAGATTTTGAAGGGGGTAGCGGGTGTTTTTCTCCTCAACTTCAACGCTCCTGAAAAAAGTACAGTTTTGAGAGGCCCATTCGAACCGCCAATGTTTTCTACAGAAAAAAGGTACTCTTGGTCATAAGCTCTAAAGTTGACCGTTTTCGAGAAAAATCAACTTTTATGTTTAAAAACATGGTAAATTTTTTGAAAAAAAAAATCATTACTAATTAAACAAAATTTATTTTAACGTTAGAAAAAGTAACAAAACCAAACGATAATTGCAAAATTAAAAAAAAAATAAAAAATGATTTTTTACTCAAATGCTGAAATGTGCCAAATGCGTTACCTTTACGGTTTGGAGAATTAAGCAAAGACAACTTTTAAATCATTTTTTATTTTGCAATTATGGTTTGGTTTTGTTACTTTTCCTAACGTTAAAATAAATTTTGTTTAATTAGTAAAAAAAAAATATTTTTTTTTAAATTGACTATGTTTTTAAACATAAAAGTTGATTTTTCTCGAAAACGGTCAACTTTAGAGCTTATGACCAGGAGTACCTTTTTTGTGTAAAAAACATTGGCGGTTCGAATGGGCCTCTTAAAACCGTACTTTTTTCAGAGGCGTAGAAGTTGAGGAGAAAAACACCCGCTACCCCTTCAAAATCTCCATCAATAATGAGGAAAAAAAATTTTTTTCTAGCACAAAACATAGCTTATTTTGAGTAGAAAATGCTTACAAAAGCTGTTTTTTGTACGATAAATGGTTCCGAAAATATTCGAAAAAAACGAATTTTTTTCTAAAATTTCAACACCCTGTATCTCGAAAATTGTGCATTTTAGAGCGTAACTTAATAGCGACTTTTTTCATCTTTTTGGATGAGCTATCACATCCTGAAGTCCTGCGCATATATTATGAAACACCCTGTATATATAAATATATAATCTATATATATGTAATAATGGTTTTCCAAAATCTGCTCCGTGTTGTCGGTTTTTGGTTCTTAAACGAACCGTATGTCTGACGACGTTTCGGTACAATCTCATGTACCATCTTCAGGTCTTCTCTGCTGGGCTACTGTTGCTGCTCTGCTGCGAGTTAGACGTCTAACGCTTTTAAAATTTGAAATCGATATCTTTTTTCGTTTCCCAGAAACTTCCAATTATACCTTTTATATACCCTTTATATACCCCTTTACAAATAAATAGTCTTAAAAATTGTTTGGTTTTTAAGGCTTACCAAAAAGTTGTAAAAATAAAATGAGAAGAATGATAAATTATTTTTGATTTAAGTGTTAATTTTTAAAAACATTATTTTTCTCTATAATTTTTAATAAAGCATAAAACTTACCAAACCTGTTAAGGTTAAAGCTTGTGACACAATTTCATTGACGGAAAGGTTTTTATTTAAATCAAACAACTTTCCCCCATCCCCATTGTGGGGATAAATTACCACTTTTGCAATATTCATTGTTTTTAAAACATATATCCGCTGGTTATAACTATCACTATGACGCACTTAAAATAAATACTGTATTAGTTTAGAAAAAAACTAAATCCCATGATAAAACATCATCATATGCACACACACTCATATTTAATTTAGATAAGATATCTTTGCACAATCAATTCTGAGGTACTACTGGCGGAAATATTACAGATATGGGTTTATAATAATTATTTACACAGGAAGTTTATCGATATATTTACAGCAAAATGTTGGCATAAATTATGAACGTTAATTCTAAATTTAATAAAATGGTAATCATGTTCAAAACAAAATTAAAATTTAAATGTTTTTTAAATGATAATTTTTCAAAACATCAATAAAACTAAAATAATAACTTACTCCGCTTAAGTGGGTATTCCACAATGTTTTAGATGCTCAATTAATTCCCAAGATTCCTTAAAATCAGCCCCACAAAAATTACAGGAAAATTCATTTTTTTCGGCGGTTTCCAGGTGGGTCAGTTCGTGTTTCTTTAACGTTTTCATTTCACCAAATTTCTTCATGCAAACCATGCACTGATGCTTTCTTTCGTTATTGTGTGATTTTATGTGGCTCTAAAATAAAAATTCCAATTATTTGTGATCCTATAAACACAAAAACGTGTTCGGCAAAAGGATTAGCCCTGGGCGAACATAAACAACAACTACAATTTTAAAGAAATTAACCCTTTTCATTGGTAATTTTTGGTATATTTAAAAAAATGCCTGTGGCTATTTTTAAACGTTAAAATACGTAGGTGCATCTTGCATTATACAGGGTGTCTCAGATTTTAATGGGGAAAATTTAATAGTCGATAGAACTCTTGTATTTTTAAAGCCTTATTTCTGAGATACAGGGTGTTAAAGTTATTTAAAAAATAAAATGAAACTTTTCAGGTTTTTAGTAATTGGTGGAGGGCTTAATTGGTGTAATTTAATTTAATATACACACAGGCAAAATAATCGATTCACACAAATTTTGTAGATAAATTAATGGAGAATGGCTTACACTTTCAAAATTTACTAAAAATAGACGAACGTTTATAATATACAGGTTTAAACAAAAATATGTTTTTACCATAAGTTTAAGACACTCTGTAGAGTGTGGGTTAAAGATTTTGTACTTTTCCGGTCTGGCAACACTGCCCTGGACATAAGCAGGGATATAAAATCCTACAGATGCGTATTTGTAAGTTATAAACTAAACAAAGAGTTTATATGATTTTTTAAATAATTTTTTATTTTTATTTTATGTTTAAATATATAAGAGTCAAGCCACGTCAAGTGGGACCAGAAAATTTCACGAAATCACCGATTTTAAAAATAATTACATTGTTGTGTAGTAGGCATGACGAATATGAGACATTCTTTTACATATCGTACGGATTACAGAAAACATATTTTTTCAAATTTTTAAAATGACTTAATTTTTTACAGCATCTTTTCATAAATTTAGCCGACCCCTATATCGGAATTTTTGCAGAAAATTTATTTTTCCAAAGATATATTGATTTAAACTTTTGATAAAATTTGAAAAAATGCTGAATTCTTTTGTACTTAAAATTCATTATCTCCGGTTCTACTGATCGGATCGATTTCATTTTTTTATTTTAAACCATATTACATAGTCTTTTTAGATAAATATTTAAAAAGTTTGTGTTTTGTTTATTATATGAAAAAAAATTTTTTTTGTATAAACAGATTTTTTGTGTTTGCCCCCTCTATGAAAAAAAATGAAAAAAATACTGTTCTATGCACTATTTATTACTCTACAAAATGAACTTTTCAGAAAAATGGAGACTTTTTTGGATCGGAAGATATTAAATATTTTCAAGCGCGTGACCGGTACAAGCCGTAAGGGGGGCATCCATTAATTACGTGAGGCGTTTAGGGAAGGGAGGGGGGTCAAGCCAAATCTCATCAATTCTCACGTAAGGGAGAGGGGGGGTCTCGGCAAATATCACGTAATTTTTAACAAGTATGTTTTTTTTAATAAATCCAACAGAATCAAGCAGTTTAACGTATAAACATTAAAAATAAGCATTTTTTAAAATCTCACGTGAGATTAGGGGGAGGGGGGTTGAGCCAAATCTCACGAAATCTCAGCAAGGGGGGAGGGGGGTCAAAAAATCGCTAAAATTGACTCACGTAATTAATGGACACCCCCTAATCAGACATCTTCGAAACGCTAACACATTTAGTGTAGTGTAAACTCATACATCGTTTTAAAAAAATACCAGCGCTTTTTGTAAATTAATTCTGATTTTAAAGGTTTTCAATAATTTTAAATAAATTAAATTTTAAATAATACAAACTCCAATTAATGAGTAAATTTATTAACTGGCAGAATTGACATTTGCACAAATAAGTCACCAATTAAAAGATGTCGAATCATGGCACTCTTATACAAAATATCACGTCACCCGCCACATGCACTAATACGTTTGAATATTACGCGCTTGACAGTCCTGTCACGCGCTCGAAAATGTTTAATATCTTCCGATCCAAAAGAGTCTCCACTGTTCTGAAAAATGTATTTTGTAGATAAAGAAAAAGCGCATAAAATAGTATTTTTTTCCTTTTATTTTATAGAGGGGGCAAACATGAAAAACTAGTTTAAAAAATTAATCTGTTATTAACTCCCTATACTTAAAAAACAAATTTTTAATTTATTTATTTGAAAAGCCTATTCAATAAGGTTTAAAACAAAAAAAAACAAAATCGATCCGATCAGTAGAACCGGAGATAATGGGTTTTATGTAGAAGAGAATTCATCGTTTTATCGCAATTCATAAAAACTTTATATCAACATATCTCTGAAAAAACAAATTTTTTACAGAAAACCTGATACACGTATCTGCTTATTTACTGAATAGAAGCGGTAAAAAAATTTTCATGCGAATCCAAACCTTGAAGTCAAAATAGGTGTACGATTTGTAAAAGAATGTCTCATATGTCACAGTAAAAACATTGTTTTGAAATTCGCTTTTTTAGTAATGTTATTAAAGTTGATAATTTTGTCAAACTTTAGAGCATGGTAAAATTTAAAAAATAGAATCTCTTGGACCACTCTGTATAATTGAATTAAATTTTACACACTATTGTAGCAATGACTAAAGAATTGTCATTTAATTGCCTACTACACAATTATGTGATTATTTTCAAAATCGATGATTTCGTGAAAATTTCTGGTCCCACTTGACGTGGCTTGACTCATAAGTATTTTTCTTATTTCTACCGATTTTTTTTGACATTCAGGCCTATTCATTAACATGAGTCGTTAACGTTAACCACTAGAATCAGTGGTTTTCGGGTAATCAGGCCGATTAAATTAGGCCACTAGAATCAGTGGTTATCGTTATATTTAATCGGCCTGATTGGCCGGATTGTCCGATAACCACTGATTCTAGTGGTTAACGTTAACGACTCATGTTAGTGAATTGGCCTGAATATTAAAGTAATTCTAGTGGCTAACGTTAATAACTTATGTTAGTGAATTGGCCTGAATAGCATTTGTATACTTGGCAACTCCGAATTTTGTGCGATTGGTTTGAGCAGTGGTACAAAACTATATGAAAACTATCATTTAATAATAGTTTTAGAACCCCGCTCAAACCAATCATTCACCAACAATTGGGCGTGATAACTTAAGGTCAATTAACATGTTTTTATTTAGGTTATGTTAATTACAACGCATACACCTTATCTTCTGTGGCATACACGGTAAGTACATGCAAATCCTACCCACTAAGCAAGAAACGTTTAAATAACGTTGGTCAACGTTAGCAGAGAGTATCAAAATGAACGTTACTTTTTATTGTTAAACTGACGTTCATACAATTCAGTAAATGAATGGTGTTTTCGAACACATTGCCAGTGGGTTGTGTCAACGTTGATAATAAAACGTTTTTTCGAAAACGTTGAGTAACTGTTAATAGTGTAGTGGTCCAGCAATGTTATCCATTGCTGCGTTAGGAGAACGAATTAATTACAACGTTAAATCTTGTGCCATTAAGGTAACGTTAAATGTTATAAGTACGTGAACGTTTCATACGACTACGTTAAGATAACAACACAGAAGTTCTGTGACAGAACATAACCTCAAAGCGCAGTCTATCGTTAACGTGCATAATAGATGCAGTGCAATTTTTACTAAAATAATTAATGGGAAGTGCAATCAGTGTTATTGGTTTTTATGTTTCAAATCCACGTTATAATAGATGTGAAAATTTTGGTAGGTAAGTGCCTAAATATGTATATATTAAAAACTATTGTAAACAATTTGCCTCTGTGCTTTGCCGGCTCGTGCAGTAAATAGCATAACAAAATGGCGATGGCGTCTCAATCTCAATTAATTTGCTTTAACATAAATTGTAGTGTTAATAATTATCTTTATATTATTCTTATAAGGTTTATTCAAAGATAATTATTAACACTACAATTTATGTTAAAGCAAATTAATTGAGATTGCAAATTATAATTTGATATTTATAGTCATTTACCTATATTTACAAAAATTTATATTCTAGCGATTTTGAATATTTCATTCTTTATTTTTAACGGGTTTGTGTGCCAGAATTCATTACCCGCATTCAAAAATGTGTTGAAATGGAATGACGACATTTCGAACATTTGTTATAAATTGTTTTCAGAGCCGACTATTGTTGATTTAATGTTAATTTTTGTTTTTCAAACGTTTCAAATAATACATTTTACAAGGAAACCCCTTTTTCTTAAATTTTGAATTACAGCGCCATCTGTTGATAAATTGAAAAAAACTTTCAAATAAAAGTTTTTAATTTTTTTATGTACTACCAAAATCTGTGAAAAAAATCGGGTCATCCCTTTTGACTTTCCAAAGTTACCCCCCGTTTCACACTTAAGGAGGGGAAGGGGGACCTAGCGGTCGCACCAAATAATGTCCCCTTTGGTCACATTAACCTTTTATTTAAGACATTTTTCCGTGAAATGCATATTTCTCGAGATATTGAGCTGTCTCAAGTTAAAAGAAACACCCTGTATATTATATTTAAGTTATATTTAGTTAAATTTAAATTGAATTGTTAAATAAGGCGGATGTAGCCAGCATTTAATGTAATGTAACTTAATGTAGGTATGTTGGTAAGCATGCGCAATGCGCAATGCAGGCGTGTTGGTGTTTTTATACCACGGTCTTATATACAGGTCCTGCAACTTTAAGCTTCGAGGTGGCTTCCTTAACGTGCCAAGCCGCTAGGTGGCGCTAAGATCGAAGGGGTAAAGTCAATTAAACTACTACTTAGTTAAATGTGGAACTACTGCATAACCATAACCTAACTTTTTAAATTCTTTTTCTATGTTTTGTTTACATTTTCAAAAATTTAATATTTGTGAGTTTGTTTCGGATAATTTACGTTAACAAAATAGGACAACAAAGTCTATACTCTATGCACAAAGTCCTCGGCCGTCACATGCCCAGACCAAACATGTACATAAGTAAAACATGTTAATGTATAAAATACATACGTATATCATATATGGGGCAAAATTTACCAAGTGTACCAGGTGAAAAAATTTTTGTCACCGATTTTGTTTAAACTTTACTTATTTGTTGTTCTTATAACGAAGAATCATAGCATACATTTTTTTTGCTCTAGGATTGTTCATTCAAGAGTTATTGATTACTGAAATTGATCGATTTTTTACTTTTTGGTGAAATCGCTTTTTATTTAAAAATTCATAACTTCTGTTCATCTCTTTATTAAATATTTCAATTTAACCTCCTTAAATGATTTTTTCCGTACTTTTCAATGGGCTATACCGTTTTTGCAAAAAAATAAAAATTGCAATTTTTTTTTGAAATTTTGCAAAATTTTGCATTTTTTAAAACAATGTGTATTTTTTATTTTTTTTTTAAAATAGCATAAAATCCAAGTTTATTATGTTATCTTTGAATAAAAAAAAAATTTAGAGTGGGCCCCACATGTAGAAGGGAAGTTTTTCATATTTGAATGCCGCACGGTCTAGCCATCGAATAGCTACTACACTGCCGTATGCGTTTATACCTAGTGGATGCGAGTAAACGAATACAAAATGATAATTTAAAATGTAAAATTATGTTTGAGTAGTCAATGATGTATTTTAAATATTTACACTGCCGCACGATATAGTTTTTTAACTGTATTTTTTTGCACAAATTGTTTAAGCATGGGTCTACATAGATTTCGCAAGGAGGATCGATGATATTAAATAAAAAATTTATTGTTATAACCGTAACGGCTTGCCTATAAGCTGAATGGCGCCTTTACGGTTATAACAATACATTTTTTATCATCGACCCTCCTTGCGAAATCTATGTAGACCCATGCTTAAACAATTTGTGCAAAAAAATACAGTTTATATACAAAAGTGCTCTTTTAGTTCCACCCTTACTTCGTAAGAAGTCCCATAAGCCAACTGAATGGCTTGTGCGGGTTAGGGGTAGGAACGGACCGCGGGCTTAAAGTCCCCTCCGAAGGACTAATACACAATAAAAAAACTATATCGTGCGGCAGTGTAAATATTTAAAATACATCATTGACTACTCAAACAAAATTTTACATTTTAAATTATCATTTTGTATTCGTTTACTCGCATCTACTAGGTATAAACGCATACTGCAGTGTAGTAGCTATTCGATGGCTAGACCGTGCGGCATTCAAATATGAAAAACTTCCCTTCTACATGTCGGGCCCACTCTAAATTTTTTTTTTATTCAAAGGTAACATAATAAACTTGGATTTTATGCTATTTTAAAAAAAATTAAAAAATACACATTGTTTCAAAAAATGCAAAATTTTGCAAAATTTCAAAAAAAAATTGCAATTTTTATTTTTTTGCAAAACGGTATAGCCCATTGAAAAGTACGGAAAAAATCATTTAAGGTGGTTAAATTGAAATATTTATTAAAGAGATGAACAGAAGTTATGAATTTTTAAATAAAAAGCGATTTCACCAAAAAGTAATAAATCGATAAATTTCAATAATCCATAACTCTTGAATGAACAATCCTAGAGCAAAAAAATTTTATGCTATGATTCTTCGTTATAAGAACAACAAATAAGTAAAGTTTAAACAAAATCGGTGACAAAAATTTTTTCACCTGGTACACTTGGCAAATTTTGACCCATATATGTTACGGCTAATGTGTAAACATGGATAGTTTATAAAGTAGCTGGGTAGTTTATAAACTAGCCAAACTGTCAGCTATTTTAATTGAAAACGTATTTTTAACTAAATTAGCGGCTAGTTTGTAAACCAACCAAGGGTCTTGGCTAATTTACTTGAAATTATTTAGGAATAGCTGGATAATTTGTAAACTATCCAATTCAATTTGGCTAATATGAAAACCAAAATTTCTAGTAACACAACATAGCCAAGCTTTAGATAGTTTACAAACTAACCAACCAATATTCTGGCTAATTTATTAATAACCTATTTTTTTATTGTCTTGGCGGGGATGGGTTGATTGTTTATTTAAAATAATATATATTTCACCAACACGATGTGCTTAATTATAAATTAATCATACAAAATGTGAAGGTTTCAATAGTATGTTTTTTATTACACATTGCCATGGCAGTTAAAAACATGCATGTTTTTAACTGCTCCTTATTTGTTGGCACTTTAAACATGGACCGCTTAATTTTAATGCCGGAACGATGGCTTTGCTGGTTACATTTTGGCACAACACAGGACTTCATGTCTATTAAAAAGCACAAATACAAATGTATAACAAGAACAAATATAACAAAAACAAATATAACAAGAACAAATATAACAAGAACAAATATAACAAGAAAAAATAGAACAATATAATATAACAATAACGAATATCACAATAACAATAAGTAAAAACTTCCTGTAACAAAACACACAAGCTTGTTTATAAAAATGTAGGTTATGTTTCTTAACACAGCTGTGAACATAAGTAGGTAGTTCATTTGACTTTTATCCCATAGACTTTAAGGACTTAGAGCCAGTTTTACAATCGTTAGATTAAGTTAGCTTATTTGGCGGATAACTTTCATAGAAACCTTCTATCCAAGAAAATTATCCACCAGAGAGCTTATCTAACGATTGTAAAACCCAAAGATAAAGAAGGTAAAAACGACCTTTAAACATCTATGGTTTACCACCCAACTCGATGCGCCATCTGGTGGGTGTCTCATTAGAGAGGTCACTTTTCCTATTGAAATTGGGCGAAGTTGCAGGACCTGTATATAAGACCGTGTTTTATACCAATGTTGGCATTATTTTTATTTCACTGCGCTTGACGTTTATTATCAAAATTAAGATTGCGATTAAACGCATCTATACTTCTGTCAATGGTTACGAACGCCTGACAGTAAAAATCCGGGACAATTTTATTGAACTAAAAAGGCACTATTTTCAAAAAGATTTACTATCCTAGGTTAGGTTTGTCAGGAGCAACCTCGTAAATATATGTAAATGCGCCAAACCTAGGTTGGTGGCAGCTGCCACCTTTCGCCCTCGACATCAGCGATTTTGACCAAACTTGGAATGTTCCAAGTTTGGTCAAAATCGCTGATGTCGAGGGCGACAGGTGGCAGCTGTTTAGTTGTATAATACAACTTGTATTATACAACTTGTATATTTGTATATGTATACGAGGTATATACCTGACATATTGACATTTTTAATTTTAATTTAGATTTGTTTATTTCTGTTAGATATATACCTCGTGGCGCCTTTTGCCTCAATAGCTTTGTTGAAGTATTAATTCAGAAATATTTATAAATAAACTTATAAGTTAGTAACAAATCTAAACTAAAATTAAAAATGTCAATATGTCCGCAAGAACAATTATTTTAGAGTCATGGATCTAAAATTATCGTTCTTGTCAGCTTAAGCTAAAATTCTTTTTTTTTTGCAGGTGGTGTTGAACTTAACTATCCGGAAGAATTTGCTATGGAGTGGTTTCGTCAAGGCCATCAACGGGTTTTGAAAAAATTATAAAAGAAGATTTTTTACAAATAATGTCGAAAGAAGTAAAAATAACAAGTTCTTTTTAAATCTATATTATTGTTTTTCTTTCCCGCCAAGAATTGGCATACAGAGCTGCGTTAATAAAACAATTAATTTCAACGTTTTATTAACGTTCATTTAAAAACAGTAAATTAACGTTTAACTTTAACGTTACGCTAACGCATCAGTTAATAGCACATGTACGGCACGGTTTAACGTTGTTTCAACGTTGACGTTGCAATGTAACATTGAAACGTTCATGAGGCGGACATTAACCGTTGTTGTAATGTTTAAGTGACGTTAATGTTACCCCCCAGTTAACGTTACAGCGTTACTGTTAACATCGCTGCAACGTTCGCCGAACAGTATTTTGCTTATAATTATAATTTAGAAAAGGACATGCGCAATTCACTTGTCCCTTAAGGGACACATTCAGGAATACAAATTTGTAATCCTGAATGTGTTCGGAAATCCCGCCGAGATAATTATTCAATGTGGTTAATAATCTTTCTCCTTTCAATTTTAACAATAATTTACATACATATAAATGCTAAACACTGCATGAATCTAGGATATATAAAACAACAACAAAAATAACTGTTTATATGGTAAAAGAAGGATTAGAAATATAAATGGGTAAAAGCATAGAACATAAATTTACATGATTAACTAGTCATTGATTAAAAAGGCCATCAGTGTACATTTTATATATTTTAAGGATGATATATAAAAGTTATTTACCCTTAGGTGACTTGCGGCAATATACTTTTTAGGACACATGCTGCAAGTATACGGTCTCTCCCCTGTATGATATCTTAAATGCGTATCTCTCGTTTCTTTCCTGCTGAAAGATTTACCGCACTGCCAACACGAATAGGGTTTTTCACCAGTGTGTTTCATGGAATGTTTCTTTAATTCCGTAGCACCTAAAAAATAAGAAATATTACTTTAAGGTAGGAACTTTAATTTTAAAATAATTTTCTTACTTGTAAAAGAACTATCACAAGAACTGCATAAATAAGGCTTAATACCAGTATGAGTTCTCATGTGCACACCCAAAGTACTGGCAGTTGAAAATGCCTTATTACAGACTGTGCAAATGTGATTTTTTACCCCAGAGTGTACTTTGAGGTGACTATTTAGGTTTGAAGATTGTCTGAATTTTTTCCCGCATATTTGACAGGAATATTTTTTTTCGCCACTGTGCAGTAATTTATGTTTGTACAAGGAACTTGCCAGGGCAAAAGTGCGACTGCAAATTTCGCATTTATACGAATGTTCACCAACATGTTTTGTTCTTATGTGGACCAGTAAATTTTTATTGTGTTTGTATCTAAAAAATATTGTTGGAAATTTATATAATAAAATTATAATTTTTGTTTTATACTTTTTTCCACAAATATTACAGGAAAATTTTTTCTCTATGTCATTACACAATGGATCCTCAATTAAATGGATGTCGCTTAAATGTTTCTTAAGGATTTTATCGTCAACAAATATTCTATCACAAATCTACAAAAAATTAAATGGCATAGGTATTTTTATGTGAGGACGAAAAATAGAGTTTCCTGTTTGCAGATCATGTTTGGATGACACCTCGCAAACTGGCTACTCAAGGCAATATTTTTTGACAATGGTATTGGAAAAAATAATGTGGTACACATGTTTCTTTATATTCTTGTTGCATAAATTACTATATCCAAACTTTAGTTGATTTAGTCAAAGAATGTTACGCTTTTTATTGATTATTTTTGTCAATTTAATGCATTCTTTCTGTGGGGTCTTTGTGATTTTAGGATAGAAATTTACAAAATGAAAAAATGTAAAATGAATTTTACTTTTTTTATTATTTTTATCTGGTGTAGGGGATTTTTAAGAGGATGAATCTACAGGGTGTCCCAAAAATAACAGTGCGCTGTTAAGTATAAAATATAAAAAATAATAAACATTTTTCCGACGAGGATTTTTTGAGTTATAAGGGGTTAAAATTTTAATGTTATTTTTAATATTTTAATGTTTTAAGATTATTAATTTATATTATAAAACTGACATTTCTCATTTGTTAAAGTTAAAATTTTTCACAAAAATGATTTATTGAGCTATAATACTAAATATTGCAATAATACTATTACAACACAGCATTGCATTTTTAACTTAAAAGTACTCATTGAAAAAAAATGTTATTTTATAGAGTAAAGCTAAAAAACTGAAAATATTTATTACATAGCCTTTTTAAGTAAAATTGCCGTTATTCCAATATCATTGGATAAAAACAATTAAAGATAACATAATTTGTATTGTAAAAGCAACATACAGGGTGGGAATATAGGAACTTGTGTGTTTTATCTAAAGGAGATTGCCCACATATTCTAAGACACCCTTAAAAATTAAACCACTGTTGAAGCAATTTTTTTTAAATAACTATTGCCAAACAATAAAATAATCAGTGTTTTATAATGGGTTGTACGGAAAAGACCCTAATTAAAAAAAAATGGTAAAATATTTACATTGCACATAACTGACTTCTCATACAATTTAGGAGAGTGAACTTGAAAATTTTTATGCAAATCATGCGCTAAAAGGCTTCCCTCCAAATCATCTGAATACTTATTTTGCACAGAATGATTTTTAATATGCTCATTTAACGTCCAATCATCTAAAATACCAAACATTAAACAAATTTATTAACTTGATCAAGGTTTATTAATACCTTTGAATGACTCCCCACAAAAATTACACTTATAAAGATCAAATGCAAAAGAGTTTTGTGTTGAAGACAATGTATTATTGCAATTAACAATCTGAGGATCACCATCCCATGAATCGGGAAGGCATTGCTCAGCAATTATTTGAAGACTTTGAACTGTCTCAGCCAAATCTGAAACAACTAAAAAAATTTTTATTATTTCTAATAAACAAATCTTTATTAGTAAAAGGGAAGGAGGTAATATGGTATCCCTTTTATTTTTCCTATGTATATCATTTATTATACTGATTAAAAAAATAGACATTTTGAACAAATATTTAAATAAAAATATTAATTAAATAACAAAGTTCTAATTTGCTAATAGTTCTATAATATAGTGGTTCCATATGACGACCATCTCTATAAATAATAAATACCTGTACTATTATTTTGACTGGCAAAATTGTCCACTAAAGAATGTGTAGTTTCGTTAAAGATATCTTGAAAAATTGAGGACTGTTGCAAATCCTCATTTGCATTAAAGAATTGGTCTGTTTTAATGCTATTTATAAGATTATCTGTAGTTAAAGGCATGTTTTGCAGCTGCAAATACTCCCTTAAAGTTACATCAGACTTTTCACATAGTTGTTTAAAAGTGTATGCTTTATTAATACTCAGCAGGCATTGGGTGCAGATTTTATCTGGTAGACCATCATTTACCATGACCTAACAATAGGAGTAATTAAATAAATACTAGTGTGGCTATTATCAAAGTAATATACTGATAGAAGAGGCGTCTTATCCATAATACCTGATTTATTCATGAGAAAGCGATTTTTTGAATATTCCTACACAATGGTAATATCATTTAAAATCTGATATGACCCCAAGATCTTAAGCTCAAGGGGTATTATCTTTAATTATAAATGAAAATACTGTTGAGTGAAAAAATTGTCATGGGCAAATTGAGTTTCCAGTACTTTCAGTAGTTTACAGTTACTAACACAGAACTGAGTTAAGGAAAGGTCTTACTCCTAGACCAGGTCTAGGGTCTTACCTTACAGTAAGAGTTTATTACCTAGTTAGTTTTAACGGTTTATTAAATGTTAAGTAAAATATTAATAAATAATTATAGGAACTTTTAGCTTCTCTGATGATGATGCTAATGAATTCAAGCTTAATACCCTGTATATTAATAATAAGTAATATTAATATTTATTTTGAATAAAACAAATACCTGTATAGAAGTGCAAGACATTAACATATTTGGTACACAAGCCTCAAATAATGGTCTCATATTCGCTTTTTCCAGTAAGCACGTTCTGCAAATAACATTCAACTTCATTTTAATGTTTTCAAACAACACGAACACACTGTGAACAAAAGTTTTAATTAGTTTTTTATTTAAAGTTTGGCAGAAGAGTTTGACAGTTTTAAACTGACTTAATTCATTCAGTAGATCAAATATCACATCGAAGTAGTTTAAAAGTTATCGGGGCATAACCCCTGTTGCCAACACGACGAACTAAAGTTTACTAAAGTTACCACAGAACAAACGTCAAAATTATGTCAGTTTATTATTGAGTTTTTGTATATTTGGGTTTCTGATATGCTTGTATGTTTTATAGTTTTAGAAATTATACCGGTGAATTAATGGTTATTGGAAATATGTTAGAAATGGAGGAGAATCACTTTCCAAAATCTAATTTGCCTTTTGTTGATACAAAAGCATCTACTTTAAGTAAACAAGATAATGTAAGTAACAACATTTCAAAGCTATTAGCACAAATAAATCGGATATTATAGGCCATTTGGGGTAAAACGTCCCCCAGTAAAAGTTATGGGTCCTCAAGTTCCACATCCACTGAAAATGTTGTCTCGACATTAGAAAGAAAAAATGTAAGATTTTAACTTGTCAATTGGATATTATATATTCTTCATTCCTTTTAAGGCTACCTCTAGAGAAGTAAATAACACAGACGATCCTCCCCTATTACCTGGAGAAAAAGTAGCCAGTCAGTCAAGAGATGTGACTTATTTATGTCCATATGATGGACCTTGTAGAGGGATATTAACAATAACCAACTTTAAACTATATTTTCGACCTGTTGATAAAGACACACCTAATTTAATTGATGTGCCCTTGGGAGTGGTAATACATTTAATGAATTAATTAGTATAGCCATTATGTTAATTTTAAATTTAGGTTTCAAGAATTGAGAAGGTAGGTGGTGCCAGCTCTAGAGGGGAAAATGCCTATGGCATTGATATTTTTTGCAAAGACATGAGAAATTTAAGATTTGCTCATAAGCAAGAAAACCATTCTAGGCGAGATGTTTTTGGACATTTGCAGCAATTTGCTTTTCCTTTGTCTCACAAGCTAAAGTTTTTTGCTTTTGAGTATGCTGAAAATTTTCCTGAAAATGGGTGGTCTGTTTATGAGCCAATAGCAGAACTTAAAAGAATGGTAAGCAGAGTTTAAAAAAAGGTTTTGCTGTTGATTAATTTTAACATTTTTGTATACATATTTATTTATTCTAACCCAAATTTACCTACCTATAAAATAAATTTGCATAATTTTTCTAAAATTACTACTACTAAACTTACTCAATTTAATTTACTTTCTAAGGCTGACTACTAGCTAGAGTTAAATATAAAGTTTATATTAAACCCTTAGTAGTACACCTGAAACCATGTAGATTTTTAATTTAATTGGTCAAAAAATTAATAAAAAAAAGTCTAAATATAAAAAAACAATTTTTTTATAACAATACAGGGTTTAAAAGTTTATTTTTAATTCATAAAATAAAACGTAAATAAAATCAACATGAATTAATTGTTTTGACCTTTACTTGAAACTAAATACATCAAAAACTAGTACATAATCCTGTTTACTATTGGAAAAAGCGAAAAAATGTAGGCAAAAAATGTGTAAGATGATTTAAAAAACAATAGATTTAATACAGTTGGGCACTGGGATTCTGATTTGTACCCCAGAGCTAGTAGTTTTTATTTTATTTACATATTAAATGCCATATAAATAAAATAAAAACTACAGAATTTTTAGAGTTTACGAGTTTATTTTAAATTAACAATTGTTTTGATATTAGGTACAGTAGCTTCTTCTGAATTCTGTAGAAACTACTGTAATTGCGAAACGATTGTTAATTTTTATAAATAATTAAGTAAAAAAATTAAAATAAACTCGTAAAACTCTAAAAACAATGTCGTTTCTAATTTATTTATAGATTAAAATCAACATTCTTACAAAAAATATAAAGATATATTTATATTTATATATAAATAGTTTGGTTTACCATTCCATGTTTTGTAAAGCCATAAACTAAATATATTTATGATTATAATTGCATATAAAACATGAAGTTTCTGATAGTCGAAATTTTTGTTGGTAATTTTTCAAAATCATGCAGAAACCACATTAATAGAAGATCAATTGGAGAAATATATCGAATTATAGCGCTAAAATGACAAAATCGGTCGCAAATTTAGTCACACTGGCGCCTTAAATTCGCCAGCGCGACCCTTTAAGGGTTAGAACATAATTCTAAAAAAGAAACTAGTTCTAATTTTTAATTTTATTTATTTTCAAAAACTACACTTGAAAACGATTATTTTGTAAAAAACTATTATCAAGATATTTAAAAAAAAGTTATTAATTGTTGAAAACAATGCTTTATAGATCTTTTCTCCCTGTTTAAATAAATTTAATTAGATTTAAAAAATCTGATGATAAACATCTCAACTGTAATACTATGGTTTATCTACTCCAAAAAATCGATAATGATTTTTAAAAATAAATAAATAAAATTTGACCTCTCAAATGCTTAACCTCACTTTTTACCAATTTTAAATATTATAGTCGCCTTTTCCAAATTTAAAACCTGATTGGTTCAAATCATAGTGAATATTGAATTGGGCCAATCACTGATGCCTTACAACGTAAATAATGAGTTCATTATTCCTGTTGTTAGGCAGGGAATTTATAATTTTTATCATTATATACGCAAAAAAACAATATTATGCAATAGGCCAATTTATGGGCAAAAAATATATTTATGTTTAGCGGGTATACGCTTTTGTTAGCTTATGACATGGGCTAACAAAAGGGTATACCCGCTAACCATAAATATTTTTCCTGAATTAATGCGAATACGTTTAAGGCTCTACTGAAAAATTGCTTTTTTTGACTTATCCCCTTATGCCTTTTACCCACAGATATATAAAATAAATGTTTAACTACTATTTAAACATTTTATAAATTAATAAAGCAATTTAAAACATGTTGCCCTTAAATGGAAATATTTTTATGTTTATATTATGTTCTTTTATTTAGGGTGTAAACAATGATATGTGGAAAATATCAAAAATCAACGATCAGTACGATATTTGCGACAGTTATCCTGCAATTTGGGCAGTGCCTGCCCAGGCCAATGATGACGATATAAAATCAGTGGCAGCCTTTAGAAGTAGAGGTCGAGTGCCTGTTTTAAGTTGGATTCATACTGAATCTCAGGCCACCATTACTAGATGCTCACAACCACTTGTTGGGGTAAAAAAATATATTAATTGTTTATTATATAAAATGTAAAATGAGGTAAATTTAAAACTTATTTGTCATGTAAAATAGTTGGTAGTTTAAAATTGTTAAAAAGACAATACCGAATTGTAATGAAAAACCACTCATAATTTTTTTAAATAAATGTGTTTTTATAATTTTAAGGTAAGTGTTAAAAGATGTAGAGAAGATGAAAGATATATCCAACTTATAATGGATGCAAATGCGCAGTCCCACAAAATGTTCATAATGGACGCCAGACCTAGCGCCAATGCGATGGCAAATAGAGCCAAGGGTGGGGGGTAAGTACTTTTCAGTTTTTAATTTTTTATGTGGTCTCTAGAAGTTTTCTTGGACATACATTTTCACAATTTTTTTTCTTGTTAGTTATGAATCCGAAGATGCCTACCAAAATGCAGAGTTGGTCTTTCTTGATGTCCACAACATCCATGTAATGAGGGAATCTCTCAGAAAATTAAAGGAACTTTGTTATCCAAGTATAGATGAAACTAAGTGGCTTTCAGGTCTCGAATCAACTTACTGGTTGAAGCATATTAAGTGTATACTTACTGGTGCTGTTAGAATTGTAGACAAGGTATATAAATTAATTATGAATTTTATTATCTATAGGGTTTATTGTTACCTTTGTTTAGGTTGAAAACCATAAAACCTCAGTATTGGTACATTGTTCTGATGGGTGGGACAGAACTGCCCAACTCACAGCTCTATCAATGCTCTTGTTGGATCCATATTATAGAACTATCAAAGGGTTTGAGGTTCTTATTGAAAAGGAATGGTTGTCGTTTGGGCACAAATTCCAACAGGTAATGTAATTTATTTTTGAAATGTTTTTCTGTTTAATTTTATTTTTTTGGCGTTTAAAGATTTTTCATTATTTTTTTGTAGTTATACAAATAAAAACCGAATATTTTACACTATATATTGGCATTGTTCTGTGAGATGTATAATATAATCCGTAGTGTACTGATACAGGGAAAATGTTTTAAATGCGTTTTTTTGTTAAATTTAATTTTTTTTCTCTTTTTCTTTTCAGAGAATTGGTCACGGTGACGACCATCATTCGGATGCTGACCGTTCCCCAGTCTTTTTGCAATTCATTGATTGCGTTTGGCAAATAACGCAGCAATTTCCCAACGCTTTCGAATTTAACGACTATTTCCTCATTACAATTCTCGATCATTTATACTCGTGCAGATTCGGCACCTTTCTATGCAACAGTGACAGAGAAAGAGTACAAGAAAGTAAGTACAAATCCTACTAATAATTGCATTAACATGTTGACTGCAAAATCGACAAGTTATGTTTCGGGCAAAGGGGCCTAAAACTCGTGCTTGAAACTCCATGTTGAATGTCCAAGTAATATAAATATGTATCTACACAAAAACAAAAGGAACAATTAAAACAAAAGAAAAAATAAAACCATCCAAACTAATACAGGTCCTACAGGGTTTAGTAATGAAGTTAAAAATATTTTTGATTAAATATTTCCAAACTTCCAATGTTTGTAACTAGAGGCGAATCCAGGATTTTTCAGGGATTGGGTTTTTCAGAAAATTTTGGTCCTAAACAAATTTTCGGAAAAAATTGACCATTACTATGTAGTAATTTTTTATGCACGAATCGTTTTATAAGAAACGCTTTACCCCAACTTTTTGATCCTACCCCCTGCGGAATAAAAGGGTACGTTTTAGAAAAAAATTTTGTGAACAAAAAATGTAGTTGCATTGTCTCCTACATTTTTTTAACGCAGCACTTTAATTGAAAAAGTTGTTTATCTTGAAAACATTGATATCAACTTTTTTTTCTACAATAGACCGTTTCGAAGTTATAGCGCATACACCTTACTAACGCTTACAGTGGGTACTTGAAATTTCGCACGATACGTGTTTAACTCTTAAACAGTATATCTTAGGACAAAATTTGTATGAAAAAATAACTCTTAATGACATAAAAAGTAGAAAACAATGCCCACTACATTTTGTTTATGATAAAAATGAAATCCAAAAACATTTTAAGTTTTCCCAAAAACCCCGTCGTGATATAACTCCGAAATGTAGGAAAACAGTTAATATAAATTTTGTAAGTTTTTTAGATATATGAAAATACTTTCCTAAATATTGTAGCGAGTACCCCTCTGGATCTCGGAATGATGACTCATCGCCGGTGAGTCAGCGCTCGCTGGAATGTTCGAGAAGGCGCTTGCGTGATGCGGGTCACGTAGGCACTGAATATATAAGGCACAGTGAAGCTTTGTAGAGTCAGTCAAGCTTTGGTACTCGCGACGAAATAAAATAAATATACGTGCATATAAATGGACTCTTGTATAGTAGTGATATATAAATAATTAGTAGTAGTAGTAATAATTAGTGTTTTAAGTGTAATTAAGTTATAAAATAAATCGTTTAGTTCGTTAATAAACCAGTGCGTGTTGTAATTCACACTGTCGAACCGTAAAAACGTTACAATATGCAGAATTTTTTAATATATTTATGTCATCCTGTTACAAACTGTACGTGGTCAATTCTCATATAACTTGTTCCGATGCTGTATCCACTTATTTTTGTGAAAACTAATTCTCGCTCAAGGTTTTTTTTAGTGTAATAAGCATGTAGCATTTCAAGGTAATGGGAGCTTAAATTATGGCAACCCTAATCTATTAATTTTTTCCTAAAATGCAGGCTTTATGTTGCAAATGTCACATAAGTTACCGGTCACCAACTGCAATATCCTAACATCGATGAATATTTCAACAAAATGACCGTTCAAACAACTAATGTTAGTGCTTGATTAACTAAAAATAGACTTAAGATTGACAAAAAATTATTTTATCCGAAATCGGCAGTAAAGTAGTCAACAATCGTAAATTAAAATAAATCGGCAGTAAAGTTCTACTTTACTGCCGATTTCGGATAAAATAATTTTTCGTCAATCTTAAGTCTATTTTTAGTTAATCAAGCACTAACATTAGTTGTTTTAACAGCCATTTTGTTAAAATATTCATCAATGTTAGGATATTGCAGTTGGTGACCGGTAACTTATGTGACATTTGCAACATAAAGCCTGCATTTTAGGAATTAGTTTTCACAAAAATAAGTGGATACAGCATCGAAACAAGTTATATGAGAATTTACCACGTGCGGAAAGATCGTCTTCTAATAAAATGTATGAAAAATTATCTACGTAGCTCTTTAAGGGAAGGAAATAACCGCCGACCTCCTTATTCTATCAATAAAATCAGATGTGGTAAAATCATCAGAAGTCTTAAATGCCGGAAAACGTACTTTAAGTTTTTAATACTCGTATTAATAGTGGGAAAAAACCGTTTTTATACCTATCTATAGTTTGTTTTAAATTTATTGCGTGTTTCTGCAAATATACCCTTCTCAACAATTGAACTGGATAATTATAATTATTTTGAAATTTTAATGTAATAATGTTGTTAGGTCGACCCCACTCTGTAGGTTGTATATGAAACATCTGCAGTAAACAGTTTTTGAATTTTTTTTGTATATTATTTGTTGTTACTTGCAAGAATGTGTTCGAGGGACATCTGTCCAAGGCATCGCATTAGACGTTTTTGTGCTTTAAATACTTCGTGACTCCTAGGGCCATTACCCCATAGTGCTATCCCATATGCCATTCTAGAGAAACCCTGAGCGTAGTAGAAACTCTTATATGTAGAAGTGTGGTTTCAAAATTACAACCTTTTAGTAAAGCGAAATCTTGAACCGCCTCCATTACTTGTTATTAGTTCCTTCACATTAAAATTATGCCGTTACGACGATTAGAAGCAGTTCAACTTGAGCAATAATTACTAATTATTAGTGCGTTTCATACGTGAAGGTTTACCTCAAGAAGTCTACAGGCTACAAGGTTGAATGTGTCCCAAAGTGTCGTAAGTCGAGCATGGTGTCGGTATGTAGCAACTGGGTCTTCAGCATACACATATAGGGGAGGGCTTGAACCATAGATAAAGTGAACGATCCACAACTCTTGCTCAGGACCGTTTAATAGTCCTGACTGCCAGAAGAAACTGAACATTTACAGTATCAAGAATTAATTAAACTGTTAACAGTTTCTTCAGAAAAGCTACTGGGCAACGTGCATGCAGATATCGTTGGTCGAATATTGGTATGGAGAGAAAGAGGACAGCGATACAAACAAAATTGCATGGCGCCAACCACTCCTTTTGGTGGCGGATCAGTTTGCCTATGGGGAGGCATATGTTTTGAGAGCCGCACTGAAACTTAATAAAACCATGACTGCTTAATGATATCGGTTTATGGTTATAGAGCCGATAATTGTGCAATTTGCAGGTGCTATAGGCGAAAGATTTGTTTTTATCAGCTTGAATAACCTCCTTAAACATTGCAACACATAGCTAATGAGTTGCAAGCAATCTGGCAAAACATACCTCAAGACTTAAGTGATAATTTGATAATGAGTCTTTCAAACCGGGTAACAGCATTAAGGTGAGCCAGGGGTGGACCTACACAATATTAAACTTTTATACAGCCGGTGCAAATACCATCAATACAAACTTTTGTTTTGTTACTATTTGTATATTTTACTTTAATTACACATTACTTTAAATTTAATAAAATTTAATGTTTTTTGATTTTTTTTTCTTGTATCATAACGTCCATCAGTAAACTATTATTCAATGTACAATATTTACGTTGACAATTTTTAAATTCTTTGATTCAAAGACTTTGAATATCCACTTCAATTGTTGAGCACTGTCTTTATATAAAAAAAGGTATTTTAGATTTGGGTATAGTATACATTGTATTATAGAATTTGTATATCTTACATTAAGTAATAGGCACCAAATTCTTAACTGCCTAGGGCGCTCGTTGCCTTAATCGGGCACTGCCTAGAGCAGCGGTTCTTAACCTTTTTGGCTGGCGACCCACAATTCAAAAATATTAGAAGCTCGCGACCCAATAAAATATAAAATCATCAACTTTCTACATTTCCTTTATTTAAAGTATCCTTATAAGGATGCAGTGATTACGGCGCGCTTTTTCAAAAAGTCCCGCAAGTCCCGCGACCCATCTCGATATGGTCCGCGACCCAAATTTGGGTCGCGACCCGAGGTTAAGAAACGATGGCCTAGAGTATCGACCTAATGACATAAATTGTCTGTTTGGCGAATGTTTTACCTTGCGTCATCAAACACATACATCTGTACGCTGCGGCGCTGGCATTCAGGGATTCTATCTTATTCTATTACAGTGGCGGCTGGTGGATTTTGGGCACACCCATATCTCAGTTATTAGACATGGGACATGAGTTTATAATGACATTATATAGACAAGTTCTGCGCAAGCAGAATTCAAATTGAAGTTTGCGAAAAAAGTTAGTTTTTAAGTGTGCCCCTCAGCCTCCTGCCCCCCCAAATTAAGATAATTCAAATGAAAGTGGTACAATATTTAATTCACTAAAGTTTATCGACAAATTTTTAATTTTATTTAAAAAAATTCAAGTATTTTATACCATTTCTATTTTTTTTTAATTTAGTAAAAGGAATATTTAAAATTTTAAATTCTTGATATTTTTTAATAAAATTTGAAATTTGTCGATAAACTTCAGTGAATTAAATATTGTACCACTTTAATTTGAATTATCTTATTTTGGGGGGGCAGGAGGCTGGGGGGGCACACTAAAAACTAACTTTTTTTTCGCAAACTTCAATTTAAATTCTGCTTGCGCAGAACTTGTTTATATAATGTCATTGTAAACTTATATAAATTTGATGTGGTTCCCATGTCTAATAACACTGTGCAACACAAAAAATGAACTGGGATCAAATCTGAAAAAATCGAATCTAGGCAACCCCCAAAATAAATCCTTTAAGGGGTTTTACCAGTTTAGCTCGAATAATGGAGATATATAAAAGCCCCTAGAACTTAAAAAATATGAATTTTATAGAAAAATAAAAATCGACGTGTCCGAGCATTTTTCTATAAAATTAATATTTTTTAAGTTCTAGGGGCTTTTATATATTTCCATTATTCAGCTAAACTAGAAAACCCCTTTAAAGATTAGTTTTGGGGGTTGCATAGATTCGATTTTTCCACATTTCATCCCAGTTCAAATTGTAAGGTCAAAATTTGTCGCACAGTGTAATTGATGACGCAAGATAAAACATTCACAGGACCGACACTACGTACTATGCTCCACACTTCAAAGTCCCACCACGTGACCAGGTACGGAACGCAGTCTTTTGAAAATTTGTCATTTAAGGCTTTTCAGGTTATGTATCTGTCAAAGTATAGCCAATGAAAGAAATAATATTTATACTGTTACCGTTTATGTTTAAGCGTTAAAAGTTTATAAATCTTTATAGTATCACAGTAACAATGGTTGGTTTAAGAGTTTAGGAGTATAAATACTGCATTTAATGAAATTCTAAAGTGTATAGTGCCAAATAAGTAAAATTTTTGTGCATTTGGTCTACATAATATGTTATATTATATCTGGTTTTATCCATAAAATAGTTTTAACTAAACGGCATTTATTAAAAAACTCTAGCTTCTCTATTATGGAATAAGAATATCTGTATCAAAGGTAGGTTAATATATTATAACAAAAAATATCATCTAATTTTAAAATTTTAAGGTTAGAAAAATCTATTTAGATCAGAATAAATAAGTATTTTGGATTATTTGGAAGAGTGTGTTAATATGGTCATATAAATAAAGATATACTAAATAATTGTTGAATATGGTTCAAATTAAATTAAAGCTTTTATACTCCTAACAACAAAACTTGTGCATACCTCTCGGGATCCCTACTTTAAGTTAGATTATAAGGAAACAAACAATTTTTAGAGATACATGCAATGTAAAAATATTTAATACTCCCATAACATAGTTCCTTACACTGTCAGCTAATATACCCATAGTGTCAATACAAGTACCTATAAAAGCTTCGACAAAATTTTATCTACATCGAACAATCATTAGGTATAAATAACCTTATAAATTCTAAAATTTAAATAAAACCACAGTATACTCTATCTAATATTTTTACTTGTAGTAGTCTTTCTTATCCAGCTTAAAGTATACCTACATAAAGTTTTGTCAATACAATTACGTATAAAGCTTCAACTGAATTTTATCTTCATTGAAAAATTATTATAACTTAAAAATAGTATTAAATATTTTTACATTGCATGTATCTCTAAAAATTGTTTGTTTCCTTATAATCTAACTTAAAGTAGGGATCCCAAGAGGTATGCACAAGTTTTGTTGTTAGGAGTATAAAAGCTTTAATTTAATTTGAACCATATTCAACAATTATTTAGTATATCTATATTTATATGACCATATTAACACACTTCCAAATAATCCAAAATACTTATTTATTTTGATCAAAATAGATTTTTCTAACCTTAAAATTTCAAAATTAGATGATATTTTTTGTTATAATATATTAACCTACCTTTGATACAGATATTTTTATTCCATAATAGACAAGCTAAATTTTTTTAATAAATGCCGTTTAGTTAAAACTATTTAATGGGTAAAACCAGATATATGTAGACCAAATGCACAAAAATTTTACTTATTTGGCACTATATACTTTAGAATTTCATTTAACCAACCATTGTTACTGTGATAATATAAAGATTTATAAACTTTTAACGCTTAAACATAAATGGTAACAGTATAAATATTATTTCTTGCATTGACTATACTTTGACAGATACATAACCTGAAAAGCCTTAAATGACAAATTATCAAAAGACTGCGTTCCGTACTTGGTCACGTGGTGGGACTTTGAAGTGTGGAGCATAGTATGTGGAAAAAAATGTATTTGGCATTTTAAATTTATGACCCAAGGTAAAACACTGGAAAAAAATTATGGTTTAAATTTTTTTCTTCTAAAATTGCTGTTTTCGAGAAAAATCTAGAAAAATAAACATGGTTTAATCCAAGAGATTGACTGTTCTATTTTTCCTGATTTTGGGGGGTTTGGATGCACTGTGTGTAACATTAGTAAAATTTAGTTTATTCAAGTTTACGCATTGATATTAAGACGTTTTGTTATTGCGCATGCCAATATTCCGAGAACTGGAACCTATAGGTTATATTTGATTATAAACATGTATCGAAAAATGCCTCCTGACGGACGCCCCCATGAGTAGAGGTCATAGGCTAAGAGGATGATTTTTTCCTTGAACATTAAGACATAATTTTGTGATACTTTGGTAATTTTGATATGCTCAAACTAGACGTAAAATAAATACTGCAAAATTTAATCATAGGCGTACCATTTGGGGAGAGGTACAAAAACAGCCCCAATTTTTTCTGGGTTATACATTATAATGTTTTATTTTTTTTTCCAACATTTTAGATATTTAGAACATTTCACTAAAAAGGAATTTAAAGAAACATTTTAATATTTAATTAAAATATCTCTAATATATACATTAGACTGGACCAAAAAATATGGTTTTGGGTGACAAAAAAAAAGTTTTTGTCTCAGAACTCCCAAACCATTGAGTTTAACAAAATTGACTCAGAAATATTTTTTAAGAAAATTAAATGCTCTACAAAAAAGGTTAAAATAAAATTTTCCGTCAGATGAACCGTTTCCTTAAAATCATGCCTTAAAAATTGGTATAGTTTTACATTTTGATCTTTTAACTTTGGAATTTTGTAATTCATGTAAAAATCAGTACCCATAAAAAACCGATAAATATTCTTATGGGAAATCAAATGCTTTACGAAAAAGCCTCTCAACATTTTTGGCTAAATTCACTCAATCAAAAGTTATTCAAGGTTAAAGTTGAAGTCAAAACGAAATTCTTGTTTTTTCCTCTGTAGATTTATTTTTTTATGGATGATAATTTGATTTTTTTCTTTAAAAATGTGTATTATATAACTAATTAACAATTTCCAAAACAAGAATTTCGTTTTGAATTCAAATTTAACCTTGAATAACTTTTGATGGAGTGAATTTAGCCAAAAATGTTAGAAGACTTTTGTAGAGCAAGAATATCTATCGGTTTTTTTCCGGGTACTGCTTTTTACTTGAATTACAAAATTCCAAAGTTAAAAGATCAAATTGTAAAACTATACCAATTTTAAGGCATGATTGTAAGAAAACGGTTCATCTGACGGGAAATTTCAATCAAACCTTTTTGTAGAGCATTCATAAAAAAATTGCAATTTTCTTTAAAAAATATTCTCAAGTCAATTTTGTTAAACTCAATGGTTTGAAAGTTCTGAGACAAAAACTCGATCAGGAAAAAAAAATCTAAAATTGCGATGATAGACCTCTTAATATTAATATTATGGACTTATGTCACCCCAAACAATATTTTCGATATACTTTACAAAAAAAAATGATCGATTTTTTTGCCCAGTCTAATATACATATACCCATCCAGGGTATACCCTTTGTTTAGCATAATACCTATGCTAAACAAAGTAATTTATGAATGCATTTTACTCAAATATGGTACACCTGATCGATTCAAATCAATTTTCATAATTTCAGGAAAAAAAATTAAATTATTAACAACAAAAATGGGTCTGTTATGCTATGATTTAATTTTGATGTGGATTTAAGTTCAACGCTTTAAGAATACTTGTTTTATTCCTTATTATTCCTTTTATTCTTTGGGGGGCCGTAACTCCGTTAAGGGACTTTTTTTTATACATGTTTAAACAATAATAATAATAATTATTATTAAACAAACTAGTGTTTTTTCTATGCAGATTGTTAATTAATACTGTTTAATTTTGTCTCCTGTATATTAATTCATTTTTTTGCATTTTTTGTAGAAGTCAAAGAACAAACGATCTCTCTGTGGTCGTACACGAACAGCCAGCTCGATTTATACAAAAACCCGCTTTATTACGACAACAACCATCTGCAGAGGGTGCTGATGCCGGTGGCGAGCATTCGGCACATAAAACTCTGGAAAGCGTACTACTGCAGATGGAATCTGAGTATGCGGACGCAGGACCCGGTTTACCAGAGAATCCGCGAGCTTCTTAAGCTGAAAAGCCAACTGGAACAACAAGTGGAAATATCAAAGAAAGAGCAGCAGTCCAGGATTTCCAGAAGCAACGCCTCGCCTGCTTGATGCCCAGTAGATATTCAAATTACTTGATTTGCTATTGTAATGTAAATAACTATTTAAAGTTGCTGACTAATAAGTTTATATTGTAAAGTGTTGGTATAACTGAAAAGAAAGTATGCTGAACACAAGAATTTATTTTTATTTATGGTATTTTGTATTTAGTTTATGTCATGAGTGCTTTCATTTTTAATTTGTAATATTCCGGTCAACTAACTGATTTGAAACATATTTTTATTTATTTTGCAGTATTGTTTATAAAAAAAACTATAAATAAATTTTACCAAAGAAAACACTGGTATTTATTTCTCAAAATAAGAAACCTTTACCTTCAGTTAATTTTATCATTAAATTCTAATTTTATAAAATTAACCCATCATATATGGGAGTTGTGACATGAGTCGAATGCGAAATATTGCCGTGTATCGCATTTCTATTGATTAATATTGCCGTATATTGCATTTCTATTGGTTAAAATCGGTAGGTATCGTAATAAAAAATTGTATCAATGGGTTTCATTATAGTACTGGTAGAAAATGTCTAATAAGAGAATAAAAGTATGGCTGGGTCAGTGTTGGCAGTTGTATATTCCTTTTCAACGTATATATATATACATATATATATATATCATCGGTATAAAAAAGGTAAATGAAATATGAAATTGGTTGTTTAATATGCTGTTATATTTTTTACCTTATAAAACAAAAAATACTTTTAATGTTGCACTATCAACACTAGTTACTAAAGTGATTTATTATGACCTAGTCAATTAATAGTTATTTACGTGTCAAGCTTTGTAAATGAATCTTTACGGGCGAGCTGGAAGTTTGTGGGGTGAGCGACGCAGGAGAAAACCCCATAATCCAGTGAGCATAGTTAAGATTAATTGCAAAGCGTGACACGTACAAACTTTTATTTTCACCTTTAGATAACGATTTTCAAATTTAAAATTTTAATTAATATGTCAAATGTGACATTTCATTTCATAAATTGCTTTTCTACAAGCCTGTAAAACTTTACAGGTCTTTTATACAAGCCCGTAAAATATTACAGGTCTGTTCCCATCCCGTTTACTTGAATACAAAAACAACAAAATTAACCTATAAATGTCATTTACTAAGAAGGTGGAAATAAAAATGATTTATAGTCAGGTTAGGTTATTTACAGCCTATGCTGTAAAAAATCAATATTTTATACTCTGGACCATTAACAAAATTCAACTTCTGTCAGATCTATCTAACCTCACTTTCTACTTTTAATAAAGCACGTATTACAGTCTGCAATTCTACGTCCAATACGTAATATTCTTGCTCGAAGGCATGCGCATAGCGACGTTTCGTGGGAGTCTATTGCCGTTTCAAAATATCGGTCCTGCTCGATTTTTATTGCCAGTTGCATGCAAGTCTGGGGGGAAAATTGCAAACTTTTTTATACCAATCCACACTTTAAATTCCCTAGAGACCATGGTTTGTTTTTTGAAGCCATTTGTGTGTTGTTTCTTTGTATTTTTAATTCTATTTATTTAATTATTGTACTTTATAATAGGTGTTTTCGCGGTGCTAATCCCGAACTAGTTCGGACATCCTATAGGCATGCGCATTTTAATATTTGCCATGCGCACTTTACATTTTTAACCCCAAATTTTAAAAAGCGCATGCCTAGGATTAAGAAGATTATATTAATAATCTTCTTACCTAGGATGTCCGGATTTACTTCGGGATTAGCTCCGCGAAAATAGCTAATATTTTATATTTTTCTTTGGTTGGTAATACCAACTTGGTATCATGCACAGACAATTTGGAATAGAGTAATTGCATCAAAAATGAAAATCCCTAAAAACCTTTTTATTGTAATCTAGAGGTAAAAACACATTGCGAAAATATTTTTTTATATTCCAAAAGTTCAACCCGGCCCCAAAATATCAAATTGAAAAAAAGGTACTTTTCAAACGTTCCGAACTCCCGCCATATTGCATGACGTCATAAGCTTCACCAGCTGTCAGAAATCAAGATGTCAACAAATAATAAACACCGATAAGTTTATGTTTATACATGGAAAACGCGAAACCAAAAATTGGTTGTAAATATTGTTTTGTGCCTTGTTGTACAAATACAACCTGGAAAACTCCTGGGAAAGTTGTCCCTTCAATTATCAAAAGCAAAGTTTATGACCCTACACTGAGAGTAGTTACGGCTTAGCCGTATTTTCTTGAATTTATTAATATTTAACATACCTATTCAAACCATATACCTAGTAAACGACATTTTATTTTACTTACATTAAAATGATCCTTAAAATGAGCAATAAAATGGTGACGATGTTTTGATATCGCGCCGAGCTATTTTAATCCACTTTATCCTTATTTTCCCTTTTGGCACGGTGATAAACCTTTTCCCAGGAGTTTTCCAGGTTGTATTTGTACAAGGCACAAAACAATATTTACAACCAATTTTTGGTTTCACGTTTTCCATGTATAAACATAAACTTATCGGTGTTTATTATTTGTTGACATCTTGATTTCTGACAGCTGGTGAAGCTTATGACGTCATGCAATATGGCGGGAGTTCGGAACGTTTGAAAAGTACCTTTTTTTCAATTTGATATTTTGGGGCCGGGTTGAACTTTTGGAATATAAAAAAATATTTTCGCAATGTGTTTTTACCTCTAGATTACAATAAAAAGGTTTTTAGGGATTTTCATTTTTGATGCAATTACTCTATTGACCATATGCAAGGATGTAAATCAGGTCTACCATTTGTAGATAAATTAAATAAATTTGGTTCCAAAATAATTATTTTTTAAGTTTTTCGCAAATAACTGTCATTTATTCACTTTAATATTTGAGTAGATTTTAGTTTATTAAAGTTACTTATATATTAAAGTGAATAAATGACAATTATATGGCGGAAAATTTAAAAATAATTTTTATTGTAACCAAATTTATTTAATTTATCTACAAATGGTAGACCTGATTTACATCCTTGCATATGGTCAATTGGAAGTGAAAACTTTTCACTGAAAAGGTCAACAATAAAACTTGCATGCAAGAAAGATTGCTGCAAGTAAAATTGCAGATTGTATTACAGGCTTATTGTACGTTTTTTGTATCGTTTACCTAACAAATAAAATTTTGCCGTGAAGATCTGGAAACATTTTGGTTGGTTATTTATATATGCAGTCTCAAGACCTAGAAAAACTACACTGAGAAAAAAATGGGACAAATAAACTGTAGCTAATACTTTTATTGTTAATATATTGTTTATTACCTCTAAATAGTCGAAATAATAACGATAAATATACTTTAGTAAAACTTTATGTGTCGGGAATAAAAATATATTTAGGATAAATAAACTGTACCCTTGTCCCATATTTTTTATTTGGGAGCAATAAATTTTTTTCTCAGTGTACTATGTATACAAAACAAAAATTAATTTTTGAAGCTCTAGAATAATATAAGTTAAATTAAATTTAATTACAATTGTAATAAATTAATAGTAGGTATATTTCTTTTTAAATTTGTGAATAAATAAATCATATACCTATAATTATAGGTATATGAAATAAATGATGTAATCTAATTTTTGAAAAAGCGCGGTAAATCATTTTAACATTTAGGGACCCTAGCTTTACTTAAATAGTTAAAACACAATAATTTTAAATGATTTTGAAAAAATTTAAAAAATAAAACTTATAAATTAATCATAATCTACAAATTATTTAGTTTTAAAAATTATTTATATTGAATTAAAAAGGGAATTGGTACACCTGGAACGGAAATAGGGATTTTCTGTTTCAGTCACATCCTCCCTGTCATTCTTTCTTTTCTCGGCGTGTCATGGTGGAGTAGAAGGTGTGTAAATTTTGTATAGTTGTTTATTGTTTAGAAAGTAAGGGTAAGGGATTGGTTTTTGATAATTATTTACAATTAACTTTGTCTTGTGTTGTCTAATATATATTACACTTCTTAAAAATCACAGAAGACTTGGGAAATAATCTGAAAATAATGTTACATTAGCGGGAGCACATGGTTTTGGAAAAACATATTTCTATATTTCACTTTAAAGTGGAATATAACCTTTTTCAATTTATTTATTTTATTATACTATAGCTTTATAGTATAGGAAAATAGTGTTGTTGATAAATCTATGAATATGACTATTTTAGTCTGAAGGTTAGGTTTCAGTAAGGTAAGTACATTAGTTGAGTAATATTTCGTAATATAGTATTGAAAATATAGTCATATTCAAAGAGTCAACCAAAAGTTTGAATATGATTATACACTACAATAAGCAGCGTTTATTTTACTCTGTTACAGACACAACATGCCACAAAACGAGTATATTGAGCGTCATCGCAAATTGTACGGCCGCAGGCTCGATTATGAAGAACGTAAGAGGAAACGCGAGGCGCGTGAGCCCCACAAGAGGGCTGCCACTGCAAGAACTCTTCGTGGTATTAAAGCAAAGATTTTCAATAAGGAACGTAGAAATGAAAAGATACAAATGAAAAAGAAGATTAAGGCACATGAAGAGAAGAAAATCAAGAAGACCACAGAGAAAGTTGCAGAAGGTGCTCTGCCAGTATATCTATTGGATCGTGATGTTCAATCCAGAGCCAAGGTTTTATCAAACATGATAAAACAGAAACGTAAAGAGAAGGCTGGAAAATGGGATGTTCCTATACCTAAAGTAAGAGCACAAGCAGATGCTGAGGTTCTTAAGGTGGTTAAATCAGGAAAAACAAAGAGAAAGGCCTGGAAACGTATGGTGACCAAAGTTACATTTGTTGGTGAAGGTTTTACCAGAAAACCACCCAAGTTTGAAAGATTTATTAGACCAATGGCTCTTAGATTTAAAAAGGCACATGTCACACATCCTGAACTAAAAGCTACATTCTGTCTACCTATAATTGGAGTCAAGAAAAATCCCAGCTCAACAATGTTTACAAGCTTGGGTGTTATTACTAAAGGTACCGTAATTGAAGTTAACATTTCTGAATTAGGTTTAGTGACACAAGCTGGTAAAGTAGTTTGGGGTAAATATGCCCAAGTCACAAACAACCCAGAAAATGATGGATGTATAAATGCTGTTCTTTTAGTTTAGGTTAGAATGTGATGTTATTTTATATAATAAATAATTTAAAAAAATTGTCGGAATTTTTCTTAAATTTTCCCCTACAGAATTTAGACAACATAAGGCAAAATTTATTTAGTATTTTTTGCTAATGATTGTTGTTTAAACGTTTAGGTAGCTCCACAGGATGCAGATTTTTGTAAAAACCCTGACTGGCAAGACCATCACCCTTGAGGTCGAGCCGTCTGATACTATTGAAAATGTCAAAGCCAAAATCCAGGATAAGGAGGGAATTCCCCCAGACCAGCAACGTTTGATCTTTGCCGGCAAACAATTGGAAGATGGCCGCACTTTGTCCGACTACAATATCCAAAAAGAATCAACCCTCCACCTTGTATTAAGATTGAGAGGTGGTGCCAAAAAACGTAAGAAGAAGAATTACTCCACACCCAAAAAAATCAAACACAAGAAGAAGAAGGTCAAGCTTGCTGTATTGAAATATTATAAGGTAACGTTTTATTTTTTTTCAGATACTTACATTTGCACACCTAAAACTCATAAAATTCCTAAAATTTGGCATAAATCTTAAAAACTCCTAATATTGCTATCAATCTCCTAAAACTTTTAAATACAAATAGGCCAACCTGACTGTTTAACTAAGGTAGTACAAAAATTTACCGTCTTATATCAAACAAAAGGATTTTTAATTTTCCTTTAAATGATAGCTAAAATAGTAAACAATCTAAAGAATGTTTTGCATACTTCATATTTTTTCTGAAATTTTTGAGTATCAAGATCCACATTAGGTACTATTATTGTTAGTTATTAACTAAACAGTTAAAAAAATTTCTTAAAATATAAATATAACATCATTTGACTTTGGCCTAGTTTTTTAACCAAATCTATCGAAGCGTTTTTTTTTTTTAATAAAAGATATACAATAGTAGTAATTTTACCTCACTTTTAATTTTATTCAAATAAACTCTTCCAGCCATTTGACTAAAAAACTAGTTAAAGGAACTTATTTGTACAAAAGAATTGATATTTATTTATATTTTTGATAAAAAGAATTATTAATTATTGTTTATATACTTGGTTGTTTTTATTTAATTATAGAAATTCATTGGCATACTTTATTTCTCCCAAAATTTTACAAAAAAAAACTGCTAAATTCCTAAATAAAATTTGTAATTTAACAGAGGGAGCCCTGCATTTGCCACAAAGTTTTGCCAAAGTAATTATTATATATATTTATATTCTTATGAAAGTTTCATTAATTTGAATTTTAAAAAATTTCTTTTGGTCGTTTTATTTTATTATAAATTATAATTTTAGCTCATAATTTTAAATTGCCAATTACAGCGATTTTTTTCATATTTTTGCTGAGGTTGGCTGGCTTATACTATAGCTTTATGGAAATGTGCTAAATATAAATTATGTGATACTTTTGAATATTAAATAAGATAAGTCATTTTCGCTTAACACCTTGTCATTCCATATTGTCTTAAAAATAATATTATTTTTAGACAAGGGTAGGCACTATTAAAAATGCCCATAAATGCTCGAAAAGCGATCAAGCCCTTTTAAAAATTCAAGAGCATTTTAAAGTGCTACATATTTGAATACACTTTAAAAAATAAAATTCAGAATTATAACATATATGTTTATTTTAAAAATGCTCATAAATGCTCGAAAAGTGCTTAAAAGCGCTTGAGTGATTTTAAATAGTGCTCGGTAATTGCATTTCCCGCCATAATTATAAAGCGAGATTATAATATAACCAACAAATTAGTTCATTTTCTGTTTACAAGCGTTTTAAATTGCTCGAGCATTTATTATATTATTTTAAACCCCAAATTATTTTAGTTCTTAAATATTTTGAAACAAATAATTATTATGTAAAGTCAATTAATTTTAAACGTTTTTATTATTGCAAGGAAAAACTAAAGATAAATTTTCTAAATTAGTTAATAACATTAATGTGTAATTTTTGTTTAGGTTGATGAAAATGGAAAAATCCATAGATTAAGACGTGAATGCCCTGGTGAGCAATGTGGAGCTGGTGTTTTCATGGCTGCCATGGAAGATCGTCACTATTGCGGAAAGTGTGGTTACACATTAGTTTTCTCTAAACCAGAAGACAAGTAAAATAAATGACTATAAAATAAGTTGTTATAAAAAATCCTTTTTATAGAATAAAATATATTAAGGGTACAAATTGTTTTTATTTACCTTTTAATATTTGAAAAATGAAGTCAAAAATTTTAATTTAAAAGCCTTTCTCAAAAGATTTAGGGGTTTTCAATGAAAAAAAAACGTTTGAATTGCATCGACATTCAATTTCACTTTTTTAAAAAGATAATTGAATTTATTTTGTTCCTTAACAAATATAAGGGCTCAAAGAATTATTATTTAATACTTCATATAAATTATGTTTTAAACAAATCTTTTTTGTAGTAGTTTAGAATTTAGGCCTAGGCATAATTTGGAAAGCAAAAAAACGACAATTTATTTAAAGGTGAAAAATCTCCAACTCCCAAGTTTTACTGCTACAAATGTTAATATGTTAACCCTACGTTATAAAAAATACGTATAATTATAATCACTAAAATTAAAAAAAAAAATTTAAAATAAAGCTCTCCTTTTTATTATTTACATAGGTAACTAAGTAAAACAATCTTTATTAAACATTTAAAAAAAATATAAATATTTTATGTAAAAAATAATTTACTATTAAAATATGATGCAGTCCATTTAAAAAAAACTAACTAACTTTTTAAAATGATCAATAAAGATAGTTTTAAATATTAAGTTACCTACTCAAATAATAAAAATGAGAGCTTTATTTAAAAGTATTCGAAGAGTTTCCATATAATGTCTTTAAAATTGAATATAGGATTTTGTGAGGCATCAGACAGATTCAAAAATAACTTCAGATTTTTTTACAGCATAGATTTCAAGAATAGTATATTCTGTAACAGTTTGGAATACAGCATATTCCGCGAGCTCGTAAGATATGGCGGTTTCACGAGAGCGGAATATGCAATTCCAAACGTGTTTCAGACTACTTTTTCTACGTTTCCAAAAAATACCATAGAAAAATAATTTAATTGGTAGAAAGTGAGGTTGGATCGGTCTAAAATTTGTTAGATATTAAAAACAGATGTTTATTCTGTCATCCGATGATAGAAAATTTTATTCTGTAACACTTTACAGAATATGTCATTCCATAGATAAAAGTGATATTAGAAGGGTCAAATTCCGTAATAGGAGTAGAAAAAATACATTTTTTCTTCACTCGAGCGGAATATGCTGTATTCCAAACTTGTTACGAAATTATGAGGCGCCGTTTGTGTCAAAATTAAAAGTGCTATATAAAATTATTTTGTTTTATAAATAATTAATTATATGCTTTATAAAATTATTATTATTTTTGATTCGCAGAAAATTATTTTATAAAAAAATAATTTTATAAAGAAATAATTTTATAAAAAAAATTATTTTATAAAAAATTTTTTTTATAAAATATTTTTTTTTATAAAATAATTTTCTGCGAATCAAAAATAATAATAATTTTATAAAGCATATAATTAATTATTTATAAAACAAAATAAGTTTATTTAGCACTTTTAATTTTGACACAAACGGCGCCTCATACGGTATATACTATTTTAAGTTACATTTGTTTTCAAAAAAAAATTATTTTGTATCTTATGAGCTTGCTTCACAAAACTAGTTTTTCTAGTTTTGTAGCTCCCTCATGAGATTTCGATAAAAAATAAACTAAATAATCAATTTTTTAGCTATTCACACGATCCTACAGAATTAGTCTACCATAGGGCAGTTCTGTGCAGCTATTCAAAAATATGTATTTTTTTGAATTTTAAGCTACCAAATTAATAAAATTGTTTATTAGTATTTATGCGACAACCAGTCTGCAATTTAGAAAAATTTGATTAAAAAAAATTATTGAGGAAAAAAGTCGCGATGATATAATTATTAAATTTGTTGTTGCCCAGATTTATTTAAGTTAAAGAGTTATACATTTAATATCAAATTCCAAATATAAATAAGTGTAGCAAATAAATATTTAAAAATATAATTTTCCTTATTTTTATTACACATGCTATAACAAATTGTTAATATTTTGCCTGGATGATTGGTAATAAAAGCAGCGTTTTATCAGCTTTTATTTTTGTAGATAGCTTATATTAAAACAACATGGTCAGACTTTTAAAATTTTATTAAATTACATTGTGTATGGAACAATTAATAAAACTACTATAAATATAACACAGTGCGCACTGACATAGAACAGTTTTAAAACATAACAACGCCCAACTACAATTCACCCTCATTGCCTAATACACTATTATCTTCCTTCATTAGAGCAGCAACTTTGTTTGAAGCAGGGTAAATGGATATTTGTAGTTCGGTAAGAGATTCCTCGGCCTGCCGTAAGAGGCTGAGAGCATTTTTAAGTATTTTTTGCCATTTCTTTACTTCCACAGTATGCAATGACTCTTGTTTTTGTAACAAGTTTATCCAATCATCATGGTTCTTTGGTAAATTTCTAAACAAGAACATATTAAACACAACTTATTTTGTTAGTTCACTGTACTCACTGCAAAATTTGTAAATCTATAGTATATGGAGGAGTTTCCTCCAATGACCACAATTTCATGTACAACATCACATTTAGAAATACTAAAACCATTAATACAATAAAAACAATTATTGTAACAGTATCGGAACTGAAGAGTCCATTGGGATGCACCTTTTTTCTTCCAGGTGCAGCTGAAAAAAAAGTTAATCAGTTCAATACAAAATGTTCAAGTACTTTAAATTTTATACAATCATCTTCCATAAAATCGTAACATTAAAGAAAGTGACACAATATGTCAAAGCATATTATGCCAATTAAAACTAGATTGGTGGGTACTACAATTTTGATTAATTGGTAATTTACTAGTCAAAAATTTCAGTGTCAAATGGACAAAGTTGGACGACCTTTTTTTTAATATGTAAAACTGAATCTTTTGACTTTCAGCCTATAAGTTGTAGGTATACACTACAAAAGCAATAAGTAACTCAATTCCTTACGTGTTATTATAATTTGAACTGGACCATCTGAAATAAAATTAGGTTTACGAAAACAATAAAAAAGGATAATTTAACAAGCCCAGATAATTGCTTATATTTATTTTTTGTTAGGTTGGAAAATAAATTACCATTTTCAATAGGATCATTATCAGTTTTAGCAGGGCCAACTACAGATACAGTTTGTCCTAAAATAAAATTATTCCCAATTTGAAATTGAATTAATTTAAAATAGACAAAATACTGAATTCTTACTAAATTCCTTAGTTTCAATGGTGTGATTACTAACTAAAATTTATTTAAAAAATATTTTTTTCAAAATCCTTAGATTTTAAACTTACATGTTGCTTTTGTTACTTTTACAGCTGAAATTAATTTAAAGTAATAAAAAAGTGGTTTTAAAGGAATAATTTAAAAACAAATAATATCGTAGAAAAATGTTTCTTACATCCTCTAGTATTAACCTCTGAAAATAATTTGTATAAGGAAACTGGCTTAATGATTTCTTATGTGGAATTATTATTAAATTAAACAATATATACTTACTTAATCGCGATTTTTCAGTAGTACTTGGTATGTTGAGCAATCGTTTTTTCCTTTTGGATTTCCTTTTCTCTGGAAGACCCTCTTCAATGTCCTCTCGAAGTGCCTTTATTAAGGAAGAATAAAAATCATCCAGGCCTGCCCAACAATTCTTTTCAATCATACCTGACAAAAAATAAAACAATTTACAATATTTTTTTTTGTTGACAAGTTGCAAACTTACTTTTTACTAAACCCCAAACGGATTTTTTATATTTAATTTGTACATACGCGGAGAAGGAGCTTTTGTTATCGGAAATACGCTTAAGACAATAATGTACTAATACAGTAAAGCTGTCTGCATAAGGTATACCGGCATTGGTGGTTTCCACATCTATTGAGTACAAGTAACCAGCTTTGCTACAGGGGCGCATCATCTACAAAAATATAAACAACATTAATTTACCTTTGCTCAAAATTTGCAGTTCTACACAAGATCAAGCAAGCAATGATTTAGTAATGTCGATTATACAGGGTGCACCAAGTATCCTATGTATGGGTATATTTCTTATTTAAAGAGCTACAAGGTCGGTTAAATTAGAGAAAAGTTGCGTAATTACAAGCCTATTAAAATGGAATTTAAAAATTGGAAAAAAATTAAATGTTCTTAAAATATTTAAAAAAAAACTAAAAACCTTACAAAACCAAAAATTTTTACTTTGTTATACCTGGAAATTTGTAATTTTTTTTCGCCTACTAGATTTTTCCTATGGCCGCCATATTAAAATTTTACATGGTCAGATAGGAAAAAAATTAGGGAATACAACAATGTATCAAACTACATAAGTTATGTCGGCCATTTAAAAACAAAATATTGTGATGGTAACTCATAATATAGTGGCAAAGAAATTGGATAAAAATGCAGATTAATTAATTTTAATTGTAATTTTTTTATGGACTAATAATAATTATTAAATCGAGATTGTAAACTTTTAACTTTTGACAACCAGAATATACAAAAAACCATTTAGTTATTGTTTAATATGGTTATGCCTTTTTCTACTCCTATTACGGAATATGACCGTTCTAATATCACTTTTTAATATGGAATTACATATATTTCATAAACTGTTAAAGAATGAATTATTTTATCATCAGATGACGGAATAAACACTGGTGGTGTCATCTCTGTGCTTATTATGTAACAACTTTTAGATCGATCCAATTATTTTTCTATAGTATTTGGAAACGTAGAAAAAGTATAGTCTGAAATACGTTTGGAATAATAAAGGGTGTATCAATAAGAGCGCAAGATTTGAATTTCGCCTCAGTTTGGCCACCATGATGTCACATGATTAATGACATGACAGATTGATAGGAGACAGATGGGAGTTAGTAAATATGGAGCATTACACGATAGAACAATCCGTCCTGATTATTAAACACTATTGTTAAAATGATGAAAGTTTGATTGCCACGATTCGTAAAGGGCGTCCAATATTTGTTCGAAATAATGTTTCGTATTCATCTACTGTGAAAAGAATAATCAAAAAATTCGAAAGCACTGCTTCGGTTAACCCACACGACACGAGCTCGTAGAGGTCGTCCAGAACAAAATATCGCAGCAGAGACGTCGATTCGCCATCGTGCACAAGAATTGGACATTACAAAAGCCACTCTTCAGCGAATTCTTACTATAGATTTACATCTTCATGCCTACAAAGTCCAATTGACTCAACAACTCCAGCCAAAAGACCATGAACAGCGAAGAGAGTTCAACAATCGGATCCTTAAGCAGCAAGAAGTGAATGCCGATTTTGCGGACAAAATCATTTTCAGTGATGAGGCCCATTTTCACCACTATTTAACACCCTTGGACTTTTGGCTGTGGGGTTATTTGAAGTCACAAGTTTATGCCAACAAGCCCGCCACCATCGAAGCCTTAAAAGCAAAAATTAGACGCTCTATCAACGAAATACCGCCACATGTATTCAATAATGTTATTGCAAATTTTGCCAAAAGAATACGCATGTGCCAGTTAAGCCGTGGTGGCCATTTACCAGATGTGTTCTTTTATACATAATTTCCAAATGTGTACTTTATAAATCAATAAATATTTCAATGCTTTAATACTTAACACCATGTTTTATTAAACTTTGAAAATTTGCGCTCTTATTGATACACCCTTTATTATTCCAAACTTGTTAAAGAATATAATATTTTATAACTTATTCTCTGCCATTTTGTTAGACTGGATTATGGCATACATACAGTCGTATGCAAATAAAAAGCGTACAGCCTTAGAATGAGAGGTACTGAACTTGTCAAATATGGCGAGTTAGGTTATAAAAAATACAGTGCCGTAAATGTAAACCAGCCGTCAGTTAATTGACGGCTGGTTTACATTTACGGCACTGTATTTTTTATAACCCAACTCGCCATATTTGACAAGTGCAGTTACTGTACCTCTCATTCTAAGGCTGTACGCTTTTTATTTGCATACGACTGTACATGGTGCATAAATTGAATTTTTTGATAAATCCGTGTTAAATGGTAAATATTATCTTGTTGTGAATAAAAAAGGTTTATAAAAATTTGCCAACACTAAATAAAACATCATTTTACTAATTGTATTAACATTTTTGACGAAATTTAAACCCTAAATCTCGAAAACTTAACTTTTCAAAAAATGTTTATAGAAGAAAAAGTAAATATTTTTTGTAATTTATTAATTTACATAATTAACCAAATTTAATTTTTTTTTCAATTTCAATTTTTAGAAAAATTGATTTTTTATTTAATTCAATGCGTTGTACCCTAGGGTACAACAAAAAAAATGCCATTGCTGTCAGTCGCTGTTTATAATAGAAATATTATTTTATTATATTATGATAATTATAATAATTAATTATATTATTTTAATTCAGTAAGAATATTCTACCAGGCCGCAAAAAACATATTTGTTGCTATAATTATGTTATCGTTTTATTTAATACATCGATTTATAAAATTATAAATTAAATTTATTTAATCATTAACTATTTTGTAAAGTACATATGTATTTACAGTGGACCCATATGTACTTAGACTCTGTTAAAATACGATTTTGCCCATTGAAATAACATGGTAATTTTTTTATGTTTGTAATTTTATAACTCATCAACAGATCAACATAATGTACACCAAGAAGATAAATATACATAATCCTTAAAAAGTTGGTCAACATTTTAATATTTTTTTCTTTTTTTGCGATTTTATATTTGATTAAATTTAAGAACATTCTAATACAGATTATTATTAACCTACTAACAAACAAAATAAACCCCATCTCCCCATAATTTATTAAAAAAATTGCACAATGAACATGGACACCCTTTTAATTAACATTGTTTATATTATTAATAAATAAATTAATATTAATTTTGATATTAAAATTAACCTTTATTGTTTTTTTTAAATAACCCAATGTCCTACCCCAATTAAATTCAAATTTTAAATTGCTTTTGAAATACATTTGACTATTTTGAAATGCAATTAACGAATTCTGAAATAAATTTATCTATTCTGAAATAGATTCAACGCTGTTGAAAAAGGTGTAGATAAAACCAAAGAAAAAAAAAGATGGAGAATAAGTTTTTTTAATACCTGGTGTTCAGTAACTTGAGCAGATTTGGGCCCCATGGCCGCGCTGAGCGCGACTGTTTGGCTGACGACGCGGCTCTTGCTATTATCGAGCGGATTGTGTGTCCAGGGCGTTTGTATCAGATCGGTGGTTTTCCTCATGGCGTGAAAGTCCAAGAAGAATTTGGAACTGGTAAACAGCAGCGTGAACAACTGATCGATGTGGACCGGCAACACTGCACTCGCCAACTGACGACCAGCGTGAGTGGAGGTGCATTTCACTTTTATTTCCGGTCTAAAATAAATTGAAAATAAAAAAGCTATGTTTATAACGTATAAATTTTTTCACAGCAACTGCACATAGCTGTTTACGAAGTGGTTTAAAAGTTAGGTATTAGCAACGAATTTTTACGCTAAAAGTAGTGCCGATTGCCGAGTGCATCCGAACGCCTTGAAAGAGAGTGGGGATATTATGCAGCAGCGACGGCACACCGCGGTGCAGCGCTCGAGTTTCATTCGGGTTTTTTGTTTTTTTTTTTGCTCAGCTAAATATATTACACATTTTTGCTTAGGAACAAAAACGAGAAATTTTTATATTAAAGGTTATCCAAAGATTTAAGACAAATTGTTGTATTTTAGAATGTAATGTCACAAAATTTGTCACTTACTAGTAAATTAATAAGTTAACTAAAATTTTAGTTAACTTATTAACTTTGTGGGGACTAAACCCGTAATTATGTTGTAAATATTTTAGTACCCTGAGCCGATTCTTTCAACACAGCAAATTTCCCATCATTTGCATTACTTGCTTACCTTTACCTCTCCTTTACCTTTATAAATTAAATCTAAAAATATTATAGACTTTATTACTTTTTGGATTTTTGCCTCGTTTTAAATATTTTTATACCTACTCCCTACTCCGATCAACGGAGGCAGATCGGAGAGCTATCATCGACCACTACGTCCTAATTCATCGTCTTGAATACATCGGCTCCGGGTAGCTACACGCTAAGTTTGTATATAGTTTGTGTATATATGTGTATTGTATTGTATATTGTGTATATGTAGTGTAATAAAGTTAAGTTTGTAAATACCTCGCCGTCGATCAATTTGCACACAACTACCCGCACCAAAGCAGTCGCTAAAATTTTAGTTAACTTATTAACTTATTAATTTACTAGTAAATTTTGTTTTATTATAAAAACTTAATAAAATAAAATAACTTTTAGTTTGACGTCAAGAGAATTGTTTTATGTTTAAATGTTTTTTCTACTCCCACCTTTAAAACGTCCATTATTATCGTACATGTTTCCATGACACTAAGTGACCTTTAAATACACATTGACAAGTTGTGGCTTTATAGCGTTTTAGTCACGGGCTGAAGTTAGCAACATATGTCATACAATCGTTAAAATAAAGAGGCCTTCTTGTAAAATAACATTAAATGTAAACATTATTTTATTATCTCAACACAAAAATACAAAAGTATTAAATAGTTTCTCAGCGAAAATATTTGAAAAGTTTATATATAACATTTTACTGACCTTTTAATTTCTCCTTCAGTAAACTACATTAACTTTATTTTCAAGTTGGTAATAATATTGTTTCATAGATGTCGCTCTATAAAAATATTCAATTCAAATCATTTTTAGATAATTTGTCAAGTATAGTATGCAACTCGTTTATAAACTTTTCTGGAGACTCATTAAATTAAGCACTCGCTCGCAAGCTCGCTCGTGCCTAAATTAAATTCGTGTCTAAAATGGCGTTTATCAAACTTGATACATAATATACTATTTAGTACTCCCACCTTTAAAACGCCCAGTAGTGTACAGGGTGATCCCCTATAATGTCGCCTGGGGCGACTCGCCCTCCTTTAACTTTTTTATTTTAAGGGTCCAAAAAAATTTAAAAGTGTGGTTATGTAGGTACTAAAAAATACTTTTTTTCTGCGTATAAAGAAAATTGGAAAATTGATCAGTATACAGGGAAAAACAAAAAGTTTATTTTTTTTTTCAATGGATCACCCTATATATGTATTTATTTTTCGATTCCTTGTAAAATTCTAAGAATATTTCATATAACATACCATATACCTAAATTTAACCGTTTCTGAAATATTTATAAATTTTTATTAAGATAATAAAATGAAATAAACTGCTCGTCATAAAAATCGACGCACCTAGTTTTTTGGAAAATATTTGAAAGCTCGTTTTTGGAAAATTACTGAATCGATTTTGAAAATCTTTGCAAATTCTAAATAGCTGATTCTTTGACTCTTATGTATAATTTTGGGAATACGATATTTTGCACATAGCATTATACTACAGGGTGTTAAACGAAGAGATGTATTTTTTCCGCAATTTCAAGTTATTCTCATTCATGAGGCAGTTGAGTTTGATAGTCGTAATACCCCTCCCTAATATTAGTAAGGTAATCCCTCGAAACGTTTTCGAGATTTTGTGAATATCGCGGCCCTCTACGATTATATGCCAATTTATCGGAAATGTTATTTTCCAGTTTAGTCCAAAAAATGAGCAATAGTGGATTCTTTTACTTACGTTTAATTTTGAGAATACGATATTGTGTACATAGCATTATACTACAGGGTGTTAAAAAAATATATGTATTTTTCCAAAAATCCAAATCCCCATTCACAGGGCAGTTGAGCTTGATAGTCCTAATACCCCTTCCTAATAACAGTTGGGTAATCCCTCGGGACGTTTTCGAGATTTTGTGGATATCTTGGCTAACTACGATTATATACCAATTTTTCAAAAATTGTCGTTATCCCCCAGTTGTCCAAAAAATGAGCATTAGTAGATTCTTTTACTTATGTCTAATTTTGGGAATAAGATATTGTGCACATTATACTACAGGGTGTTAAAAAGAAGAGATGTTTTTTCCAAAATTCCAAATCACCATTCACAAGGCAGTTGAGCTTGATAGTCATAATACCCCTTCCTAAAAACAGGTAATCCCTCGGGACATTTTCGAGATTTTGTGGATATCTTGGATAACTACGATTATATGGCAGTTTTTAGAAAATTCAAAATAAAAACGCAAACCATACAAAATTATTCTCTTAAACTTATGCAGGCTATATTCATACAATTTTCTACAAACGGTTGAATATGAAAGTTTAAAAAATATGGCGCATATCTGGTTTTGAGTTTCCTTCCTTCAATTATTCTTGTCATTTTTGTCGTCGAATATGAAAACATTTTTCAAACAGCAAAACACATTTTAAAAAATAAAATGACGGATGTAAGATTGCATACCACGCAAGACGAAGAGCTGCCTGCCCTCTTTTTCTGCTAGAAGAAGATGAGCACAAGAACATGCAAATTGGGGAAACGATGTGTTGATATCTAATCGATACCTTTCGTAGTTTGCTCATTTTTGGGAATTAAGTGGAGAATAACGAAAATTTTCTAAAAATTGCTATATAATCGTAGTTAGCCAAGATATCCACAAAATCTCGAAAACGTCCCGAGGGATTACCTAACTGTTATTAGGGAGGGGTATTAGGACTATCAAGCTCAACTGCCCTGTGAATTGGGATTTGAAATTTTGGAAAAAAATATCCCTTTTTTTAACACCCTATGTGCACAATATCGTATTCTCAAAATTAGACGTAAGTCAAAGAATCCACTATTGCTCATTTTTTGGACTAAAATAACGACAATTTTCGATAAATTGGCATATAATCGTAGTAAGCCGCGATATTCACAAAATCTCGAAAACGTTCCGAGGGATTACCTTACTTATATTAGGGAGGGGTATTACGACTATCAAACTCAACTGCCTCAAGAATGGGAATAACTTGAAATTTCGGAAAAAATACATCTCTTCGTTTAACACCCTGTAGTATAATCCTATGTGCAAAATATCGTATTCCCAAAATTAGACATAAGAGTCAAAGAATCAGGTATTCAGAATTTCCAAAGATTTTCAAAATTGATTCAGTAATTTTGCAATAACGAGCTTTCAAATATTTTCCAAAAAACTAGGTGCGTTGATTTTTATGACGAGCAGTTTAGTTTGTCTTCCTCTGTCTGAGTACGCCATTATTACTTATTTAACAAGACATATTGACATAATGTCAGTATAGTAATTTATTTTCAATAAAAATTTTGGTATACTGAGGCTTCTTGATTTCTAACAGTTTAAAAAAACATTTAATGATAACATTTTGAATGCGAATATTTCAGAAACAGTTGAATTTAGGTATATAGTTTGTTATATGAATTATGCTCAGAATTTTACAAGGAATCGAAAAATAAATTCATATATAGGGTGATCCATTAAAAAAAATAAACTTTTTGTTTTCCCCGGTATACTGATCAATTTTCCAATTTTCTTTATACGTAGAAAAAAAGTATTTTTAGTACCTACAAAACCACACTTTTAAATTTTTTGCGACACTTAAAATATAAAAGTTAAAGGGGGGCGACATTATAGGGGATCACCCTGTACATATAGGGCTCCCAGCGAATTTGTTTCTTTCTTTTTTTTAAAGCTTAAATTCTATCACACAGCTGTTGCTTTTCTTTAGAGCTTAGTTCTACTACACTGTACTACAGTATGGGCACTCTGTAGGTCCGATTTTTTAATTGTGTTCTTTACAGTATTCAATAGATTTCCGATATTCACGTTTTCCTTTGAAATTAGCTGGTCCAAATTGTTATTTTGTTTTGATAGGAGTCATTTTGATTATCCAAATCGCTAATTTTGACAACAACCATAGAGTAGGCAACCAATATCACAAACTGAAGTTTTGGTGTTTTTATCATGACGAAATCATGTGACAGGGGCAATTTCAAATATTAACAAAACAAAAAATGCCAAATTTTAGGACTTTTCAGGAAAAGACCAATTTTATAGGACATTTTGACAGAATGCTGAATTTTAGGACTTTTAGGACATTTGAGAAACTTGTATTTCTATGACACTAAGTGACCTTTTAAATACAAATTGACAAGTTTTGGCTTAATAGCGTTTTAGACACGGTCTGAAGTTGGTAACAGGTTTTAGTCACGGTCCATTTTCAAGAGATACATTTCGATTCAGACATAAAAATTTGACATTTTTTCCGGGGCACCGATTATACAGATTCCCAAGTTGTTTTATAGATGTCGCTCTATACAAATGTTTAATTTAAATTATTTTTAGATAATTATTTATTGTAGAAAAAGTATAGTATACAACAAGTTTATAAACTTTTCCAGACACTCATTTAATTAAGCACTCGCTCGTGCCTAAATTAAATTAGTGTCTAAAATATAAGCAAATACCTTTTAATAAACTTAAAAAAATATAATGATTTTATTTACACATTAGATTAATAATTAACTGTTAAAAGTGACTATAGGTTACATTCAGTGTGACCATATATTTTTTAACGAATCCACTGCTTAATAACAGAAAATCCACTAAAATCGCTTAATACAAAAATATACTAAAAATCGACTAAACTGATAAAAAAATAAACTAGAATTTCTAGAAATCTATCACCAATAAGAATCTTGACATCTAGCAGCTACTTATAGACTACAACTATAAGTTATAGTTGTAGTGAGTATACCAATTACTTATACAGGATGATTCTTTATTTAAACACAAACTAATTAATATAAAATATTAAATTAACATATATAATGGTTAAATAAACAATCTCTTCTTAAAGAAAACGCTGGTGCAAAATATCTCCACTCTATCAATGCATTTGTATGCACTGAATACTTTTAGCGTAAAATTACGGTATACAAATATTTATAATTAGGTCCATTAAGGTAAACTATTTCTAAAATCTTGAAAAAAATTAAATTTTTAAGTACATGCTTAAACAAAGGATTAATGTTAATAAATGCAATTGATTCTTAAATATAAATAAATAGTTTGTTAGTTAAAATGGAGGTCACAAAATCAAACCAAATATCTGCAAAAATTTTGTTACGGCAATGGATATTTTTAAGGTTAAAATGCAAAACCAGGTTATATTATTAAGTATATTATTACCAAGATAACAAAGACTTACTTTTTTTTCAACATTTCTAAACCTGATTCATCTGTGGAATAGGAACTGGATGCGGGAGGTAAGGGCAGTTTTTTAGGGGTGGTATGCTTTATAATTCTGAAATGTAACTAATAGTATTAAACAGAAGCTTATTATTGGGAGGTTTTAAAATAAAACATACCCTGTTTGTTCCTAAATGATGTGCTAATTCAAAAAGACGTAGTTTTAAAAAGAAAAGTTAATATTTTTCGTGATTTTTAAGGTTTGTCTATAAAATAATAGGAAAAATACTAGTGATAAATGGCCCTATTTATTTTAATTCATAAATTTTATACTAAAACATTGATAAACTTTAGGGTCACAATAGTACATCATTTAGGAACATCCTGTATACATATGGGGCATATTTTGCCAAATTGCCACACTATGAAAATTGTTTGCTTAAATATCTTCTGAAATTTTGTTGGAGAAGAAAAAAGACAAAAAAGCGTTGATATAAAAATAAAATCTATTATCCCTATTCGTGAACAATTTAAAAGTTTTATCTATTCCTACATTGAACGGCTGTGACTTTAATGCGTTTGTCACGGGCTGAAGTTGGCTTTATTATAAATGAGAGAAAAGTGAGGTTAATTCCGTTGACATTTGACAGATGTCAAATGTTTAACAAAGAAAATTGGCTTTAAATTCTTCTTTGTGCTCGTCGTAGATTAAGTATAGTACTTATGCAACTTTATAAACTTATCTAGGCACTGGTTTTTATTAAACACTCGCTTGCAAGCTTCGCTCGTGCCTAATAAAACTAAAATGGCGTTTATAAAACTTGATACATAATATACTATTCACAGATTATACAACTTGATACTATTATGGGCCATTTTTTATTTTTATCATAGAAAAATGTTTCCATGGTAAACATGTTTTTATATTTTAAAATGTTATTTACGGTATTCGGGACATAATAAAACAGCTAGACTGAATAGTGAAATGTATTTATTGAATGGATAGACAACCATTAGAGATAAATTCTAAAATTATTTTAATTTTATACAGGGTGTTTCGAAAGCCTGTAGGGATTTCATTATAAAATTGACACGATTCGACGACAATATGCAGGAATAAAGGCAATGTTGTTAATTATACTTTTTTTTGGTTTATGTTGATTTGACAGAAAGTCAATTAAATGTTTTTGGTATATGTCACTTAATAAATAAAGCAACGGGTTAGCAACTTAACAATCAAAATTAATATGAAAAATGTATCTCAAAAAACTTTTTATTTTTCTATGCTTTTTGGGAAACAAAAAAGCCAACATTGTTTCGGACACGATTTATGCTTCTCAGGACATGAAAGTACATATGAAATTACATTTTCTTCTTGGTAGTCAATTGATTCCAAAGCAATGAATAACCGTCAAACTAAACGACAAAGATTTTTTTCAAACATATATCCGCTGTTTTATCAAAAAAAAACTCAATCTAAAATTTTTTTTTTCATTAATTCAGTAAAAAAATTAAAACCCAGAAATAGTTTTTGCACCTCTACCCCCCTCAAATGGTACGCCTATGATTACATTTTGAAGTTTTAATTTTAGGCTTAGTTTTAGCACATCAAAATTATCAATTAAATATTAAAAAAGTATGTCTATGTTCAAGGAAAATAAATTTATATATTTTTCGAAACATGTTTATTAAACCAATTTGTGTTTTTTTGTATGCAGATTGCACTGTTTACGTTTGGCCCATTAATTTCGGGACACCCTGTATATAACGATCATAATCCAGAAATCGATTTTTAGACGCTTAGGTCCCTTTTCTTAGTTATAAACTTTTTAAATAAATTTAAATAAAAAATTAAAAGATGAAATTTGATAAATGGGTTTGAAATTGGAAACTGATGATAGGTAGTAACGATGTTTTAGGAGGGCGATTTTGCTATTTTACCGTATTTTTAAAGTATTCACATATTTATTGACTAAATTGTTTAATAATTAAAACAAAATAATTTCCTTGAAATTAAATTTAATTAAGTTTACTTACTTGATGGGCTTGTCCACGTCCGATTCGGTGTCCGACCTGTCGGAATATTTCGGATTCACATTAGACATAATATTAGGTTTTTCTTCAGTTTCGTCCATTGCTTCGCTGTCTAGTAGACTCTCAGTTATGCAAGATTCGTTCTTAAAAAGTAATTGAAATTTTAAATATTATTGCTTGTTTTTATTCTAAAGCACAAACAAAAGTAGTTATATATTTTGTATTTATTTATTCTGCCTTTTGACCATAAATTTTTGTTAAAATCCCGATTTTCTAAAAAAATCATCAGGGAATATTTGATAAATTTATAAATATTGCCTAGTATTTGATAAAAAAGATATATTTAAATTGTATGTAATAAAAGCTGTTAAATAATTTATGTTATTTGTCATCAAAAAAATATAATAATGTAGGTATGTATGAAATAATTTTAATTAAAAAAATTACTGAAATTTTGAAAATTCCAAATGTTGAAGAAAAATGTATTAAAAATATTAGCAAATATTAATTTTCAAATAATTAAAGTTATGATTTGTACTCATGTAAAAAAATTGTACACGAATAGTTAAAATTTACAAAAATATGTAAGAATCTCGAAATCCTACAATAATTAAATAAAATAAAAAACGCAAATCAAAATTCTAAATTAAATTATAGTTTTTTTAATATATGTTATAACAATTTCTAAAGCAGTCTGTTATTTTGTTTTAAATTTTACATAAATAAATAACAAATTATTTGTGTTTAAATTAAATAAAAATATGTTTATTAAAAGTTGCAATCTATTAATTTTAACTCCAACACAAAAATAAACTCATAACATAATAACTAATTTGTAACTTGAACTTTTATTTAGTACACACCATTTTACACAGGCATGTCAGTCAACACAATGTTCAAAATTAAAAAGACTTACTTTAGTATAGCAAACAATAAAACCAGTCATTATTTAAAACTTGTTTTAATCGCCAATTTCTATTCAATATTATTATCAGCATATGTTGCATCTTATCATTGATAACAAAAATAACAGATGTTTAGAATTGGTAGACAATGCTTAGAAAAATAAACAGTCTTAATTTTAATAGTAAGTGTGTAAATTGTATTGTAATAATTAAATTGATGTATAACCTTTGTTCCTGCATAAAAAATACATGATTATAAATTTGACAATGTTTACCTATATCAATTATTTTGCATAAATAAAAAGTTAAATATGTAGATAATTTAAATTATCCTGGACAGCAAAATTTTTATTAGTCTGGTCTATAATTTTGGCCTAGTTTTAAAATATCAAAAAAAAATATTGATATTTTTTACGCTTTCTTGTGCGGGATAAAATAAATAATTTTGTTTATCTCCACGCGGTCTATAATTTAAACTTTATTGTTGTCAACATTCGATAAAGAAATACCTTGTTATGGCCTAGGCCGATAAAAATTTTTATGAGGCAAGTAATTAGTTCGATTTTTTCTCGCTAGGGGTATTGTTTTGACAAATTAATCCTTTTCTAAGAAATTAACGTACTAAACTGGTTTAATTTATTTATAATAAGCACTAATTTGTTTGTTTTACTGTTATAACATTATAATGTTTAATATTTTTCATTAAATTATTGTAAAATTAAATATGAATAATAAAATAAAAAGTGAGGTTAGGACATTGCAATTTGACGTTTCACAGTTGTGTTTTCTTTTTCTACGATTTAAATTATCTTTAAATTTTAATTTGCTTTAAGTTTTCAGTAAAATTAAATGTTAAACACAGCGTAAACATTCCAAACTACCTATTTTTTAATAAAAATGCAAACAAATTGAAATTAGATACCTATTAGGTACCTATTTATTAAACAATTAATTGAATTCAATGTAATAGCAAGACGGTAAGTAAACCATTTTCTTACAAAAATCCATTTCTACTTAAATCATGTAGCTAGGTATTGCAAACTATTACTGCTTCTAAAAGGAATAATAATTATTGTACATTTAATGTAATCTTTAGCTAATAAATAAATGAGATTAAAAAAAGTGAGGTTATGCCACTTTCATGTTGAATTAAATTGACCTATATAAAGTGCTTTGAAGATAAAATGTTGTATGCCATTCGGCCAAGAAGTGTCTTTTTGTGCTTCGCTCAATTGTAGGCCTCCGCTACGCGTCGGCCTTCAAACTTTGAGCTTAGCACAAAAAGCCTTACTTCTTAACCTAATGACATAAATAACTATTCTTTTCTTCTGTGATTCTTAGAATAGATTTTTATTCAGATTCATTTAATTTTTTTAAGATAAAAAACAAAGACATTAAAACAAGTGCAAGCTTGAACATAAACTCGGATTTTCACAACTATGAAACTAGAGGAGCACAAAACCTCAGAACAGTCAGAGTTAGGACCAAAAAGGCTTCTGGATCAACAATATAACAGGGTGTTAAAATCTTCAATGATCTACCAAACTCCATTAAATCCTTGGATAAATATGAAAAATTTATAAAAACATTGAAAAAGTACTTACATCAAGGACAATTTATAATTATTATACTGTTATTCAATTTATAAATCTATTTTTTCTTTATTGTAATGATTACTCTACGTTAACAGCTATTACAAGTTGATTTGTAGTTTCAATTTAATAAATAAAAAAATAAATAAATAAAATTTCTATGATATTTTAAGTTTTATTTTTACATAAATTCTTTTATAGGTTATTCATTTGACATTAAAGAAATCACAAAAATAACAATTTACGAATTAATTTACCTGTTCTAGAGCTAACTCATGATGCAATGGCAAATTAAATGTAGAGCCTAATTATAATTATAATAATTATTGGTGTTCACCTTGGCTTTTATAAGGAATTTCTTTATTTGGACTTTGACACATTTGATTTTTTGGTCATTAATGCAGTATTAGTAATTGGTATTCCTATTTCTAAGAATTTGACATTTTGACAGTTCATTGAACTTCAAGTTGAACTATTGTGTAATAATACATTATTAACAATTGGGAACCTTGCTACAAAAATGATGTATCTGTCAATTGTCATTTGGGTTATCTCCAAAACTATTATTTTATTGCAAAATTTTTCTTAAATCTTTTGTAAAATGCTAGAAATATTTAACACACAATCATCTGATTTTCTGTGTTAATGCCTCACAAATTTATTTAGTTTTTAAATCATAAATCGGTTCCAAATACATTAAAAAAATTCCTGCCAAGTTTCAGCTCTTAATATTAATATTAACCTGGCCCACACTGCAGTCAAACTTTGAATTTTTACGACTTTGGTAGCCCTGCTAAAAATACCCCATAGAGACCCATAAAAATAATCTATCGGGCGCTAACGGACTCAATATGTGCATTTGTCCATGCTTTTTCCGGATACGGCCCGATAGAAAATGTATAGGGAATTACCTATAGGTACACCATAACTTTTACATTTACCCTATTGAAATCGATAGCAAATAACTCAAGGAAGGATATATATATATATCCCTATAGGGATATCTCTATAGAGCAACCATAAAAAAAATAATAAAGTATACTATGTGGCTATACCCATACAGCACAAGATGTCAATTGGAGGTCAAATGGACTTACATTGGACGTTTGGATGTACAATGGTCGTCCGCTGGACGTCCAATGGATATATGTGCTGTCTGGGTAGCCACATAAAAATGCCGCCAAAAACTGATTGCAGTTTCTTGTTCGGGACCCTTTGGTGACTTAAAAATGATATTTACCAAAATCCTAGCTGCTCCTCTTTTCGAATTTTTTTAAAAATTCATGATTTTTTTTTTAATTTTTGTTTATCTCAAGTCTACCTTTGACAGAGTACACATTTGTAAACTGATTTTTATAAAATTGGAGTATATTATTGAGGAGATTTAGAGAATACTTTTTAATACTGTTTACTTCATTTGATATAAACAGGGTTAGACAAAAATCGCTTATTTTTAATAAAGCAAAAGCGTAAATTCATGTTTTTGGCATAACAAGCAAAAAAAATTTATCCCCAATTTTTTTTAGATATTTCTACGTTTATCAGGTTACAAAATGGCATTCTTATTAACCTTTAAGAAGAAAAGTAGATTTTTAATAAAATTTAATAAAATATCACTTAAGAATATTTAAAATGTTGTTAAATTTAGTCTTTTTAGTAGTATTCAATTTTGAACTAAAAACTGGTTGAAGTTTTTTGATCGGCACTCTTTGGTGATTTAAAAACGATATTTACCAAAATTCTAACGGGTTTTTTTTAAATTTGTAAAAAATTTAATATATTTTTTTAATTATTTGTTTATTATTTTATTATTTGCCAGAGTACACATTTGTACACCTATTTTTATTGGAGTATATTGTTAACGAGACTTAGAGAATACTGTTTTCATACTGAGCACATCATTAGATTTATAAAGGGTTAGCCAAAAATCACTTTTAATACAGGTTGTTATTTAATTAATGTTATATATTAAAATACTAAATACCTTTTGACATAAGGAATAAAGAAAAAATATTTAAAAAAATATTTTTCCAAAGATAAAGAAAATATATGCATTAGAAGTTTTTTATATTTTTTGTGATACGCCACTGGTTACACACTTGTGTTCTGTGAGTCATAGACTGTGCCTACATAGATACCAACGAACAAACTGTGACTACATAGATACCAACCAACAAAGTAGCTGCGCGTTGCCAGATTTAAAAAAATGTTACTAAAAATTTTTCTTGCAAAAAATAAATAAAAACTCAATAAATACAAAAGTTTTATGCCCTTAAAGCTCTAATACCCTTCTGTATTTATTTACTCATCCAGCTATTAGCTTAAGCAATGATTAGAAAATGTAGTACCTATTTTAAAAAATCCGTAACCACAAAATTTATTTTTTCATCAGTTTTTTCTTTCTTTTTACTCAGATGAAATTGGGACCAGTTCACAGGTTAAACTTTAAACATTTAATTTGTGTAAATAAATCCAAAAGCACTTCTCTTAGTTAAGATATTCATAATTTGAGCACATAACCTAAAATTTGAAAGAAATGCACTAGATTGTGTCATAAAAGTTGGCAGATTTTTTTGAATTTACCTTCAGTACAAAAATGACATAACCAACAATTAATAAAAACGCCAAATTGCTAGAGATGTAAAAACGGTTTTTTTCATATGTGAAAAAAACATGAAAAAAAAACTAGAAAAAAACGGTTCTTTTCGTTTTTTTCTCAAATCTGTAGCGGATTAAGCATATTCTGTCAATAAATAACATCAGTCTTAAAAAATAGAGTATTTTTTCAAAATGAAATTTTGGGTAAAATGTATATAATATAATAATTAATAATAAGTGAAATTTAGAATATATTACATTTTTTATTTTTGAAAATTTTGACCGAGACTAAAAAATCTGATTTCTTATTATTTGGTAGTTTCCACATAAGAAACCAATAACAATGTAAAACTTTTACAGTAATGGAAAAAAATTAAACGATAAAAAAAATTCCAAATTTTTAGCGATTTTTCGTATTATCGTTAAAAATGGTCGTATAGGAGCCGTAAGAAAATCAATTTAAAACTTTAAGTTTCTAGTTATGAGAAAATCATGAAAAAGGGGCTTTTGGTAGCTTTTTGGAAAATCAAGCTGTGAATCAAAAATGTTATAGGTAGTTATATTACTTTTTTAGGACCAAATCAAAACCAGCGCGGCCCTTATTAGTCAATTCAGTGGTGGTGGCGCGTGTATAGCGCGAGTGACATTTACTAAATGTCATTTTAGTCTATGAACTGGACTGGAAACATAAAAAATTAGGCAAATGGGACTAATCTTGAAATAAAACCTAAAATATGAAAAAAACCATTTGAAAAAAAAACCTGAAAAAAAAACAAAAAACGGACCGTTTTTTTCATGTCACATCTCTACTTTCAGCATGATGCTGGTTTGGGAGAAACGACCCGTTTTGGTGGCCCCCAAGATTACTTAACACCTCTGTTTTTTTTTCTTGTGGAGATACGGATTCAATTGTCGCAAGCCGACATAACACCAGAAATGCTGGAGAACGTCAGAACGAACATCATTAAACGTTGTGAAATGTGCTTGCAGAGAAATGGAGGAACCTTTGAGCATCTCATAAGATAAAGTCGGACCAAAGTCTTTTTAAAAGACAGTGACAAAGTCAACCATATAATTAAGGTCATTTTACACTACGATTTTATATAGAATTTCTAACATTAAGCTGCCCATTATAGTTCTCCCACCTCTACTCATTCGGCTAAAACACGCCTGTGATTGGCTACTTTATTTTATTTTATTGATCGAAAAATGATAAAGATTATTCGACTTGGAATCCCATCCTCTATCAACCTCTTTTCTGCTGTCCTTGAATATTGAGACACCCTGTAGAAATTAAAGGGTTGGGTTCATTGAACATTTTTTATACTTCTAGACATGAAGAGTTTTTTAAAATTTCATGCTATTTAAAGGCGCAGTCAAATTTGGGTTTTACTTTAGAATAATCCCAGGTAAGATTTTTTTCGGAATCTTGTTGATATGGGCACAAGTATATTATGATAATGGCTCAAAAGTCAGTTTGTATTGAAAAAAACTTACCTCAGAAAATGATTCTATTGATCTAGCAGACAATTTATCCTCCTCAGTACCGGGAGCAATATAATCTTCGTCGTCACTAGTTAAACCAAGTTCTTCACCATAACTTTGATGAACCTAAACAAAAAGTATTTATGAGGAGCTAGTCTGCAAAACAACGTTTTTGATAAAATTATCGATTTTTTGTAAAAAAAATTAGCTTGAATCACCTAACCACTTATTTCTGAAAACGCAAAAACTGAGTTTGCAGAATAGCTCTTCATATGTTATAGTTAAAGTTTGAAATCTAGATAATCTCGATATTAACCAGTCTATTTGTCCGAATACATGTAGCGAAACAGACTTTAATCAGCTAAAGTCGACATTAACATATTGTGGGTGGTTATAGTCCGAAATAATCTCAAATAAAGCATTTTTGTTTTGTGTTGTGCACCAAACCAAACCAAACTATCCCTACATTAGTTCTAAGCCGAGTAGTTTAAAAAAACGACCATCTGTTTTTTAATGCCACATGTTTAATAGTTAAAGGAAGGGGAAATAAGTTAAATAGTTAAAGGAAGGAAATTTGAGCCTTTAATATTAATATTTAGTGTTTCCTGAATGCGATTTTCCATTTTTTATAGAATTAAGATGGAACAATAAATAAATTTATTTCTGAATTTTGTTGATCAGTAACGAGGCAATGAACAATACATATTTTTGTAGAGAATTGAATGCTTTACATAAAAGGTCTCCTATAGTTTTTTTGTTAACTACATTCTTTCAAAAGTTATTAATTCTTATTAAAGTTAAAATTAATTTTTGTCAAATTTGGTAAAAAATAATAGAATGACTCTGTAGACAATGTGTCATTCTTAGGAATAGAAATTGACAAAAAATCAGACTGGAAAATACAAATTGATATATTAACAAACCATTTATATAAGAACTGCTTTGCATTAAGAACTATATCAAATAACATAAGTGAAGAAGCTGTCAAAATTGCCTATCTTGCATGTATAGAGTCTAGGATTAACTACGGAATATTATTCTGGGGTAATTCCGTGAAGTTGATCGTGTCCAAATTATACCTGCCCAGAAAAATGTCACATACATACAGTACAGTGTTATCAGGGTATGGAATAAATCGCCTAGTAGCTTTAGATTGTTACAAAAAAAAAACAACATTGCGATTGAAACAATTTCTACATCAGAGGTCTTATTACCTTATGGCCAAGTTTTTTTTATGATTTTTTTTTCTAGATTTGTAGTGTTTTACTAAGGTTTTGTCTATTGAATGTATTGTTATTATTTATATGATATACTACTGTGATATGATATACACCCTATGGGTATTAGGTATGTAATTTTAAGGATCAAATAAAGAGTATTATGATTATTATTATTATATATGGGTGTGTACATGCACACATTTTACATGAAAATATGAAAAAGCTTTCTATTAACTAGTTTTCCTGAGATGTGATTTATTCAAATATTTGAAAAACCACAACAATAACATTATAACGAACGTCGTGATAAGAATTTTTATTTTTATTTTACATTCTTAAATATTTTGAGAATAATAAATCAAGTGAGATGTAAAAAACAGTAAAGATAGAAGTTTAATTTCCAATTGTTTCATCTGGAATAAATATCAATACAGTCAATATATTTTTTTAAATAACCCATGTCTCAGGAATAAATTAATTAGGCAAATCAAATGCGAACATTATTTTTATAAGCAATATAATATAATTTTTTTTTAATTGCCACACTGTATCTCGGACAGGAAGCGTTCCCGAAAAATCTTTAATAAAAATTGTTTCTTATTTTTAACCCTTGAGGAATCTTTTGAATTGTTTTGAAATAACAATGAATATACGTATATATATATATTATATACGAGGGTCGTTCAAAATTTGATAATAGCGTTTTGGTCATACATCTGTTTAATACCGAGAACTTTCCGAACGACCCTCGTATCATAAAATTAATTTTTTATTTAAAAAACGTACCCATTGCCACATTTCTGTTGAAGACATTGGTTGATCCATTAAAGCGTTCTGCCATACCCGAAATAGCATAACATAGGTCTTGTCTCGGGCTACTAGAAAACTGGTGAAGAAGAATTTCTGGTCGCTGCGCGTCGAAATCAAAATCGCGTTTGGGATGACGAGGGCGGTTTTTTCTTTTGAAATCGAGGTGACATCTTTCCATTTCAATGATACATTGGTCCCCCAACCGAAGATATTCGCGTAAAAACAGAGATAGTTTTGCGTTATGTATAAGCGACCATGCACTAGGATTTCTTTTTGTAAAGCGCACGAGTAATCTGAAAAAATACATACGTATATTATAATAGTGTGTTTAATTTTTATCATTTGGATATTAAAAGCATTGATTAAAAGCTTAGACAAATTGTGTGATAAGTAGGCAAACATTAAATATATTTGTAACATAAATATGAATTATATTATAAATTTAATTGTTAAAAATATTAAAAACATGGAGCAGAATCATAAGCGTCCTTGAATGATAAATCAGGCAATCTTTATGGTATTTTTTAACGGTAATGAAATAATTAAACATAAAAATAAGGTTCCCCCCCCAATTTTGTGTAACCTTATCTTTTATGTCCTTAATATACTGGAAAAATTACAGAACCATAAAAATTTTGTTAAAGTGGTCCACCATCAATCCCATAAAATTAGTTTTTAATTTTTTTTTCTTTAGGTTTAGCCCAATACCCAAAATTCCAAAAACATTATTCCAAGAGTCAAATTAATGTTAAAATGTTGGGATGGCTTAGTTTATTTTCAGGTTTACAAAGAAATGGTTTTAATTAAATTATTTTTAACAAAATATTAGGTACTGATCGAGAATAATAACAATATATAACAATAAAATATAGTTATTGTTAAGAATCGTCCAGGAAGTTACTAATTGACTGGACAGAACTACAACACAAACAATAGTGGGAAAGCCTGTCTGGTCTGGAGCATTCGAAAGCACTTTTGGACAATCCATCTGCTGAAGGGCAGAAACCAATGAGGACATATACCAGACAGATGACCCTTTGTGTAGAGGTTGTGAAGAAGAAGAGCAAACACCTCTTCACATTATGTGTCAATGTGAGGGATTCAACACACCTGGGAGGGTCTAAACTCACACCAGAACTTTTAAAATTGCTCCGACTGCCTCGGCTACTGCGCTTCATAGAAGCAACGGAGCTATAGCTATGGAAGTAATACCATTTTGGGCACAATAGGATTGTGAAAGCAAACCGCAGTGCAGGGCTTTGTCCCACACTACTCGGGGCCCAAGAGGAACCGAGTGTTCGTAAAGAATTTCTCCGCCGGCCAAAGAGTGATGAGCTTAAAAGCCGAAGCACTTTCTGCCAAGGCAAAGCAATTGAACGAAGCACAAAACCTTCTCCCCCAAATAACATATACAATTTTTTCTACTCCCACCTTTAAAACGCCCTGTGGCTTTACGGCGCTTTAGTCACGGGCTGAAGTTAGCAACAGGTTCTTAGTCACGGGCTGAAGTTAGTTTTAAGTAAGTTGACAGTTGTCAAATGTCATACAATCGTTAAAATAAAGTGCCTTTCTTGTAAAATAATACTAAATGTGAAAATTATTTTATTATCTCAATACAAAAATACAAAAGTATTAAATAGTTTCTCAACGCCAATATTTGAAAAGTTTATATGAACATTGTACTGACCTTTTAATTTCGCCGGCAGTAAACTATAACTTAAATTCGGGCACGGACTGTAAAGTCCTCATAAAACATTTCCTTTACTTTCACTGTGAAAAACTGTCAATTTTCAATATACATTTCGATTTCTTTATAATTGAGGGGCTTGGAAGTAAAACGGTTTAAGTGCACTTTTTTAAATAAATGGTCTAAGTGCAGAATATCACACCTAAAGAATATTCTAACTTAGTGGTAACAATATATAAGTACATTTTACATCCCCTGGTGCCATTTCTTATTGTCTTTAAAAACCAAATATTTTAAACCAAATATTTTAAAATATATATTTGGTAAAACGATTTAAGTGCACCTTTTACTGCTAAACATAGGCTATTATCTATGCTGCTAAAGCCTTGACAAGTAGCTCGTTTCGACATATTGTGGCCGGGGTCGGAACGACATCGGCCAGCGTTACGATTATGGCATCGGTCCAGACTGATGAGGATTCAACATATTAACTATGTTCCTGACATCAATGAAGAAGTAGAAGAAGAAGGCCATGTAAATCCAGCAAAAACTAAAAAAAAAGCCGCTAAGCACAAAAATGTACTTACCTTATTGGACTATATTCCGCCAATTTACCACTTATTTTATAAAAAACATAGAGCACGATGGAGATCCATCAGAAAAAAAAGAAACAAAGTTAGACCATAGCATTGAGCCAAAAAAAAAATCCAATTTAGATCAACCCCAACCAAGAGCTAATTCAGATAAAGAAAACGTTGTATTAGATTCTGATTATGAATAATACTTTTTGTTTTAAAACTTGCATTTAAATCATTTTACCACTAAATTTTGTCTTACATGCATGGCGATTCAAGTACATTTTTGTAAAAAAAATAACAAAAAAACGAAATTAAAAAATTCCTTTTTCTTTATAACCCTTTTTAGTCTTTAAACTAAAATATTCACACAGTTTTTTAAACTCTTTTCTAGAATTTTAAAATTCAAGTTAACTTTAAAGCCATTTATCTCAGAACTAACAAAAATGCACTTTTACTTCTAGGCCCCTCAATTGTGTTTATAAAATGTAAAAATGTGACATTTGACAGTTTCCCCTGTTGTTTCATAGATGGCGCCCTATACAAATTTTTGATTTAAATCATTTTAAGATAATAATAAGTATTTGTCGTAGAAAAAGTATAGTATGCACCTCGTTTATAAACTTTTCTATACACTATTTAACTTAAGCACTCGCTCGCAAGCTCGCTCGTGCCTAAATTAAATTAGTGTATAAAATGGCGTTTAACAAACTTGATACATAATTTACTATTATATTCCAACAAAAACTAAAAAAACATTAACTCAATATGAATTAAATTGAGTAAAAAAATGATTTTTATCGATAAATTGTCTTTGCTCATTAGGGTGGGGCGAAATATGAATATTTTTAAAATTAAAAACGCCTGTATATAGAAAAGTTGTGTATAATAAAAATAAATATTTTGGTGAAAAATTTTTTTTTTAATTCCTTCCGCTTTTTTGAAGATCAAAGTGTCCAATTTTGGAAAAGTTATTGATATTCAAAATAAACATTTTGGCGATAAAAAGTATATATTTTGTTTAATTCCTTCTACTGCTGCAGAGCCATGGCAAACACAAAAATTATAATATTTGAGCTGGGGCAGTTATACAAATTCAATTTTTTTTTGAGCCAAGTTGTTTATTTTGAGCATAAGTAACTTTTCCAGAGTTGTGCACTTTAATTTTCAAAAAAAACAAGCGAAATGGGCGGACCCCGAGTCAATGTTAAATATGAAAATATTGGTATTTTTAAAATTGACCGGGGGCCCCCATTTAGCTTTTTTTTAAAAAATCAATTTTGGAAAAGTTTGTTATGCTCTAAAAAAATCTTGGCTCAAAAAAAAATGTCTTAACCGCTTTTTGCCCTCTTCTGAATTTTATAATTTTTATATTTAGGATAGCTCTGGGGCAGCGGAACCTACCCATAAATAATCGGGATACTACCCATAAATAATCATCATTTCGGCATAATCAGAGGAGGAAAACATAACTTAAAATGATAAATAATGACAGGAGCCGAAATTGACAGCAGTGTCACAATAAAGTGGATTCCAGTCGAGCAATATCAACAATGCCTCCTAAGTATCCTAGCAATTTAAAGAGTTTCCTATGGCCATGTCTTGGGATTGGCTATCATTTTTTATGCATTAGATAATTTTAATTTTCAAGAATGTGTTTCGCATAACTTTTGGCACGTTCCCTTTTTCTCTGTGGCACGATTTCTGGGACACCCTGTATGTTAGATAGATACATAGCGTATCAATAGTATTGGCACAGGCCTATAGGTTAGTTAGGTTAAATTATTCTCAAATTAAGGACCACTTCTCTAACTTTTGCTTAGGGCCCCAAAATGCAAACGTTGCAACGTTGATTTAATAATGTAAATTCATTTGAATGTTGTTCCTTTTTAAAGGTTAATTTTTAATAGCTTAAAAAACTTTAAAATATGTTTTTAAGCGGTTTATTGTCTCGACACTTTTTTTTTTAGATTTATTGACTTTTAGTCTTTTTAAGGCCATTTAGCTAGCTCATGATATTTATTTTTTTGTTTAATAAACAACTACAACACCCAAGGCTGTGACCGGGAATCGAACCCGGTACCGTTAGACGCAGATTGCTTACAGCTCTGTAGTTCAACCCACTGCGCCATCCTCGGCCCCTACTCGACACTTAAGTGATTGCTTAAGGTATAGGCACTTAATTAATTATTCAGTGATGGTAATTAGTTGTTAGCGTCAGTGATTTGGCGATTTAATAACTCTCTACTCTTTATAATTGTACGTTTTATTTATCGGTTAACAAATAAAATTGGCTAAAAATTTTGAAAAATATTACAACTTGAAGATAAAATGTTGTATGCCATTCGGCCCAAAAGGTCTTTTTGAGCAAATCAATTGTAGACGTCCCCTACGCGTATAACAAGTACAAATTGACCAATGTTACACACAATGAAATTAAAAAAATAGGAATAGGAATACTTAATATCCAAAAAAGTTGCACATAACATTAATAATTTAGGTTTAAAAATTGTTTAAGTGCAGTAAAGCTTTAGTGATGAAATAGTATATTGTGGGACTAGTGGGAGCGTAAAGTCGAACAGAATCTTTTATTCAACTACCGCAAGAAATTTAAAGCCAAATTGTTTTTACATCCGACAACAAGTAGTTTTATCCTCAATTTTTTGCAATTTTACTTAAGTAAAATGCTATTTCGTCCACGAGTGGAAGTTAAGAAATAAACAATTATGGAATGCATTATTTCAACCACTCTCAGTAGGGCCATAAAATTATATATTCTTTGCAGGTTTGGAATAATAGCACTAGTTTACAGCCATTTTGCCCACCATGTCTCACTATGATTTTCTTGTGTAGTTTGGCTCACTAAACGCGAAAATCACACTATAATTTTTTTCATGGAAGCGTTTTCGAGATATAAAATTTTAATTATTTTTTTTTTAATTTTCTGAGGTGTTTTGACGTTTTAGAGTATACTTTGAGCTCTAATTGATCGATTTGACCAAACAAGCACTTAAATCAAAGGTAATTGAGCCCTCTACAACTTTCTCTTGTATAGTTTTGGTACTTAAAGGAAAAAAATTCGCTGCTGCTGATAAAAATCCATGGATAAATGGCGAAGTTATGAGCAAAATTCAGTTTTTTGAGAATTTTTACGTCTTTTCTTCATTTTATTGAATTATATAAAATTAATATTGAACATACATTTTTAATTTAAACATTAAATATTGAAATTAAATTATATATTGAATATTAAACAATAAATATTGAACATTGAAGATATTGAAAGTGTTATTTTGTTTTATTTTGTATAAGCATATGTTTAAAAAAATTCTGTCTCCTTCATTGTTTTTTGTGGCTTTCGTATTCCGTTTCTCGTATGAAGGACCAAATGTAATCACCCATCATTAATGCATCCCTGAAGCCGTGATACCGCCGCTCCATAGCCTTCATTTGCTTCTCCGTGCTCATCACTTACGTCGCACAGTGTTTCAATTCTCGAAATTTTCGGCAAAATATCAAGGAGTAGTCGGATTCTCCTAAAAATCCGTTATTAAAGGTTTTTAGGGTCGCTGATAATGAATCTGGAATCAGAATTCCAAAATTCAAAATGGTAGATCCAAAATGGCGGACATATTTGTCAAAAAATTGACGGAATAAATTGAAAATCACCATACAGGGTTTTTGGGGTCGCTGATAACGAATCTGGAATCAGAATTCCAAAATTCAAAATGGTAGATCCAAAATGGCGGACATATTTGTAAAAAAATTGACGAAATTAATTGAAAATCACCATACAGGGGTATTTGTGGTCGCTGGTAATGAATCTGGAATCAGAATTCCAAAATTCAAAATGGTGGACCTTAAATGACGGACATTTTTATCAAATATTGTCGAAATTAATTAAAAACCCGTAAGAGGTTCATTTTAAAATGTAATAAAACATCTTTTTATAAAATAGCTTAATTTAGTTTATTATAATTACATTTATATGATATTATTTAATACCTACATATATATTAAACAATCTCCGTCACTGGATTCGCTCGTTGTATCATTAGCAGAGCATGGGATACCATCAGAAGATAGCAACAGTTTTATTGCTTTGCGGGACGAAGATTTGCTCTTTTTCGGAGCAAATTTTCTGAAGCTAGAAATATACGGATCGGAAGATGCCATAAGCCAATGGAAAAGATCTTCCATCGTTTTCTCCCGAGAAACTTTCAAAATTTAAATATAACAGATTTTATACCAAGTATTTTAAATTTGTCTTATTTATTTTACTTAATATTTTAGCAACGATTTCTTAATTCGCTAAAAAAAATTGTCAGCACAGATAACCACAATTCAAATTTGACATTAACACACTACAATGCGCATGCGGAGTTGTTTTAACGCACCTACAAGAGGTGGGTTAAATATGTAAAATCACGAACGATTTACGCAAGTAAAAGTCTAGACACCGCTGTTGTAACAAACGTTTTGAGTTAAATCCGAGTGAATCGAGTAAACCTTATGAACGCAACCCAGAAATAAAAAAATCTTATATTTTGTAAAGCAAAAACACAGATACGCGCTCGACATAGGCTTAAAATCGCGAGGTTTTTTACCACAACCGTGCCTGAGCGCCCAAGAACATGTAGTTTTAAAGAGCCGGGGGCAAGTTGGGGCAGCTAATTTATTGATGGCTTGATAGACAAAACCCTAAGCTATTCAACGGATCTTGAACTGATGCCTTACAATTCATTACAATTTTTGTAGCTCCATTGTTCTAAAAGCTCGATTCAAAGTTTGCGATTTTAACAGACCGATCTTGTCGGTTACAATAACCCGTTGTACAAGCAAAATCTACGAAAAACAAATACATATCTGAATTTTAGATACCTTGAAGATCACCCTTCATCAAACCGCATAACAATCGGACATACCAAACACAAGTTATATACTTTTAAACAATAAACAATTTTTCGCAGCGATCGCGTGTAAAGTACCTTCAACTGAAAGCGTCAAGTTTAAACTGATGTACAAGACAAAATATACGTATTTTATATAATTTTTTTTTAATACAGAATGGAGACAGGTAACTACCCATCTAACTGAAAATTTACCTGAAAAAAAAATGTCAATTTTGAGGTTTTGCCGATATTTTCCAGAATTGAAACATTGTGCGTCGCCCAGATTGTGCGGGTTATTTACGCACTCGAACTCTCAACTTCTTTTACTCATTTTACATTTTTTATTAACTAAATAAAACCATGATAAAAATACCTTGTTGAACTATCAAAAAATAGCAGTAAAATGTCACTATGCCAACACGAGAAACAAAAGAATTCACGTTTGCGGAGTCTGTCAAATTTAAATTTTGGAAAGTGTTTCGGTGAAAAAAGTACGTTAAAAACTCAAAAAATTCCAATCATGCACTTTACTTAGGTTTTCATTACAGAATAAACGTATTACAAAATAAAAGAACAAAATAAAATAAAAATCGTCAAAAAAGTAAATTTTGGTCTTCCACTAAAAAATTCAAAACTTCGCCATTTTTCCATGTAATTTTATCAACATTAGCTTGTTTTTTTTTAATAAAAATGTTGGCTTCACGAAAAAAATTCAAACTGGAGTTATCTGTTTGATTTTAACCCTTCCCAGAACGATATGTAAATTTTCGACCTCAATTTTTGCCATAAAAACGAATTTTTTAAGTTATTAAAATCGCTAGCGTCAAAATACTTATCCGATAACAAAAGTATGTAAAAGTTTTAAAGGGCTCAAATACAAAAAAATACCTTTAATTTAAGTGCTTGTTTGACCAAATCGATCAATTAGATTTCAAGCTATACCCAAAACGTCAAAACACCTCCGAAAATTGAAAAAAAAAAAAACAATTGAAATTCATATTTTAAAAACGCTTCCATAAAGAAAATTGAGTATGATTTTCATATTTAGTGGGTTAAAATACATGGAAAAATTATAAAGGTACCGGTTTAAGTTAAAAAATGAAAGTACATTTTTTTACATTAAAAATATTAACATTTTGCAATATCTTTTGGAATGAACTTTAAAATTATAATACTATAGTATTTAACTGTTTTGCATTTTCGGAACCGTTAAAAAAATGCCAGGTATTTTCATTGGATCTAGGTGACAGAAAAATCAATTTAACTTACTTTTCATTTTTTCTAAATTTTAAAAATAAATACCATTACTAAAAATATAAATAATACATTGTGTAACACATTATATTTCAATAATAATTAAGTACCTACTATTGTTTATCATTATTAAACCAATAAGTAGACCTTCATTTTTGTGCACACGAATTTAAAAAAAAACACTTACCTACAACTAATCTCTCATCATCTGGAACCTCTTTAAAAATTCTTTTGAAATCCTCTGATCTTGATTTATATGTCGGATAAAATGAATTAAACCAGGATGACTTCTTTTTCCCTCTAGGTTCTTTCCGTTCTTTGCTGCTAGGGACTGAATCACCTTTTAATTCGGAAGGTGGGGTAAGTTCGGTGCTGCTTACACCCCCACTTATGGAACCATCATGACTCTGTAAAGCCATCATAATGATAGTAATAAAATATTTCGTTAAATAAGTTATAATATAATCTATTATCTAACTTACTTCAATATAAGCAACACAAATAATGTAGGTATCACCCCAAAATTTTGCTTAGATTATCTTTAATTATAAATATTAATAGACTTAAATTCATTTTTCAGTATTTTGGCCCATTCTTAATCTTGTGATATGTTTTCTTTTTCTTTTTTAATAAAGTATTTTAATTCGTTGAAACGTGATATTTTTCAATAAAAAATCTTATATTTTTTAAGAAAAATAAAGTAAAATTAAACATTACCTAAACTCAAGCAGTGTAAAGCCCATGTCCGACGGTTCAACTTCTCGGGGCGACACAGCACACGGAAAAATATAGAACTGTATAGGATGACTCCCCGTTTGAATACTAAATCTTAAAGTTTTATCAGAACTGTATTGAATCGTGCTTTGTTTTTATATTTTTCGCCTCTATACCTATGCACGACTATAGTTAAAGTCAAACTCAATGGTGTCTTACAAGATATATTATTTTGAACATCTCTTTTTTTAACACCCTGTAGTATCATGCTATATGCACAATATCGTATTTCCAAAATTAGACATAAGAGTCAAAGAATCAACTATTGCTCATTTTTTGGACTAAAATGAAGAATAACGTGAATTTTCGAAAAATTTACATAATCGTGGTTAGCCAAGATATCCATAAAATTTCGAAAATGTCCCGAGGGATTACCTAACATGTTAACTGCAGTTATTAGGGAGGAGTATTAGGACTATCAAGCTCAACTGCCCTGTGAATGGGGATTTGGAATTTTGGAAAAAAAACATCTCTTTTTTTAACACCCTGTAGTATAATGCTATGTGCACAATATCGTATTCTCAAAATTAGACGTAAGTCAAAGAATCCACTATTGCTCATTTTTTGAACTAAACTGGGAAATAACGACAATTTTCGATAAATTGGCATATAATCGTAGTAAGCCGCGATATTCACAAAATCTCGAAAACGTTCCGAGGGATTACCTTACTTATATTAGGGAGGGGTATTACGACTATCAAACTCAACTTTCTCATGAATGGGAATAACTTGAAATTTCGGAAAAAATACATATCTTCGTTTAACACCCTGTAGTATAATGCTATGTGCAAAATATCGTATTTCCAAAATTAGACATAAGAGTCAAAGAATCAGCTATTCAGAATTTCCAATGATTTTCAAAATCGATTCAGTAATTTTTCAATAACGAGCTTTCAAATATTTTCCAAAAAACTAGGTGCGTCGATTTTTATGACGAGCAGTTTGGTTCAAAAGTCAAATTACGACCTCTATACTGAGGAGAGTATTAAAACGCTCGACTGACGTGGCAAGGGTTTAGAAAACTGTATTCAAACGTGGCGTTATTCAATACACTTCTATATTTTTCCGTTTGCTGTGGACTTTGTTGCGGCGACCAGTTGTCGCCTCTAGGGTGTTCACACAATCCAACCAAACTTTTTTTTTATATTTATTGACCTTTAGCCAGCTCATGATATTTATTTTTGTTTAATAAACAACTACAACACCCAAGGCTGTGACCGGGAATCGAACCCAGTACCGTTAGACGCAGATTAATGTAACCAAATTGACGTTATTTTCTACTAAAGTTGACAACTTCGCCGAAAATTAAAAACACCTAATCAAAATTAATGTTTATTTAAATTGGTTTTTCTTTATAAGTTTTATCTATGGTTTTTAAGCGCGCAATGCAGCCTCTGCGCGAACCGGGTTTTAAACACCAAGAGTAATGGGAAAACAGCTATTAATTAAAATTTGACATGATTTAAACCGTTTTAGCCGGTTTTAACCGCCAGCCGGATTATAACTAAAAAACGGTTTTTTGTCAACCCTGCAAAATTGGACCAATTATTATTTACATATGTATAGAACAGGATTAAATTAGATAGTAAAGTAATTACATTGACAGAATATGTATACTTTATTGTGAATTATTGTGGCCCGGGCGTTTTAAAAAAATAAAAAAAGTGTTTTACAATTTTTTTCTGAGAAAAAATTCATTTTTTACATCTACGTCAGTGCATGCGAAAATATAGTCGCGGTGTTACTATTTCACATGTCCCTGACGTTCATTTCACAATCCAAATGCTCGGTAGGAACAAGCCTACACTGAGAAAAAAATGGGACAAATAAACTGTGTAGCTAATACTTTTATTAATAGTGAATATATTGTTTATTACCTCTAAATAGTCGAAATAATAACGATAAATATACTTTAGTAAAACTTTATGTGTCGGGAATAAAAATATATTTAGGATAAATAAACTGTACCCTTGTCCCATATTTAAATATTTTTTTTATTTGGGAGCAATAAACTTTTTTCTCAGTGTATAGTCACTGTTAAATACATAAAGAAGTATATAAATAAATTATTTACTTATTGCACTACACAAAATATACAGCCATTCAAAATTATAACATTATAGGCTACACTTTTTGTATGTTATAATTTAAAAACTACAAAGTACAAAAGTACAAAGGTTTGCAATTGGTTAATAACAAACTGTTAGTTCTAAACATAAATTTGGGCATTCAAGATAAATTTAGAGATATGTTGAAACATTGTTGTTAATGGAATAGTGCAACATGGACCTATTTGTCGGAAATAATACCAATGATCTTACTTTCTTATGCCAGCCTAATTTATTGTAATTCTCTTCCAATTAAAAGTATGTACCTAAAGGTATATTAATATTACATGATTTTACCAGTAATACTTCAATAAATCAATTTTGGAAAGTTTTTATTTGATATTTGATAAATGTTTTCTTTAACACTTTTAGAAAAAACAATATAATATTTAGAAAAACGAGTTTGAAATGATTTATTAACTTATTTACATATTTGTTATTGTCAAACATAATTTAAAACTAATCAACTCTATTTCATGATCTTTTTAATATACCTAACTTATCAAGGACAAATTTTGTTGTTCATTTTAATTGTGAATTATAATTTAATTAAGTGAAATTATGTTTTTATTATTTTAATGTTTTAAGACTATTTATTTAAACAGTCCAAAAATGATGAATTCAAAGCAGTTTTAGGTTTTTTAAATTGAATTTAATTAAAATAATTAAATATATAGGTAATTAAATTAATTTTTGTTATTTTAATGATTTATAAAAGGATACAAAAATTTGTTTCAAAAATTAAAAGTTAAAAATTATGATTTAGGTTTTTCTATTTTTATTTTTTTAATTCATTTGAATTGTTTTCTTAACAACTATTTTTAATGTGGTATAAAAATACTTTATTTTAAATACAAATTTAGTTTAAAGGGGTAGTTAAATTTTTTCTGACCTATACTTTTTATGGTTTTATTCAAGGCGTTTTGTAATTTTAAACATTTCTGTGAAATCGGAATTTCAATTGAGTTTACCGTTTTCGAGATATTTACAAAAAAAATTCTCCTAATTACGTCACTAGGCTATTGACAACGTTGCCAGCTTTTTCTATGGTTGCCAGTGTGTTTAGTTTAAGATTCTTACGATAGATGGCGCCACGTTATAATATTTTAGTTTTAAAACCACTTGATCTATAATTTTAGTTGAGAAGAATAATTGATTTTTTGACGTTTCTTTTTTTCGGGTTATGTTTTTTTTTAAATTTAGATTATTGAAAATCAATGTTATTGTTATTTATTTGTAATTAATATTAGATAAGTGATTTATTAATAACGGACTTCAAAGCAGAGGAATCTTGTGGAATGGTTGGTTACATTGAACATTGGAGCTTTTAAACAAATAAAGTAAGTACCTATAATTATAATCATATTTTGTCGAAAATGCATTTCATTAGTATAATGCCTAGTTCTTTATATTCTTTTAGATATATCTTGGACTCTAAAATATCAAACAGTAATATGATACCTCGTAATAAGGAAGATATATCTATAGGTACTTAATGAATTTGGTGACCATCTTTCACTCAACTGACAGTGACAGTATTTGTACATAACCTCTTCGGGTATTTTCTGACATAACCGAATGAAATCATTAACAAGACAACTTGACAACAGGGTAATTTTCAACCAATAGAAATCTTAGAATGTTGGTTACATGGCGAGGTTTGTGACGTCATAAAAATTTATATTTTTTGTAAATATCTCGAAAACGGTAAACTCAATTGAAATTCTGATTTCACAGAAATGTTTAATATTACAAAACGCCTTGAATAAAACCATAAAAAGTATAGGTCAGAAAAAATTTAACTACCCTATTGCCAATTATTATTATAGGCTATTGGTGCTTAGCCGAAGATTTAGTAAAATTTTGACATTCTCCCTGTATTTTAAGCAGAAAATATTTTTTTGAATCAATAGTTTTTAGGTAAAATATAATCATCAAGACACAAAAATTTAAAACCTAATAAAATTCATTTGATTATCTATCCAATTAAAAAATGATAAACTTTTGTTGAATAATTTACTTACAGAATGTGAACCGTCTGCCTTTGGTACAGGGGATTGCTCCTTATAACTAACTGAGAGATTTGTCTCAGATTTGTTATGTTCTTGCTTGGTTTGAGGTCTTGGAGAAGGCCTGGGACTGCTCCGAGGACTTGAACTTGGACTGTTGGATCTGTAACAAGTTTCAATTACATGAAACAAACAATTGCATGTAATTGTCTACTCACTTTTGATCTAAATTTGCGGGTTGTCTTTCAGTAGTACTTGTATTGTTTGGAGATGATAATGTCATCTTCATTTTTTCATGAAAATTTGCCTCCTCTGGCCCGACATGAATGCCACTATCAATTAATACTTTAATATTTAAATATAAATGTCGCCATCTAGGTTTTATTGCTTATTAGGGCTGGCTAATATTGTAGGAATATCATTATATATTAGGTATAACACACTTTTGTAATATTAAAAATTATCATATCTACTTGCCCATCTTATTGATTTAAAAAAAGCAGGCCGTGACAGTAACAAAACACAAGTTTTTCTATGTTATATTCATTTATACTTTGCGTTTGACAATTACATACAATCAAAAACACGAAACATTAAAAAATAAGCATATAAAATACAATTTTATATTGACCATCCTAAAAACGTTAGATTAGTGCAATATGGTTAAGGTCGCTTCACACTTAACTGAATTCTAATATATGGTTTTCTATGGGGGCGCCGATTTATTTTTTATTCAGGAATTAAGTGATACCTATTTTCAATGAGATAAAAAATATCACAAAAGATTTTTTAATATGAGAATTAATAATATCATAGCAGATATTTTAAAATTAGATTTAATTTTTATGCCAAACTGTTATGTACCTATTTTTAATTTAGTGAATTTAAAATATTTTTTTTATATTTGTATTTTTTTGTTAAATACCTTTTTATATATTTGTATTTTTTGTTAAAACTTATAGGTATGTATTTTTGTTAAATACCTAGGTATAGCTATAGCTATAGGTATGTATACATACCTATTTTTAATTCACTTAATTAAAATTAGATTTATTTTTTATGCCAAACTGCAGTTTCATGATATTTTTTATTTAGTTAATTTAAAATATTTGCTTCTTATAGGCAGGGCCGTCTTAAGCACCCGGGCATCCGGGCGACCAGCCATTTTTTTGGGCCTTTATTTTTTCTGCGGCCATTAAAAAAATCAAACAAAAATTGCCACTACATGATTTATTTGCTTACAATTTTTTGTATGTTTATAATCAGTTTTTAAATAGAAGTGCGGCTAGATCTTAAAAGAAAGCCGCACTCGCGTGTTTTTGGGCCTTAGACGAAAAATTTTTCCAAGCAACAAGTATCGCGCAATCCTAATCAATATCGTGAAGACAAAATTTTCATTTTTTTTGTTTTTTATTTTTTGCGTACGGACTAAACCACCATACGGATCGGATAGGTTGTTTATCCAGCTTTAATTTGTTATTTTTGTAGTCCTTGATACGACCATTTCTCGCTGAGCTATCGGGCTTTGAATGAAAATGGATCATTTCTCCTATGACCATCGATAGCTCAGAAACCAATAGTCGCACAAAAAATTGGAGGTCGGTTTTAGAAACTTGAATGAATTCACTACAAGGTTCGGCTAATGTTTTTTTCAAAACAATTTTTTTCTATTTGTAATATATATTACATACGATTTTTCAAAATCATATGATTTTGAAAAATCGTGAAAAAGTGCACTTTTTCACCCCATGGGGTTTTAGGTTTTTGGGAAAATCACACGCGGAATGGAGATTATTAAAAAAACTACTAATGTTAAGTACCTATGCCTTTTATAGTTCAATATACCCACAAAAACACTGGCAAGTTTCAATTCAATTCATCTAGCCGTTTTTTTGTTTCATTCGATTGAATTTTTAAAAAAATGTAATCACGTTTTTTTACTCTCAATTGAGAGTAAAAAAACGTGATTTCATTTTTTTAAAGCGTTTAAACGCTCATAATCTCTAATAAATAAAATGAAAAAAAAATTATCTCCACTTTTTTCACATTTTTATAGCAAACGGCATTTAAAGTTTTTTTTTTTCACCAAATTGCAAAAAAAAATTTATTTAAATTCAAATTCAAATTATTCTTTTTCATTTAAAGCCCGATAGCTCAGCGAGAAATGGTCGTATCAAGGCCTCCAAAAAAACAAATAGTCCGGGAGGCAGTGAAGATTTTCGGTACTTATTTTCCCATTCGGCAAACACCGATACAATTATTGGGTTTGTTATTCTGAGCAAAATTTATATATATTTAGGGGGGGGTTTCCGATGGGTTAAGGCGGAAAATGCGTTATAATTATAACGCATTTTCCTTTAAAGTACAAATATATTGCACTTTTTTTTCCAGTGATAAAAATAATTTCATTAGTGAGAGATATAGTGAACTTAAGAAAAAAAATAGTCTGGCTAATCTGTGAGTATGGGTAATATGTCTGGCAGGTGAAAAAATTATTAAAACTATTGCCCTTATTTTCGCAGTCCTAAAAATTTTGTGAGATGATAGTTTATATTATAATTACAGCTGCAAATATAGTCTGGCTAATGTGGAACACTTCGAAAGCCTTGCCAAACTCGTCCAACCGGGAGGCAGTGAGGATTTTCGATACTTATTTTCCCAGTCGGCAAACACCGATACAATTATTGGGTTTGTTATTCTGAGCAAAATTTATATATATTTAGGGGGGGTTTTCCGATGGGTTAAGGCGGAAAATGCGTTATAAAGTACAAATATATTGCACTTTTTTTCCAGTGATAAAAATAATTCCATTAGTGAGAGATATAATGAACTTAAGAAAAAAAATAGTCTGGCAGGTGGAAAAAATATCAAAACCATTGCCCTTATTTTCCCAGTCTGGCGGGGCTTTCGTGATTGTAAATAACAGCCAGACGTGTATTTTCTACGAAATTATAGTATTATTTATCATGTGACAAATTTTCAAATCCGGGAAAATAAGAGCAACATTTTTGTAATTCTTACGATTTTCAAGATGCCGCCAGAACAATTTGCCAATTTCATAAATCAGCCAGACTTAATTTTGATTATAGTTTATGACAGTACCAAATAATGGGTTAAATTTTAAGCATGGGAAAATAAGGGCTACGTATTTCAAAAACCGGTCAAATTTTTGCTTCCGCAAATTTTCAGCCAGACTGACTTTCCTTCACTTGGGATGTGCCAGACTGTTATTTACATTAATAAAATGACTCACTTTAATTAATGTGAAATATTTATGACTGGGAAAATAAGTGGACTTGACTTTTTGGCTCATCTAGTGAACCCATCCGAAAATTTTAGCCAGACACACACATTGTCGTTTTGTGTCACCATTTGAACAAACTGAATTCAGTTGTCATTAATGACATTCACAAACTGGGAAAATAAGAAGATAAAAATCTTCACTGCCTCCCGGACTAAAATTAAAGCTGGATTAACAACCTATTCGATCCATATGGTGGTTTAAAAAAAAATAATGCAAGTCAGTACACAGAAAATAAAAAACAAAAAAAATTGAAAATTTTTCTTCACGATATTCATTATAATCCTATAGGATTGCGCGATACTCGTTGCTTGGAAAAATTGTTCGTCTTAAGGCCCAAAAATTAGAGACTTAAAGCTTCAATTTGATTTTTTTTATACTTTGATACGGCCATATTTAACAAAAATACAGTCATTTAAAAAATCGCTAAAAATTTGGAATAAATTTTTGATCCTTTAATTTTTTCCCAGTGTCACGTACGCACTGAATATATAAGGCACAGCGAACCGTCAAGCTTTGGTACTCACGAAGAAATAAAATAAATATACGTGCAAATAAATAGACTCTTGTACAGTAGTGATATATAAATAATTAGTAGTTAAAAGTGTTTAGTTAGTTTAATAAACACTACACACTACGAACAGTAAAAACAATTGGTGTCAGAAGTGGGATTAGTTTGAAATTTCGCGAAATTTAAATGGTTTCGTTAATGGACCTAAAAGTGTCGGACCTTGAGCGGGAGCTGGAAGAAAGGAAATGTGAGACAACTGGAAAATAGAATGTGTTGCAGCAGCGGCTTCGAGAAGCGTTGGAGCAGGAAGGTGAAAATCCAGATACGTATTTATTTGAAGGCCCGTGTAATATGCATTTAATGTTGCAAAATTTAAACGAAAAAATGTTAGAGAATTCGATTGAATTCAATTTGAAAGTCGATTTACAACAAAAGATTCTGGAAAATTCCAACGACTTACAACAGAAAATGTTAGAAAATGTGAACGATTTAAAGGACGATTTGCAACAGAAAATGCTGAAAAATTCTAGCGATTTACAACAGAAAATTCAAGAAAATTCTAAAAATTTAAAGGAATATTTGGAACAGAACATTCTAGATAATGTAAATGAATTAAAAGAGAACGTAAGGATAGAATTAGAAGAGAAAGTGGGACAGAAATTTGACGGAATTAAATGAGAAATTAGAAGTAAAAATTAAAGAAATAAATAGTAAAATGCTGTAAATCCACCCATGATGCAGGAGGAACCAGGAACAGTGCCGGAGGGGAGCCGAGTTGGAATGAAACCACCTCAGTTCGATGGAAAAACTTGTTGGACCAAATACATCCGTCAGTTCGAGGCAGCAGCAAAAACAAATGGTTGGCTACCAGAAGAGAAGGCTACAGCATTGACTCTTGCCTTACGCGAAGATGCAACGGACATCTTGCAGACGAACAAGAAGATTACTAAGCGTTGTAGAAACATCTGGAACTGCGATATGGCCAGACAGATCTGGAAGATGTGTACCATTCCCAACTGAAGAATCGCTGCCAGAAATCGAACGAGACTCTGCAAGAATTCGAGGCTGATATTGCACGCTTGGTCCGGCTAGCATAGCCAGCTACTCGTACGACCGTTATGAAAAGATTATCGGTTCAAGCCTTTTTGGATGGACTTCGGGACAACGAAACAAGACAGGCTCTGACGTTCCCAGATAGCACAAAGAAGTACTGGAAACGTCCTGAGAATGTCTTGTATCAGACATTAGTAAGTCCCGAGTACGTCCGAATCAGGTCCTGAACCTTCCCCAGGACGTACCAGGGACATCCGATGTTACCAAATCGTCGGTCCCCAGAACGTCCTAAGTAAGACATCCTCTGGCCGTCCTGAAATGCTTCATTGGGGATTATTGGACAAGCTTTACAGAATTGAAGAGTGCACTGAAAGAAATTTGTTGCTAAAAGTAAATACTAATTTATACTAAAAATTTTATACTAGTGCTTTACACATTTATACTACTGTTTATTATGAATGTATGTTAAATTTTGTAATACATTTACTGTAAAGAAGATATGTTAGATCTAAATAAAAATAAACTTACCCTTACTATAAAATGTAAACTATAAGTGAATTACAGCAATAAAATATTGCTAGAAACACATTTATATTGCTATGGCAGCAATAGGCTGCTAACCAAACAAATATATTTGTTTTAGCAATGTATGTGGTAGTCCATATATGAAACATAAAATATATTTGCCCTAATTATTTTTTTATTTAACTTTAGTATATATTTCTTTCAGTGTGGTATT